CTTTCGGTCATTATCCAAAGCTCATGACCATAGGTGAGGGAGGGAACGAAGATTGACCGGTAAATCGAGAGCTTTGCCTTTCGGCTCAGCTTCCTCTTTACCACAACGGTCCGATACAGCGACCGCATCACTGCGCACGCTGCACCGATCCGCCTGTCAATCTCACGCTCCATTCTTCCCTCACTCGTGAACAAGACCCGAGATACTTGAACTCCTCCACTTGAGGAAGGACCTCTCCACCCACCTGCAGAGGGCAAGGCACCTTTTTCCGGTCGAGCACCATGGCCTCGGATTTGGAGGTGCTGATTCTCATCCCAGCCGCTTCACACTCGGCTGCAAACCGTCCCAGTGCATGCTGCAGGTCCTGGTTCGTTGGAGCCAACAGGACAACATCGTCCGCAAACAGCAGAGATGAAATCCTGTGGTCTCCGAACCGGACCCCCTCCGACCCCTGGCTGCGCCTAGATATTCTGTCCATAAATACAGTGAACAGAACCGGTGACAAAGGGCAGCCCTGTCGGAGGCCAACATTCACCGGGAACAGGTCTGACTTACTGCCGGCAATGCGAACACAGCTCTGGCTCCGGTCATACAGGGATCGGATGGCCCTCAGCAGAGGACCTCCGACCCCGTACTCCCTGAGAACCCCCCAAAGGACACCCCGGTGAACACAGTCGAACGCCTTCTCCAAATCCACAAAGCACATGTGGACAGGTTGGGCAAACTCCCATGAACCCTCGAGTATCCGATGGAGAGTATAGAGCTGGTCCAGTGTTCCGCGACCGGGGCGAAAACCACACTGCTCCTCCTGGATCCGAGATTCGACCATCGGCCGTAGCCTCCTCTCCAGTACCTTGGAGTAGACCTTACCGGCTGAGGAGTGTGATCCCACAATAATTGGAACACACCCTCCGGTCCCCCTTCTTGTAGAGAGGGACCACCACCCCGGTCTGCCACTCCATTGGCACTGCCCCCGATCGCCACGCGATGTTGCAGAAACGTGTCAGCCAAGACAGTCCTACAACATCCAGAGACTTTAGATAATCAGGGCGGATCTCATCCACACCCGGAGCCTTGCCACCATGGAGGCTACCAACCACCTTGGTGACCTCAGCCAGGGAGATGGATGTATCCGCCCCAACATCCTCAGCCTCTGCCTCTGTAACAGAGGACGTGACGGGGGGATTGAGGAGAACCTCAAAGTATTCCTTCCACCGCCCGACAATATCCCCAGTCGAGGTCAGCAGCTCTCCACCCGCACCGTACATGGTGTTGGCAAAGAACTGCTTCCCCCTCCTGAGGCGCCGGATGGTTTGCCAGAATCTCTTCGAGGCCGACCGATAGTCATGCTCCATGGACTCTCCGAACTCCTCCCAGTCCCGGGTTTTTGCCTCTGCAACAGCCCGGGCCGCGGCACGCTTGGCCTGCCGGTACTGGACAGCTGCCTCAGGAGTCCCCCGAACCATCATGGCTCGATAGGACTCCTTCTTCAGCCTGACAGCATCCCTTACTGCCGGTGTCCACCACCGGGTTCGGGGGTTGCCGCAGGGACCAGCACCAGAGACCTTGCGACCACAGCTACGAGCCGCCGCATCGGCGATTGAGGCAGAGAACATGGTCCACTCGGACTCCATGTCCCCCTCCTCCGCCGGGACCTGGGAGAAACTCTCCCGGAGGTGTGAGTTGAAAGTCCGTCTGACAGGGGGCTCAGCGAGACGTTCCCAGCAGACCCTCACTATACGCTTGGGTCTGCCAGGTCTGACCGGCTTCTTCCCCTGCCAGCGGATCCAACTCACGACCAGGTGATGATCGGTTGACAGCTCCGCCCCTCTCTTTACCCGAGTGTCCGAGACACGCGGTCGAAGGTCGGATGATACGACAACAAAGTCGATCATCGACCTCCGGCCTAGGGTGTCCTGGTGCCACGTGCACTGGTGGACACCCTTGTGCTCGAACATGGTGTTCGTGATGGACAAACTGTGACTGGCACAGAAGTCCAACAACTGAACACCGCTCGGGTTCAGATCAGGGGGGCCGCTCTTCCCGATCACCCCTCTCCAAGTGTCACTGGCGTTTCTCACATGGGCGTTGAAGTCCCCCAGGAGAATAACGGAGTCCCCGGGCGGTGCACCGTCCAGTACCCCTCCCAAGGACTCCGAGAAGGCCGGGTACTCTGCACTGCTGTTAGGCCCGTAGGCCGTCACAACAATGAGAGACTTGTCCCCCACCCGGAGGCGGAGGGACGCGACCCTCTCATTCACCGGGGAGAACTCCAACACGTGGCGGCTGAGATGGGGGGCAAAGCCCCGGGATGGCACACTTAGGGCTAGAGTTCAAGAAACGGTTTAAGTCTTGGTCAATTCCAGAGATGAGCGTTTCTCCGAGATTGACAGATGTACGGCGCGCAAACTCCAATTCAATCGATGGACACATGAGTGGTTACACTACATAACCTTAAAACAGGGGTTAAAGCAAAAAATAAAAGATTTGACTGAAAATTTTTGCATGGAAATTTATCACATGTAAATCACAGTAATATGCAGGACCAAGTTATATTTTTAATTACAATATATTATTGTATAATAGATTGTATATTGAATACAGCTCAAATGAATTCTTCAAAGATATACAGTGTATTTTGATATGAAATATAAGTGGATCAAGCAACGAGTCAACTTTTTGACAGAATATTAGTGAGAGTAGCTTTACTTGAGGCGATATGGAGCGTCTACACTTTGGCTCTGTTCTCGTCAAAATATCGCAAAAGGACGATACAATTCTGTCCACATTTGTTTGTGGACACGTCAATATTTAAGAAAAAGGTTTCCCTATCAAGTTTGAGTGCACAGTGCACTTCGATCAACTGCAAATGATTTAAATAAATCTACCAGCGGTAGTGATATTCTGAACGTTATTTTCTGCGATAAAGCCACAGACACGGTCCGCCATAGCAAGCCTAGTGTCAGTTGTTGCTGATGCACCAGGTAAAGATGAAGTGTGGGAAAGTGCACTAACAGCTGCCTTGTGCGCAGTTTTGAGCTGGTGGCGAACTTTTTTCTCATTACTCCCATATATGCAATTTTTTATGGCAAAGTACGAACAAGCACCGGCCACTTTCATCTTTTCGCACCATGACTCGTTGATTGGCTCTTTTACATCACGCTGAGTTTTGCAAGAAGATCGCAAACAAAACAATATCAAAAGCTCACCATGTTTGTCCCCATTCCCAGTCGCAGCAAAGTCCGTTTTGTACATTCCGTTAAGTAAAATAGCATTGCGTTTGGTAAACGTTAATTACCTTTCGTCTATTACGCGCCCAGCTTACCAGTCCGCGGATCTGCTGCTGTTATTGCTCCGGTCGAGATTCAATTTTCCTCCTCTTCTCCACATTAGAACGAGTCTGGTGTGTGTGACTGGCTGGTGGTGGGAGGGGTTGATGTCAAAAACTGGTTGTTCACGGTTGTCACAGTTGTTCCTTCTGCTTGACTGTAATTTTGAGTAAATGCATAGGATTCTTTCTCACGCTCATACTCGCCTGTACTGCTGCTAATGTACAGATGCTAACATATAACCACACTTCACTTGCACTAGAATACACAGTACTTTATACTTTATGCATAATGTTACATTTTTATATCTATTATTATTTTCAAGACTGAGTATTTTATACTTATTATTAATGCTAGAGTTAGAGATTTTGTTATATTTTAATTAGGACATCTATTGTTCAGGTAACGTGTGCCTCCGTGAACACATACTGCTGTTATATAAAGTCACCGTGAACACATACTGCTGTTATATAAAGTCACCTCCGTGAACACATACTACTGTTATATAAAGTCACCTCCGTGAACACATACTGCTGTTATATAAAGTCACCTCCGTGAACACATACTACTGTTATATAAAGTCACCTCCGTGAACACATACTACTGTTATATAAAGTCACCTCTGTGAACACATACTACTGTTATATAAAGTCACCTCCGTGAACACATACTACTGTTATATAAAGTCACCTCCGTGAACACATACTACTGTTATATAAAGTCACCTCCGTGAACACATACTACTGTTATATAAAGTCACCTCCGTGAACACATACTACTGTTATATAAAGTCACCTCCGTGAACACATACTGCTGTTATATAAAGTCACCTCCGTGAACACATACTGCTGTTATATAAAGTCACCTCCGTGAACACATACTGCTGTTATATAAAGTCTGTGAAGGTCTCTGACACAGGCACGCTGCAAAGCTGCATTATTGGAGAAGATCTTTACACAAGAAGCAGCTAGCTAAACTCTGTTAGCATCAGAGCCCGCCGGCTACTTCCACCACTTCCGGCGCGCGCCAGGACTTCTGGTCTGAAGACCCCTGTGTCTGAAAACTAGAGAATGTGCGTTTCAGCGTTGGCGGTCTGAACACAGCTTAAGCTGCATGAGCCCCATTCATTTGACGAGTGCATTCTGAAGTCCACAGTGGATAACTAGACTAGTCCAAAAAATATATACTCCCCTCAGCATTGACACACTTCTGGATCCGTTTTCGAGAGGAAAGAATACATCATACGAAAGCATTAGTTAATTATTTTTCCGGGTATACCCCCACCGGCCGGAGTGGTATTGCAGCTTGTCAGCGCGCAAACTCATGGACCTATTGGAACCGAGACCCACCATCCAACAAATAAATACATAATTCTAAAAGTTACTAACAACTTTACTGGTAGTAACCTCTATCCTCTGGGTGATGTATGCAGAGTCTGGTTGTTTCAGAACATTTTCTCTGCTCTGGTTCAGAGTGAATTCTTTGAAATCTGCTTGGTTGGGACCGTCCTCTCTGCTCTGGTCTGGATCAGTGTAAAACCATGAACACTGTAGTTCAGTAACACAACTCTTTCAGAGCTACTTTGGATCTGCCGCCACATTCAAAAGTAAACAAGTAAATAGATATCCATCCTTTCCTTGATCCAGTGTACACTCTTCTTCTGTTGTTCAGACATGGCCGAGCTGCTGAAGTGCCTGCTGCGAGTGGCAGAAAAGGCGGCGAACGTGGCCCGGGTCTGCAGACAGGAGGCGGTGTTGTTCCAGCTCCTCGTCCAGGAGAAAACTGGAGCAGACAAGAACAAGAGGTTTGTCCAGGATTTTAAAACGCTCGCTGACGTCATCATTCAGGAGATGATACGGCACGACGTCGGAGCACAGGTGAGTGGAAACTAGGATCCCATTTTACAACACTTCAGAAGACGGTGATCCGCAGAGATTTTACTGCCACAGCCTCATTTTGTCAAAGTTTAGATCTGCCATTTCTGGTTTGAGGGAGTGGCAATCAGAGAGACCTCCTGAAGGAAGTGGTCCCATGGATCTATTATATTAACTGGATAGGGTATTACTAGCTTGGAGCTGAAGAACTCATGTGCTCGGGGGATTCTCGTGGTACTGCAGACTAAACCAGACTAAATTCACGTGGGCTACACAGAGATTTTCCCTATAGAACTCAATGTAAACTAAAACAGCGCGACCTCAGCTGACGGAGAACCTGACAGAGAACCTACAGCTTTCATAAAGGTCGGATTTTGTGGGGATTTTAGTGTCCCTTGTCATCCTGAACTTTTTTTCTTCTTAAATCCTTCGGTTTTCTTTAAATCCACACTTTAGTGCCACAAACTCTGCCCGTCTGGCTCTCGCTCTAACTCCCGCTCTGATGAACTGCTCTGGTTGGTCAGAGCCGAGCCCCTCTTTGCACGTGCGTGAGACCCACACACACGTGTTTGGCGCAACGCATCATGGGAGATCATCCACTGCACAGAACCGGGAGGACCAGACGAGGCCCAAATACAGGCGAGTTTCCCATAGATCTTTGCGAGTTCCAGACGACTTCCGCTAATCTTTCAGCCCCCATGCCGTCACAAAGCGCCACTGAGCACAACCATTCATTTGAATAGGGCGCCATCTTGGATCGCCGGGGCTTGGGTGGTCCTCACTGATCCTTCTGCAGAATCACAGGAGAATCCGAGCAGCCTTGATCTTTCAACAGGGGCTATAGGCAAAGTGGGGTTAAGTGTCTTGCCAGGGACAGGCCAAGCAGACATCAGTGAGAGTGGGTGGGATAGGTCTCGAGTGAGCTTTGAACTCGCAATCGTCAGGCCTGAAAGACCCTTACGAACTGAGCCACTGTCGTCCCATAAATAGACTTTCCCCTTCACTAAATGTGGAAGAGGAAAGGAATGTTGCATAAACCAGGTGTAATTGGAATCAAATGACCTTTTTATTAGAAGGCAGAAAGGGTAGAAGTTTAAATGTATTTACAAAATTCTAGTCCAAACAAAAAAAGAGCTGTTTGATTCTCTGATTTGTTTTTGGCGAATGGACAACTTTATGAAGTCCTCAGAGATATTTATTCTTGTGATTTTGGGCTGTACAAGCTGTTAAAGAGTAACCTACAGTACCTGGACAAAACCACAAATATCAGAAAGGATTAATTAATACTTGCAACGGAAGGAGCGCCTGCATGGTCACGGCACATCTCTGATCTTGGTGCTGTGACCGTGCGTGCACTGAACGCCATTGTGTCACAGGCCTATTTATTTAGACAACAACACGCCTGCATCACGGTCATCACAGATTCCATATGGCCCAAACCATTAGTTTGTTGACACAGTTCAAACATTTTAGCCTAAAAAGGTTTCCTGTCTTATCTCCTGCTGACGATCCAAAAATCACTTCACAACCCAAACATGTGACATATGGACATTCATTAACAATGCAAACATTAAAGACAACGGTTTTTTTGGCGGCACGGTGGCTGAGTGGATAGCACTCTCGCCTCTCAGCAAGAAGGTCCTGGGTTCGAATCCCGGTCGGACCAGGGCCTTTCTGAGTGGAGTTTGCATGTTTGTCTGCGTAGGTTTCCTCCGGGTACTCCGGTTTCCCCTACCACTAAAAATATGTCCAATAGTTCTAGCATGCGCCTCCTGTACTGGCGACCCTGCTCCCATCTCTGTGTGGAGTGAGAGACAAATGCCCAAAAATTAACAATTGTAAACCGCTTTGAGACTCAGATCTGCAGTGAAAAGGCGGTATATAAATAAAGATTACTTACTACTACTTACTTACTTAGCAAGTCACCCATTGACCTGTTAGCATGCATTCACCTTAATCACAGTGAACTTTGACAACAGTTAGTTTAAAGGCAATGCATTAAATATTCTTTAAAATGATAATATAATTCTACTATCAACAAGCCTGGCCTTATCCATCCGTACTCTCCGCTCAATCAACATTTCCTGCTTGTAACGTCTGGGTTTGGTCCCTGTGTGTGAGATTACAATCGATTGAATTCCATCCGACCAATCAGAGAGCGCGGGAGGCGGGTGACGTCAAGAGTTTACGCCGAACGGACAGGTTGTAGTTTGCCGAAGAATGCGATAGTAAAGTAATCCGGTCTGGTTCTATCAAGAAATTGAAGCCGGAGCAAGAGAAATGTTTAGCAAAGGTGATGGCTGGCAAAGATTGTGGCGCTACTCCCCACGGGCTTCGTTAGCGGCAAAGGAGATGGCTAAAGCTAGGCTAAATGCTAAATGCTAACAACTCACTCGGGCGCATTACATACATGACAGTAAACTCAGATCCAATGGTTTCAATCTGCAAAAGGAGTTAGCCCCTCCCACCTGTTCACGGAGTCAATGGAGCAAATCCAGACCTTAGTACGAAATGTAATTTGTACTATGGTGTGGTACGACCAGGCTAGGGCTGTACAAAAATACACTGAATTTAATTGTTTTTGGTCTATAATAATCCTAGGGTCTTGGTATCAATGTGTGGTTGTAATTTTTTGACAGAATTTTTAAATGGTTTGCATAAATCAACTTGAATATTTTTGATGAATTGGTGTTATTTGAAATGTATGAACCATATTTGCAGTTTCCGGAGATGGTTGGTTTCATCAATGGAGAAGAGTCGAACAAGTTTGAGAATGGCCTCGGTGAGTCTGAAGCATTTTACTAAAGTCACATTTAACAAAAACATTTCTGCTCAGAGGGATCATGGCGGCGCTAATGAGCCAGTCTCCTTTTATTCACTTTCACATGACCTAGGCCCTGGAACAACGGATTCAAGTTTTGTGAAAATCGGACTTTGTGCAGATGGGAGCAAATTTGCTATTGTCAAAAATGGGGAAAAAGTCGCATTTTGCTGCTCCGCTGTTCAAACAACGTGTAACTGATAAAAACTCTGATATCTTCTTCTTATTATTATTATCAAGATTGAGTTTTTATACTTGTTATTGATGCTAGAGTTAGATATTTTGTTTTATTTTAATGAGTATAGCTGTTGTTCACTTGTGCTGTGTGCGCCTCTTTCCTACTGTTCTATAACTTGATGCAACACTGACATTTCCCTACTGTGGGACCAATAAAGACTCTCTTCATCTCAATCTTAATCAACTATGGCTCTCCCTTTGCCTCGCCCTGTGCTAACTGAGCTCAAAGTTCTGAGAAGGTCATGATGTAGGAGACTTCCGATGACGTCATCTCTATGCGCCTCCCAAGGATTTCCTTCCGGGTGTGCTGGCGTCCCTTGTCCACTGAGAGGCGTCAGAATGCCGTTGGTGAATCCCCTGTGCCTGATTGTGGTTTGAACTTTGCTCTCGTCAAAAGAGGGAGGCAGAAAATGTTTATTATTTAAAGTTAATAATTCGCCTTGTTTAAAGGCAGGTATCTTTATGATTCCTGTCTGCTTATCCTGTGTCCTTGTGACTTATTCCTGAGGGCACAGGTCTTTTTTGGCTATGATGAAAATTAGAGACAGTGTTCAAAATGGTCAAATATTGTCTTGTCACATCTGTTCAGTGTATATCTTAAAGGAATAGTTCACCGTTTGTACATACTGACATATGTTCTTACCTTACCTTAGACTAGTTAATATGTACCTGTCTGGTCTTAGTCCGTGCGCTCTGTCATGCAAACGGAGCAAAAACGGGAGCACAACCGCAGCCTCCTCTGGTCACTGTATAGTACCCAAAAGGTAGCTCCCGCTAGAAGCTACCAAACTCTTCCAAGTGTTCCCTATTAAATGTATATAGTTACGTGACGTGTTACACTGCAAAGTATAGTAACACAGAAATGTAACAGTCGATTTTCTCAGCGGATAAAACGGGTACTATATTGTGAGGCGTAGTAATCTGAGGTGCGCTACGTCCGCGCACTAACTTCTCTCCGGAGACTTCTCTCTCGCTCACTTCCGTCAATAGAAGCAGCGTGACTTGTAATACACACAGTAGCAGCGAGAGAGAAGTCTCTGGAGAGAAGTTAGTGCGCGGACGTAGCGCTCCTAACTTCTCTGCGCACTAACTTCTCTCCGGAGACTTCTCTCTTGCTGCTACTGTGTGTACTACAAGTCACGCTGCTTCTATTGACGGAAGTGAGCGAGAGAGAAGTCTCCGGAGAGAAGTTAGTGCGCGGACGTAGCGCTCCTCAGATTACTACGCCTCACAATATAGTACCCGTTTTATCCGCTGAGAAAATCGACTGTTACATTTCTGTGTTACTATACTTTGCAGTGTAACACGTCACGTAACTATATACATTTAATAGGGAACACTTGGAAGAGTTTGGTAGCTTCTAGCGGGAGCTACCTTTTGGGTCCTATACAGTATACAGAGGAGGCTGCGGTTGTGCTCCCGTTTTTGCTCCGTTTGCATGACAGAGCGCACGGACTAAGACCAGACAGGTACGTATTAACTAGTCTAAGGTAAGAACATATGTCAGTATGTAAAAACGGTGAACTATTCCTTTAATACAACAATGTTTAGACGACGTGGAGTGATTTTGAGGCAAGTCTGTGAAATTGCGAGGAGGATGTATTTGTCAGCAGGCGTGGCTGTTATAACTTTATCCATGTCTTGACTTGAGGAACATGTTTACCGACAAACTTGACCTCGAACCCCTCCCATAGATGTAATGTAGGGGGCGCTGTTGTGGCATGTTTTTTTAGTCCCATAAATATAAACACCCAAAAGGTTATTTTTTCAGCCTCATTCTGAATTGGTAATCATTTTAGCGTTGAATTCTGTATTCTATATCTTCAGTCGTTTTGCATCAGTGAAGTCACGCTTCTTGCTCTGAAATTATATCTCAATAGAATTAAGGACGAGTAGTAAACAGGATTGGAAAAATGATATTTATCGATACTAAAACTAGGATCAAACTAGACTAGAGACTCATATCAACACAAAACATTTAAAGTCGAACAAAATCATGCATATTTTGTAATAATGTAAAAAATGTTGTCCCAGGAATCTGAAACTACTAGAACACCCAGAGCCGTCCTTTTGACTGCTCCCGTTCAAACCAATGGAATTCTTGAGTAATTTATGAGGATTTTACCTTTACTGACTTTTAATAAGTGCTAAAACTGGTCAGTATATCTGCAACTGAAATGCAGCAACAAAAGGCTAAGGCTAATGCTAACTAACTGACAGTAAACAGTGTGTTGCTATGGTAACCAGCCCTCACTTGAAATTCTCTGGTGGAAAATGAGTCAAAGGTAGAACCACTCGCATTTCAAAAGTAAAAGATGATTTCATTAAAAAAAACAATAACATAGAAATAAACTTTATATAGAAACAGAAGAAGTTCTGAACCCAAAAACCCGTGTTTGGCAGGAGAGAGCGTGGTGGTGACCGTGTGTCCCTCGGAGGCAGAGACCGCGGCGTTATTGGCCAAAGTTTTAGACGGAGACTCGACGGCGGCTTCGCTTTTGGCTCGAGCGATTCACCAGGACCCTGCGACCGAACAGACGGACACAGACGGACGCCACATCCCCCTGCAGCCCTCCGAGCTGGGCATCTGGATCGACCCTATAGGTGAGAGACGGTACTGCATGCAGCTTAAACAGCTTAAACAGCCATTATGATCTTATTCTTTTATTATCTGTTATTGTACTGATCTTACAGAATATAGTGAGATCAAAACAATGATTATAAAAAGTCACAAATACAAACAATGAACTATAAAACTTTCCACAAACGCTTGATTCTTGGTTTTTCTCTTCGTGTCTCTGTTTCGAGTCCAAACAATTACTTTCTCTACTGTTATTTAATTTTTTATTAACTGACATGCAAGCACAGGATCCATGGCTAATTTTAACATGAATTTTATGTTTTAATCAACTTTTTTTGTATTTTAATATTTCTTTTTGTATTTTATAAGGTTTTTTAAAGTTCATTGATTTATTTTATAACCTAATGGTTTTTATATGTATTGATCTATTTTAAAACTTAATGATTTTTAAGGAATGAAAATGAACTGAAATGATTTTAGGAGAGGTCTTAGTGGGGTTAGGGTTAGGATCGATCTAAATGTACCCCTTAACACTTGAACTCCCGGAGCAGAGGAAGTGGAATCATTGAGCTCATGTGCATTTTCGAAACTTCAAAATTCTTAAAAACATTCATAATGTTTTATTAACATATCTTTTTAATTTTGAGATAGAGTAGAGACGAGCTAGTTACCATAGCAACATACTGCTAACTTGCTACCAGTTAGCATTAGCCTTTCAACAAACTGTTTTTTTCTGTATTTCAAGTTATATTCACCAGTTTTAGCACTGATTAAAAGTGAATGAAGGTAATTTTTTTTTATTAAAATTGATGGTAAACTCAGTAACTTTATTGATATGAATTGGAGCAGTCATAATGACTGCTCTGGGAGTTCTAGAAGTGTCCAAATCCTGTCAATGCGGCCCAGCTTCAGCCAGACTGGATCCAGATAAATTGAGTTTGAGACCCCTGCTGTAGACCTGATGTTGTGCTGGTTATGGCTGATCCTCGTGTTTGGTCCAGATGCCACGAGTCAGTACATCGAGGGCAGAGAGGAGGAGCTGAGGGAGGGGGTGCTGTCTCCTTCTGGTCTCCACTGTGCGCTGGTGCTGATCGGAGTGTATCTGCGCTGCAGCGGGGAGCCGGTGATGGGCGTCATCAACCAGCCCTTCCACCACAAGGACGCCAGCGGGTGAGTGCACGGAGTCACACTCGGAGTGGTTTGGTGGAGAGGGAGGGGAGGGGGGAGTGGTTTGGTGGAGAGGGAGGGGAGGGGGGAGTGGTTTGGTGGAGAGGGAGGGGAGGGGGGAGTGGTTTGGTGGAGAGGGAGGGGAGGGGGGAGTGGTTTGGTGGAGAGGGAGGGGAGTGGTTTGGTGGAGAGGGAGGGGAGGGGGGAGTGGTTTGGTGGAGAGGGAGGGGAGGGAGGGAGTGGTTTGGTGGAGAGGGAGGGGAGGGGGGAGTGGTTTGGTGGAGAGGGGGGGAGTGGTTTGGTGAGAGGGAGGGGAGGGGGGAGTGGTTTGGTGGAGAGGGGGGGAGTGGTTTGGTGGAGAGGGAAGGGAGGGAGGGAGTGGTTTGGTGGAGAGGGAGGGGAGGGGGGAGTGGTTTTGGTGGAGAGGGGGGAGTGGTTTGGTGAGAGGGAGGGGAGGGGGGAGTGGTTTGGTGGAGAGGGAGAGGGGGGGAGTGGTTTGGTGGAGAGGGAGGGGAGGGGGGAGTGGTTTGCTGGAGAGGGAGGGGAGGGGGGGAGTGGTTTGGTGGAGAGGGAAGGGAGGGGAGGGGGGAGTGGTTTGGTGGAGAGGGAGGGGAGGGGAGGGGGGGAGTGGTTTGGTGGAGAGGGAGGGGAGGGGGGGGAGTGGTTTGATGGAGAGGGAGGGGAGGGGGGAGTGGTTTGGTGGAGAGGGAGAGGGGGGGAGTGGTTTGGTGGAGAGGGAGGGGAGGGGGGAGTGGTTTGGTGGAGAGGGAGGGGAGGGGGGAGTGGTTTGGTGGAGAGGGAGGGGAGGGGGGAGTGGTTTGGTGGAGAGGGAGGGGAGGGGGGAGTGGTTTGGTGGAGAGGGAGGGGAGGGGGGGAGTGGTTTGGTGGAGGGGGGGAGTGGTTTGGTGGAGAGGGAGGGGAGGGGGGAGTGGTTTGGTGGAGAGGGAGGGGAGGGGGGGAGTGGTTTGGTGGAGAGGGAGGGGAGGGGGGGAGTGGTTTGGTGGAGAGGGAGGGGAGGGGGGGGAGTGGTTTGGTGGAGAGGGAGGGGAGGGAGGGGGGGGAGTGGTTTGGTGGAGAGGGAGGGGAGGGGGGGAGTGGTTTGGTGGAGAGGGAGGGGAGGGGGGGAGTGGTTTGGTGGAGAGGGAGGGGAGGGGGGGAGTGGTTTGGTGGAGAGGGAGGGGAGGGAGGGGGGGGTGGTTTGGTGGAGAGGGAGGGGAGGGGGGGAGTGGTTTCAAGTTGGTGCTACGGCTAAGCTAACTGCATCTTTAATGTCCAGACCCTACTTTTTGGGGTCCAGTCTGAAGTCTTCTGTCTTTTCTACAACTGCGTTAGTTTAAATGAAACACACCCAGTAATGATAGCAGTCATTTTGGCGGCTCACAAAATTGGAATTCTGAAAACATCCCAAAAGGTCTTCATAACTCTTAACATTCATTCAATTTTTATCTTAAATGCATCTTTAATACTTGGTTATTCTGAATGATTTCTACAACCTTAAAACATACAACTGCAACATGAGAAGCTCGTAATAAAGCTGCCTTCAAATGTCCCATAAACAAATCTGGTTCAAAATGTAACGTCTAATTGAGATAAAAAACACTAATTCAAGCATTTATGACCTCCATGTTTTATAACTTTTTTTTTTTTTTTATCGATTTCTCCGTGAAAATCGTTTCTTGTACTTTTTTTAGTTTTACGTTACGTACTTGTCTGGTGCACACTGGGGACTTGCACAATTATTCCAATGTGGTTTTACTGCAAAAGTCAAATACACTGAATGTGAAAGTGCCTCAGATCGTCACATTTGTCTCCGCCCCCTCTCCTCCACAGCTGGCGAGGGCAGCACTTCTGGGGCGTGTCGTGCGACGGTCTGAGCCTGTGTTCTCTGCCGCGGCCCGACAGCGGCGCCGCTCCGGGCCTCAGCGCCGTCCTGAGCTCCAGCGAAAAGCCCTCGGTCAAGTCCGCGCTCTCCTCGCTCTGTTCGCGTCTCGACTTCGCCTCCGGAGCCGGCTTCAAGATCCTGTGCGTGATCCAAGGCCTGGCCGACGTCTACGTGCTGTCGGAGGCAAGCACCTTCAAGTGGGACTCCTGCGCGCCGCACGTGCTTCTGCGGGCCATGGGGGGCGGCGTGGTGGACCTGAGGAAGGCTCTGGAGGCCGGGGGGCGGGGCCAGGCCGAGCCGAGCCAGGCCGAGCTGAGCCAGGCCGAGCCGAGCCAGGCCGAGCTGAGCCAGGCCGAGCTCAGCTATCACCAGCCCAACGCGTGCTCGGGGGCGGACCGCTGGGCCAACGCGGGCGGCCTGGTGGCGTACAGAGACCGCGCTCAGCTCCGGCGAGTGATCCAGGCGCTCCGAGGGAAGATCTAACCAGCACAAGATTTTTTTTTTTTTACATGTTTTATTCTTTATTTTATTATCAAACTAAAGCATACATTTAACATATTTACATAATGAGGATGTTTTGGTTTCATGCAGCGGTGTTTCGGGACACATTGTTTCACTCCATTTAATGCAATATTCTTAGATTTTTTATGGAGAATGTGTTTTTTGTCGAAACCCAAATTCTGTACGTAACAAATGATCACCGTACAGTTGGGTTGTTTCAAAGGTATTTGGGAGGGTTTTCTACTTCTACTAAACCAGGGGTCTCCAAAACTGTAGCTCGCCAGCCCCTTTCAGGTAGCTCGCCAAAGGATTTAGAATTTAACAAATACATTTAGGTGAATACTTTCTGAGCCCTTACATATATATTTTAAGTATGAATTTAGGGTTATACAGGATTATGGTGTATTCTACATTAGTTGTAATTATTAGATATATTTTTATTACGACTGCAGAAAGGAGTAGCTCTCTGCCTCTTTGTTTGTATAAAAGTAGCTCTCCGGTTGAAAAAGGTTGGAGACCCCTGATCTAAACTATTGGTCCTCCTAATTGTCAATCATTCTGGTGATATGCAAGACCCGATATTGAAGGTGGTTCTTTTCTAAAATTTGGGAAAATCCTCCTTTTTATACCTGTTTAAGGAATTTAAAGTATTTACTGGGAAAGCTGGGATGTTCTGGCAAACTTTACAATATAGATTATTTTTATTCTAATATATATATTCATGGTTTATTTGTAGAAAAAGGTGCACTGCAATTCACTTACATTTGTTTAATTATAGGCTGTAGATCCAGGACTGAGGCTGTAGATCCAGGACTGAGGCTGTAGACCCAGGACTGAGACTGTAGATCCAGGACTGAGGCTGTAGATCCAGGACTGAGGCTGTAGACCCAGGACTGAGACTGTAGACCCACGACTGAGGCTGTAGATCCAGGACTGAGTCTGTAGATCCAGGACTGAGGCTGTAGACCCAGGACCGAGGCTGTAGATCCAAGACTGAGGCTGTAGATCCAGGACTGAGGCTGTAGACCCAGGACCGAGGCTGTAGATCCAGGACTGAGGCTGTAGATCCAAGACTGAGGCTGTAGACCCAAGACTGAGGCTGTAGACCCAGGACTGAGGCTGTAGATCCAGGACTGAGGCTGTAGACCCAAGACTGAGGCTGTAGACCCAGGACTGAGGCTGTAGATCCAAGACTGAGGCTGTAGACCCAGGACTGAGGCTGTAGATCCAAGACTGAGGCTGTAGACCCGGGACCGAGGCTGTAGACCCGGGACCGAGGCTGTAGACCCGGGACCGAGGCTGTAGACCCGGGACCGAGGCTGTAGACCCGGGCCTGAGGCTGTAGACCCGGGACTGAGGCAGTTCTATTTATATAATTCTCAATAAAACTGAAATAGTCAACTTTAATAAAGTTTTCAGTATTTAAGGTTTTTTAAGGTTTGCCACTCACTTTAAATAGATACATAGGAAATATTCATAAATATATTTTTGCACAAAGAAAATGAAAAAAAATGCTTTAACTAAAACAAGTAATTATAAGTATTTAAGTATTATAACAAGCAAGTGATGTAACAGTTCAGTGTCAATGTAAACGTGAAGCAGATGAACTCTTCTTCTACTGTCCCGGAGGCAGCAGTCTAAGCAAGAGTGAAACCCTGACTCTCAATTTCAAGAAGATCATTTATTTACAATTTTGCACAAAAAAGTGAAATTACATGTTTTAAATGCAGGTCATGTTCTGCCCCCTGTGGCCAATGTTTGTCATTTCTCAACATTGATTCATATTCAGCTTTCTGTGTCTCATTAGTTATTTAAGACTGCGTTTAGGTGGTTCTGGAAATGTCTTCTCCTGAATGAAGGACGGATTATTTTACTTTTATTTTAAGGTGTGTATGGAGTAAAACATGACTGTGATCTTCAACGTTTTAAATAAATATATATGTAAGGAACGTCCCTTTTATTTTGAAGTTCGTCAGGGAAACTTGTGTGCTTCCGGACGGTACTTAACATGACGCGTGTGGGCTCGGGACGGTCCTGTCTGAACTGAAGGGGGATAAAAGGTGTGATTTTTATGATTCTTTTGTATGCTTTACTGACTCCATGTTTTCATGGTGTTTATCTTAGTGATTTTGTGTGAAGGAAATAAAAGGAGAAAATGTGCACATTCATCAGCACGAGCATTCTTCAATATATTGGCTGTTCTACAAACTGTTAGAGCACATTCTTGTTTCTGCAACGTACACGCTGAGGTGAGAGAGACCAGAGAGAGAGACCAGAGAGATACCAGAGAGAGAGAGACCAGAGAGATACCAGAGAGACCAGAGAGAGAGACCCGAGAGATGGAGACCAGAGAGAGAGAGACCAGAGAGATACCAGAGAGAGAGAGAGAGACCCGAGAGAGAGATACCAGAGAGAGAGAGACTAGAGAGATACCAGAGAGAGACCCGAGAGAGATACCAGAGAGACACCCGAGAGAGAGAGACCCGAGAGAGATACCAGAGAGACCAGAGAGAGACCCGAGAGAGAGAGACCAGAGAGAGACATCAGAGAGAGAGATACCAGAGAGACCAGAGAGAGAGAGACTAGAGAGAGAGAGACCAGAGAGAGAGACCAGAGAGAGACCAGAGAGATACCAGAGAGACCAGAGAGAGAGAGAGACCAGAGAGAGACCCGAGAGAGAGAGAGACCAGAGAGAGAGAGACCAGAGAGAGAGGAGAGAGAGAGACACCAGAGAAACACCAGAGAGAGAGACCAGAGAGAGACCCGAGAGAGAGAGACCAGAGAGAGACATCAGAGAGAGAGATACCAGAGAGACCAGAGAGAGACCAGAGAGAGAGAGACCAGAGAGAGACCAGAGAGACCAGAGAGAGACCCGAGAGAGAGACACCAGAGAGACAGACCAGAGAGAGAGACCAGAGAGAGAGGAGAGAGAGAGACACCAGAGAAAGACCAGAGAGAGAGACCAGAGAGAGACCAGAGAGACACCAGAGAAACACCAGAGAGAGAGGAGAGAGAGAGAGAGAGACCAGAGAGAGACCAGCAATAGAGAGAGACCAGAGAGATACAGAGACCAGCGAGAGAGACCAGAGAGAGAGACCCGAGAGAGAGAGACCAGAGAGAGAGACCAGAGAGAGAGACCCGAGAGAGAGAGACCAGAGAGAGAGACCAGAGAGACACCAGAGAGAGAGACCCGAGAGAGAGACACCAGAGAGAGACAGAGACCAGCGAGAGAGACCATCAGAGAGACCAGAGAGAGAGAGAGACACCAGAGAGAGACACCAGAGAAACACCAGAGAGAGAGGAGAGAGAGAGAGACACCAGAGAGAGAGGAGAGAGACCAGAGAGAGAGACCAGAGAGAGACACCAGAGAGAGACACCAGAGAGAGACCAGAGAGAGACCAGAGAGCGAGACCAGAGAGACCAGCAATAGAGAGAGACCAGAGAGAGACAGAGACCAGCGAGAGAGACCATCAGAGAGAGACCAGAGAGTGAGACCAGAGAGAGACAGAGAGCTGTGGTTTGAAAGAGGGAGCAGCTGAAGTGGAGGAAGTTTCCAGAGATTTTCAGCTTGAATGATCAGCTCCATATAAAGAAACAGATCTGGTCTTATGAAAACCTAATTCTCAAAGACCTTTTGCTTATGAAAGGCCTTATGAGGTAAAACAGAGAAGTGTTATTATGGAAACTGCTTTGGAAGTCGTGCAGCCGTCTGGGTTTGTGGACGTTGTAAATTATACCAATATTTTCTACCACTGCTCTGGTCGAGAATACGGTTTTTTAGCTGGAAGTCTCTCCATGGCCTCGCACCAAAATACATCAGAGACATGTTAAGGGACAGGGACTGATGGGACTCTGAGGAGCACAGGGACTGGCCTCCTGCTGGGACTCTGAGGAGCACAGGGACTGGCCTCCTGCTGGGACTCTGAGGAGCACAGGGACTGGCCTCCTGCTTGGACTCTGAGGAGCACCTACTCGACTTTGAAGAGGCATCTACTCAATCCGGATGAAGTGGAAGAAAAAGTGTTCATAACCATTTTCCACATTTTTAAATTCTACTTTTCTACCTCTTAAAATCAGAACTTAGTGACAAATCAAACAGATGAGACGTTTCAATGATTAAGAATAAAAATGATCACATGTGAAAACTGCTCTAAACCGACTTTTGGCCATGAGGTGCTAGGACACGCCAACATCCTGCCGGACCTCGACTCTGGAGAGCAGATCCAGCGACAGACTGTTCCACCCCCTCCCTGTGTGAAGGAGAGGGTGGATCAGGTCTTTCCCTCCTGCTGCTGTCAGACTGTACAATGAGAACTGCTGAGCCTGTCATTCATCTGTTCGTTACTTTATCCAATTATTCTTTGCTAATTTACATCATATATATTTTGTTTTGCTGTGTATTATAGGCATATAACCCAAACTAAAGCCAAACATACGTATGTCTATAGTGTGCTCCTTAGAGATAGGGTGAGGAACTTGGTCACATGGGAGGAGCTCGGAGTAGAGCTGCTGCTTCTCCACATTGAGAGGAACCAGTTGAGACCAGGTGAAGACCAGGACTCCCCCAGAGGAGTTAGAGCTAGTGTGTGGCTCAGACTGCTGCCCCTGCAACCCAGCCACGGATAAAGCGGAAGACAATGGATGGATGGATGGATGGAGAAGAAACACATTCCACATGTAGGAAACTTTTATTTTGAAAACCAGAGAAAGCAGGAAAAGGACTTTTATTTTGTCTGCCCGGGACCTCCCCATTTCATTTCTTACAAAATAATGATTGTCACATTTTTTGCGTAACTTCTGCATATTATTCTGTTAAAATTATTCTCTTCCCGGACGTGCTACCGTTAACCCCGACATTCTTCAACAGCAAAGCATCATGGGAACCCGCGCAGAAACACGTTGGTGGATAATTTAAGAAACAGAAATTTAGCGGCAACTTTGAACATTGTGATCAATAGAAAAACAAAATATGGCAAAAACATGGCAACAAAATCATTTACAAAATCCTGCCAAAAAAACTAAATAAAAGTTCATTTTGACAAAGTAGGTTTAATATAAGCTTGAAAACAGCGCTCTGATTGGTCCATTCACTTCCTGATCCATAGCAACAGCACGGTCAGCACTAGATCATATACGGAATCGGGACGGAAGCGGAAGTAAATATTACAAATTACCTATTAATGCCTAAATTTAACCAGCTATTCCCATAAAATAACCCCAACCCAGCCTTAACCCTAACCTTAACCATCTTACTCAGACGCCTAAAACTTAACCAGTCACCACTTAAGGACATATTAGTCTAAAACTAATTCGAAAGTACGAGTGTTACTTCCGGTTTCGTCCCGATTCCGTATATGATCTAGTGCCGACCGCAACAGCACAGAGATTGGTTTAATTTAATCTTCCCGAGTTTTGATTTGATTTACTTTGTTTAAAACGTGTAAATGTACCAAAACTGCATCCAACATTAATGACAATGTTGCAGTTTTTATTATCCCGCCCAGCATCTGAAGCTAAGCAGGGAAGGGCCTGGTCAGTACTGTGATGGGAGACCTCTGGGAACACCGGGGGCCACAGTGAATGTGTCTGGTCTGTGTTTGTGAACAGTTGGTACATATTGGTTGCCTCTCTTCTGTCAGTCTGCCCCAGAGCAGCTGTGGCTACAGTAGCAGTAATGTCAACCCCTTAACAATCATCAATTATCTTTCCATAATTCAACTAATCAATGCTTTTTTATTGGTTAAGTACTATTTGCGAGAAACATCAGAAATTCTTGCTTCTGCTTCTCTTCTACTTGTGGTAAGACGGACCCAACATTTATATTTCAACCACAAGAGGGCGCATTAGTGGTTTGACATCTGAAATATATTTGTTCTTACTCGTACTTAACCTTAATCTGTGAAGGCCAAAAGCATTCACAGGCGGATACCAAAATGTACCAATCCTTAATTCAGAAATATGAAGTCTCCCATAGATAAATTATTTTTCAATCTTTCAAAATACATCATTTATATTTTGAAATGTATCAGCTAATATTTACATTTTTAGACCCATTACAGCTGGGTTTAAGTGAAAATAGTGACATCTCTCTCACGCTGAAATGAAAAGACCTTCTTGCTGCGATTCTACTCCATACATTTATATATTTGACTGTAAAATATATCAAAATCTTAAAGTTAAACCCACTTTGCAAAACTTGGTAAACGCTGCTCAAAACCAGCCACGTCACGGAGCCAGGACTCGCCTGAACTGTGCAAATAACACAAACCATTTTTTTATTGTTAACCGCCCCGAAAAATAATATTATGAAAGTACAGAAGTGAATAAAGTCTCTGGCGTCTGCTCGAATTTCAGGTTTTTCCCAAATTCTACTTCACATGGATCTCTTCATAATACTGCTTTAAATGACTCCAGTCAAGAAATAACTGTTTAATAATTTACAGAAGAATAAGTGTGCATTAGTCGTTTATAAATGGATAAAACTTATTCAAAATTTAACTTTCCGTTCAACTCGTCCAGCACCTGCTTGTCTTAATGTGTAGCTCGGAATATTTAGCAACGTTAAGATTACTGAGCTAGAAGTTTACTTTCCCATGCTACACTGAGCTAGCGGGTTAGCATTGTCCATTTGTCTCCAGTCTGGGGGTCAAACCCATTTTTTTAAACAGGAGAAAGCAGATATTTTGTCTGCCCCATTTTTCGGCTTCTATAAAATCCCTAAGAAATTAAAGAGTTGAAATGGACCTCTTTTGAATAGATCCACGATTCATTTCTTGGACATGCTACAGCTAGCCCCGACATCGTTCAAATAATGTGATATTTGATAATGTGGCATTAGTTTTAACCCCTGTTGTGTGGTTGAATACTTAACATAGAGATTTTAAGCGGTGACAAGCAGGTGGAGGACGCCATTGTGTTTGATATTCAAGTAAACTGTTTTTGTTGTAAGGAAAAACCTCTGCTAGAAACGACCTTAAATCCTCAAATGTAAATCTGGAACGGAGAGGGTTTTTGAGAACGTGTCCTCATAACTCCAGCGACTCCCAAACGACATGAAATTCAAATGTTTCCGATTCGTTCTTCATTAAAAGTTCACTCGGTCGCGGTAAAAAGGTGTCTTCACAATCCCTTTTCTTCAGCAAATCCCAAAAATAACAAAAAGCAGAAATGATTTTGGCAGGACGAGAAACCAAGATGAGGAACTCAAAAAGGCGGAGACAGGTTTTCACACTGGCTTTGGCTCAAATGTTTATGTTTAACTGGATTTTTGTAAAGAAACCCCAAAGATACGGCATTGAATACAGAACTTTCTGGACCGACAAGCGCAGTGTGTAGAAGACCCTATTTTTATACGAGTCTGTGGTTGTATTATTGTAATTTAACACTGTTGTTTTAACTGGATTATAAAGAGGTGTTTTAACCTTTCGACTCTGGGAAAACCAATCTATTTTAGTGCTAGAGTTACAATGGAGACAATAAACTTCCTATTCCTACTAAAACACTTCTTCCTCATCTCTCTGCTGTTCACATAAACACACACGAAGCAGGAATGTGTGGTACGTCGTCAGCTCTGGAGATGGAGCTGTGTCCATACCCTTCCTGTCCTCCAGGGGGGCGCTCTAACACTGCCTTGACTTGAAAACAGTAGTGGCTTATTGGTCGGCACTAGATCATATACGGAATCGGGACGGAACCGGAAGTAAATACAACAAACTACCTATTAATGCCTAAACTTAACCAGACATTCCCATAAAATAACCCCAACCCGCCCTTAACCCTAACCTTAACCATCTTACTCAGACCACCTTAACCCTGACCTTAACCATCTTACTCAGACCACCTTAACCCTAACCTTAACCATCTTACTCAGACCACCTTAACCCTAACCTTAACCATCTTACTCAGACGCCTAAAACTTAACCAGTCACCACTTAAGGACTTTTTAATCTAAAACTAATTCAAAAGTAGAATTGTTACTTCCGGTTTCGTCCCGATTCCGTATATATGATCTAGTGCCGACCGTGGCTTATTAGTCCAGGAAGTACTGTGTGTTTTTCTCTACAGAAATAATGGGAGATTTTTTTATTGATCTGAAAACTTTCTGAAAACATGACCTGTAGTTTCCAAGAAGTCGGAGTTCTCTTTACCAACTCAGCTTCCAGAGTTCCACGCATTTTCAATTGTGGGAATTTTTGTTGGGAATAAACGGGAACTAACTTAACTTTATAAAATTGAAGGTTGGTTGTTTATAGGGAGCTTTATATAGAGAACTTGCTCTTCTTACAATGAAAATCTATTTAAATATTTTGCGTATTATGCTTTTTTTCTGACTTTTGTTATTTTTATAAATTTATGCTTGATACCATTTAAGTAACACAATTTATTCCCAGTTATGGATTATTTCCCATATACCCTAGCTTAAGTTCCCATGGGAATTTACTGGACATTTTCCACCACTTTGCAACCCCACCACCAACCGCCAAATATAACACATTTTTATATTTTATTTGAGTGTTTGGGAATGACAGGCAGCACAACGTCCAAATGTGGATTGGGGCAAAGCGAGAGTCCATGTGGTTAATAGTAAATACATTCTCATCTTGTTTTCAAATGCATCTGCCATAATTTCATGACTCGCTGTGAGAAAGCTGAAAGTGCTCTTTATTGCCCTCTGCTGGCCTCTACACGTGACTGCACTTTACTGCCCTCTGCTGGCCTCTACACGTGACTACACTTTACTGCCCTCTGCTGGCCTCTACACGTGACTACACTTTACTGCCCTCTGCTGGCCTCTACACGTGACTGCACTTTACTGCCCTCTGCTGGCCTCTACACGTGACTGCACTTTACTGCCCTCTGCTGGCCTCTACACGTGACTACACTTTACTGCCCTCTGCTGGCCTCTACACGTGACTACACTTTACTGCCCTCTGCTGGCCTCTACGCGTGACTGCACTTTACTGCTGCCCTCTGCTGGCCTCTACACGTGACTACACTTTACTGCCCTCTGCTGGCCTCTACACGTGACTGCACTTTACTGCCCTCTGCTGGCCTCTACACGTGACTGCACTTTACTGCCCTCTGCTGGCCTCTACACGTGACTACACTTTACTGCCCTCTGCTGGCCTCTACACGTGACTGCACTTTACTGCCCTCTGCGGGCCTCTACACGTGACTACACTTTACTGCCCTCTGCTGGCCTCTACACGTGACTACACTTTACTGCCCTCTGCTGGCCTCTACGCGTGACTGCACTTTACTGCCCTCTGCTGGCCTCTACACGTGACTACACTTTACTGCCCTCTGCTGGCCTCTACACGTGACTACACTTTACTGCCCTCTGCTGGCCTCTACACGTGACTGCACTGTGACATCAGATTGTTTTGGAGGCGGTGGTGTGAGGGAGGCATTTGGAGGAAAATCTCGAAACGATTCAGATTCAGATCCGGGCGGCACAAACTTGTCCCAAAACCAGTGAGAAAATCAAATTGGTGAATCTAAAGTAAGCACCAGCAGCGAAACTTCATTTAAACCAGCTGCGATTTCCTGTACACTGCAAAAAGTGATGACAAATAAGTCAAAATCTGCTGAATCTTTGCTTAATCTGAGCAGATTTTCACTGCCTTAAAACAAAATTTGCCAACGGAACCAACAGAATAATCTTGTTTTCACCAAATATACAAGAAATCTCTCCCTTGTCCCAATGGCAAATGTTTTAAAGGCAGTGAAAATGTGCTCAAACTAAGATAAAAACCCACTCAGATTCATGTATAAATGATCTACTTTCATCATTTTTTGCAGTGTGGACCCAGCGCATGTTAAATTCAAAATGGCCATTACTTCCTGTATCCACGTCTCGCAACAGTCTCCTTCACCTCTGGAAAGGTTTGCGCACTTTTTTCCTCCTCCGCGTCGCTTTGCCAGGCTCCGCCCACGTCTCGGCTGCCTCGGGGCGCTGGTTCCCCGGGGGAGGAGGGGGGAAGGTGGGGCCGGCCGTGGCTCCGGGGCCCGTGGGGGGGGGAGGAGGGGCGGTGGGGAAGAAGGTGCCGTTCGCAGACATGTCAGTAGGAGGCGCTGCGCCCTTAAAGATGCGGTTAAAGAAGTCCTGCAGGTCGGAGGGGTTTGTGGGACCAGGGGGGTGCTCCGGGGGGGCTCTGAGGGACACAGGGAAACAGGACGGAACGTTATGAAGCATTTACAGATACTGGAAGTTTGATTTAGTGTAAATTAGATAAAATCTGACTTTTGGGCCTAAAACTGTCTGTGTGGTGCCCTCTTTACGTTTTTGTGGCACTAGATTTGAATTTGGTCCTGGACTCTCATTGGCTCTGGAGTACTGTGTGAATTTGGTCCTGGCCTCTCATTGGCTCTGGAGTACTGTGTGAATTTGGTCCTGGCCTCTCATTGGCTCTGGAGTACTGTGTGAATTTGGTCCTGGCCTCTCATTGGCTCTGGAGTACTGTGTGAATTTGGTCCTGGCCTCTCATTGGCTCTGGAGTACTGTGTGAATTTGGTCCTGGCCTCTCATTGGCTCTGGAGTACTGTGTGAATTTGGTCCTGGCCTCTCATTGGCTCTGGAGTACTGTGTGACATCATGCTAACGACTCACTCGGGCGCATTACACACGTCACGGTAAACTCAGATCCAAAAGGAGTTAGCCCCTCCCACCTGTTAACGGAGTCAATGGAGCAAATCCAGACCTTAGTACGAAATGTAATTTGTACTATGGTGTGGCACGACCAGGCCAGTTCAGGTGTGTAGCTCTACAATTATCTTAGTGTGTAAAAACACAAGGGTGGAATGAGAATTTCTGGTGTGTAAACTATTGCTTTAAGCAGCAATGACAAAGCTGTGATTGACAGGCGAGTTGTCAATCACAGCCCAGACCACGCCCTGCTCTAAGCCCCCCTTCTTGTCCTTGGTCCTCCAGGCAACGCCCTTTTTAGAGAGAATATTCAAATGGTCATGTGGGCGGAGTCAGGCTGGAGACTGGCGTTTAGTTTTCCTTTAAAATGGTTCGAACCGAGCAGACTCTGCAAAGATCAACCAGAGGAATCACCGGCGGCTTCACCTGCTGCTGCTGCACTTTATTACTATTGTTAGTAACATAAGAATATAGTAGTAAGTAAGCTTTATTTATATAGCGCCTTTCACAGACCAGAGTCACAAAGAAGTTTACAATTGTTATTTTTTGGGCACTTGTCCTCTCACTCCACACAGAGATGGGAGCGGGGTCGCCGAACAGGAGGCGCATGCCAGAACTATTGTACATATTTTTAGTGGTAGGGGAAACCGGAGTACCCGGAGGAAACCTACGCAGGCACGGGGAGAACATGCAAACTCCACTCAGAAAGGCCCTGATCCGGCCGGGATTCGAACCCAGGACCTTCTTGCTGAGAGGCCAGAGTGCTATCCATAGCACTCTGGCCGATACTACTACTACTTACTTACTTACTACATAAGAATATGAAAAAATATGTATTTGTTTGTATGGATGGAAGTGTTTCTGCTGCTGGACACCTGCATTTCTCCTCTGGGGGATTGATGCAGACGTAAATAAATCAAAGTAAAGGTTTAAAGCTGGGTTTGTACCGGTGCCTCGTGGCGCTGCTGTTCTTGGCTCCAAACGAGATGTGGTACGGCACGCGGTGAGTGTCCGGGGAGATGCTGATCCTCTGGCAGCCGGCCCACTCTGAAATCAGGAAACACACTTTATACATGTGTTCTTTTCTTCTACAGCAGCGTGGGATCTGACCATCTGCATGTTCTGGACTCAGGACAAAAAAAACGACGGATCCAAGGACTCATATTCAAACTCTTTAGGGCCGAGGAGACGCTGTAATCTCTGTGTCGCTGCTAAATATTATTATCTTGACTGACTTTGTTCTGACCCACATTGTTACTAGTATCTACATCAGGGGTCTCCAACCTTTGTCTCCACCCTCTTCAAAGTAGCTCCTAAAGGATCATTTCACATCCTTACAACTATCCCTACTTTCGCTTTAACTAATACATTCTGATAGATTGCGGTCTTAAACCCATAAAACATTGTAAAACATGCCAAAAAACGTTATAAACTACCCAGATTGTAACAGTTTTAAATAGTATTTTTCAATGGAACCAATAATACAATTGTTACACCAGTCTGACATACGACTAAAGCTGGTTGTTCCATTTGAAATCCTTTAATTTATTATTCTAAGAACGTCAAAATGATTCTCACTACCACTCTTTCTTTGTCTCTCTGGGGTAAAAGGCTGGAGACTTCTGATCTGTGGCTTATTCATCGAAGGGCTGGCGATAAAAACCATAACACTGGGTAACAGAAAAATATGTGTTGAAAATAGTCCAGGGGTTTTCAGCTGAATTAGACTAATGTTGATGCTCCGAGTCCGAAAATGACCTTGGTTTTGCTCAATCAGGTCAGGATTTTTTGCTACAGAAATATTTTTTTAAATCGATTTTGCGTAAAAACCAAATTTCTGCGGATCATCAGCTGAGAAACCCTTGACGTTTTTCCGTTTTCCTCAAGAAATAAAAGTCAACGTATCCAAAGTCATTCAGTTTTTATTTACTCCATCAAATTTGATAAGCAGAATCCATAATAACGTAGACGTACATCCGTAACACTGTGGCTGTATCTCACACAGTTGACCTGATAGAGACAAATGCATGAGATATTCGGACTCAGAACACCAACATTAGTCTGAATCAGCTGAGAAACCCCTGAGCATTTTTTGGCTGTCAACTTGTGTTATCAATAGAAATGGGGTCAATAATTTCACTTAAGTCTGTTAGAAAAGAAAACAGGAAGAAAAGCTGAGCCAGAAGCACACTGCATTCTGGGAGAAATAGGCACAGGCTTCTCGACCAACCGCAAGGCATTCTGGGAAAAGCAACACACACAAAAAGACAACAACAACAACGGCGGCGGCGGCGAACGAGGAGGAGTGAGAGCAGCAGCGGGAATCGATGTCGTAGATAAAAAAGGAAAGGTCACTTCACCCGGTGCTGTCTCTGTCTCAACGCTCCGGAACCAGTCCCAGAGTACCTGTGATCCCCTGAGAACGGCGTGTCCCTGTGATCCCCTGAGAACGGCGTGTCCCTGTGATCCCCTGAGAACGGCGTGTCCCTGTGATCCCCTGAGAACGGCGTGTCCCTGTGATCCCCTGAGAACGGCGTGTCCCTGTGATCCCCTGAGAATGGCGTGTCCCTGTGATCCCCTGAGAACGGCGTGTCCCTGTGATCCCGTGAGAGCGGCGTGTCCCTGTGATCCCGTGAGAACGGTGTGTCCCTGTGATCCTGTGAGAGCGGCGTGTCCCTGTGATCCCGTGAGAGCGGCGTGTCCCTGTGATCCCCTGAGAATGGTGTGTCCCTGTGATCCCCTGAGAACGGCGTGTCCCTGTGATCCCGTGAGAGCGGCGTGTCCCTGTGATCCCGTGAGAGCGGCGTGTCCTTGTGATCCCCTGAGAATGGCGTGTCCCTGTGATCCCCTGAGAACGGCGTGTCCCTGTGATCCCGTGAGAGCGGCGTGTCCCTGTGATCCCCTGAGAACGGCGTGTCCCTGTGATCCCCTGAGAACGGCGTGTCCCTGTGATCCCCTGAGAACGGTGTGTCCCTGTGATCCCGTGAGAGCGGCGTGTCCCTGTGATCCCGTGAGAACGGCGTGTCCCTGTGATCCCGTGAGAGCGGCGTGTCCCTGTGATCCCCTGAGAACGGTGTGTCCCTGTGATCCCCTGAGAACGGCGTGTCCCTGTGATCCCCTGAGAACGGCGTGTCCCTGTGATCCCCTGAGAACGGCGTGTCCCTGTGATCCCCTGAGAACGGCGTGTCCCTGTCATCCCCTGAGAACGGCGTGTCCCTGTCATCCCGTGAGAGCGGCGTGTCCCTGTGATCCCGTGAGAGCGGCGTGTCCCTGTGATCCCGTGAGAGCGGCGTGTCCCTGTGATCCCCTGAGAACGGCGTGTCCCTGTCATCCCCTGAGAACGGCGTGTCCCTGTCATCCCGTGAGAGCGGCGTGTCCCTGTGATCCCGTGAGAGCGGCGTGTCCCTGTGATCCCCTGAGAACGGCGTGTGCCTGTGATCCCGTGAGAGCGGCGTGTCCCTGTGATCCCCTGAGAACGGCGTGTCCCTGTGATCCCCTGAGAACGGCGTGTGCCTGTGATCCCGTGAGAGCGGCGTGTCCCTGTGATCCCGTGAGAGCGGCGTGTCCCTGTGATCCCCTGAGAATGGCGTGTCGCTGTGATCCCCTGAGAACGGTGTGTCTCTGTGATCCCCTGAGAACGGCGTGTCCCTGTGATCCCGTGAGAGCGGCGTGTCCCTGTGATCCCCTGAGAACGGTGTGTCCCTGTGATCCCCTGAGAACGGCGTGTCCCTGTGATCCCGTGAGAGCGGCGTGTCCCTGTGATCCCCTGAGAACGGTGTGTCCCTGTGATACCTGAGAACGGCGTGTCCCTGTGATCCCCTGAGAACGGCGTGTCCCTGTGATCCCCTGAGAACGGCGTGTCCCTGTGATCCCGTGAGAGCGGCGTGTCCCTGTGATCCCCTGAGAACGGCGTGTCCCTGTGATCCCCTGAGAACGGCGTGTCCCTGTGATCCCCTGAGAACGGCGTGTCCCTGTGATCCCCTGAGAACGGCGTGTCCCTGTGATCCCCTGAGAACGGCGTGTCCCTGTGATCCCCTGAGAACGGCGTGTCCCTGTGATCCCCTGAGAACGGCGTGTCCCTGTCATCCCATGAGAGCGGCGTGTCCCTGTGATCCCGTGAGAGCGGCGTGTCCCTGTGATCCCCTGAGAACGGTGTGTCCCTGTGATCCCCTGAGAACGGCGTGTCCCTGTGATCCCGTGAGAGCGGCGTGTCCCTGTGATCCCGTGAGAGCGGCGTGTCCCTGTGATCCCCTGAGAACGGTGTGTCCCTGTGATCCCCTGAGAACGGCGTGTCCCTGTGATTCTTGAGAACGGTGTGTCCCTGTGATCCCCTGAGAACGGCGTGTCCCTGTGATCCCCTGAGAACGGCGTGTCCCTGTGATCCCCTGAGAACGGCGTGTCCCTGTGATCCCATGAGAAAGGCGTGTCCCTGTGATCCCATGAGAAAGGCGTGTACCTGTGATCCCATGAGAAAGGCGTGTACCTGTGATCCCGTGAGAGCGACGTGTACCTGTGATCCCGTGAGAGCGACGTGTACCTGTGATCCTGTGAGAGCGACGTGTACCTGTGATCCTGTGAGAGCGACATGTACCTGTGATGTCGTAGACTTTCCCGTCCATGCAGGCGAAGTAGGTGATGCGTAGACCCAGCATGCTTGACTCCGCCCACAGGTCGCCCTCTTCGGCGCTATGGCAACGGTTACACTCGGCACAGAAGCGCGCCGCGGACGGCTCGCGGTCCATCTCGAAACGCCTGAACACAACGTGAAAAACAGCCTTTAGGAGCAGCAGGAGGAGCAGGAGGAGGATCAGGAGGAGGAGCAGGAGCAGCAGCAGGAGGAGCAGCAAGAGAAGGAGCAGCAGGAGGAGCAGCAGGAGCAGGAGGAGGATCAGGAGGAGCAGCAGGAGGAGGATCAGGAGCAGCAGGAGCAGCAGGAGCAGCAGGAGGAGCAGGAGGAGCAGCAGGAGGAGGAGTGAGACCTGCTCTGATGAGTCACTCGTCACTTTACCTGCTGCTGTTTTTAAGTAAAATATCAACCATAAAAAATAAGTAAAAAATTGCTCAAATTTGGCAAAATTTATCTTAATTTGACCACATTTTCAATTTCAATTCAATTCATTTCAGACAAGGTCTGAAAAAGGGAAAAGGCAGAAGCTAAAGTTTAAAGACCCTTTATTCTGACTGAGCTTTGAACCAAGATGTTCCAACAGAAAATATACAAGAAATGTCTGGAATAAGACAAGTGTCTTTGTCTCGGTGGAGACTCCTTTTAAGGATCACAACGTGCTCTAAATAAAATAAATACATCTATAAATCTATATTTACGGTGTCTACAAATGACCTATCAGTAGATCCTGTTTGATCAATGCAATGATATATGTTTGAGTTTTACAAACAATGAGAGTGGTTTTATCGTGGAGTTCGTTCTGTGTTATTTAAACATCTCTTGTATATTTTTAAACAAGATAATTTTGCTTTGTGCGTTTGTTTATGTTGAAGTGTTTGAATCTTCATTACTTGTGTTTTCCTTCACACTTGGTGCACATCATGGTGTTCATCGCTTCTTTCAGGTCGTCCTGGAGTTTAGTGAGAAACTCGTTCATGGACTTGGAGAGTTCAGATGCCGCCATCCTCTTCCTGCACAGAGATAACAACAGACAAAAGTAGATCTGTCAAAATAATTACTGCACCGGAGTAAGACGCTGCATATATCCTTATTCATTCACTACTACTGTAGCCACAGCTGCCCTGGGACAGGGCCTTCTCTGTGGTCTCAAACCCAGAGCACAGGGCCTTCTCTGTGGTCTCAAACCCAGAGCACAGGGCCTTCTCTGCGGTCTCAAACCCAGAGCACAGGGCCTTCTCTGTGCTCTCAAACCCAGAGCACAGGGCCTTCTCTAGTCTCAAACCCAGAGCACAGGGCCTTCTCTGGTCTCAAACCCAGAGCACAGGGCCTTCTCTTAAACCTGTCCTCAGTGTTTACGGTTATATAATAATAGTTTTTCATATACACACAGTATAAAGCTGGCATATAAACTTGCATAATGAAATGTGTTTGGACATGTGTTGTAGAAGGTGTGCTACATAATTAAAGTGGATGGTATTCCTCTGGTGTGGTACTCACAGCTCGTACTCTCGTCTGGTCTCGGGGTTACTGACGATGTCCCAGGCGGCGCGCAGTACTTTGAACGCCTCTCCGGCTCGAGGGTGTTTGTTTTTGTCCGGATGAACCTGGAGCAGAGAGAGAGAGTTCACTGCGACTGTAAAGAATCTCTGAGGCCACGGAACGACTGCCGCTCACTTCGGAAAATTAGAATCAAGCATCAGAGATTTAGTCACATTTAGTCAAACCGATCACTTCTACATTTCCACTGTTACGTTTAGACCAGGGGCGTCCAACTCATTTACAGTTTAAAAACAGCTGGAAACGGCAGAGAGGCCTGAGTAGATCTCAAACAGTATCTTTCTTGTTTTTTTCTGTCTGTAAACGCCGGTGCAGTAGTACAATAGTTTTAGACTGATCCAGACCAGAGCAGAGAGGATGCACGCTCCCAACCGAGCAGAGATCCACTGGACGAAAACACTTGTTTCGTAAATATGCTAACGAAGCATCCAGAATTTCACTCTGAACCAGAGCAGAGAAAATCATCCAAACCAAGCAGACTCTGCAAACACAGGCTACACCACCGGCTGCTGCTGCTGTGGTGTTAGTAACTTATAGAATTATGTATTTATTTGTTTGTTTGTTAGGGGTGGGAACCTCACAATACAATATGCGATACAAAGCTCACGATATGACGATGCAGCGATTATTGATATATTGGTCAGAAATATACCTACCATAATATTTTTCTTATATTTATGGCATAAATTAAGTGAAAGAATGCACTTTATTTCAAGATAAATGGATAAAGTGTCATGTGTAACACTAAAGTGAACAAGCAAAAATGCCTTTTAACTGCACATTTTAGTAAAAATCTAACTTAATCCGTCTCACATTCAATAAAATCAATAAAAACATTCTAAATAAATTCGATTTTGGTTTTTTTTTTCAAGTAAAGTTTTTTTTTTTATCGATAATTATCAAAAACATATAATTGATTGTGTGAGAAAGTATCACGATACATCACCATATCGATATATTGTCACACTCTGTATCAGTAACATTTCACTAAAAACAACAAAGATTCCTTAGACTTTTTCCGTACTTTTACTGCGTCTAAAAATGTCCAATGGCGATACTTTTCCCACGTGCCTCTTCATGTACAAATGGACCTTATGGAAACTTCATCAGATATTTGCAGTTATCGGACACGATGGAGAATGTGTTTATGAAAAGTGCTGTAAACAAAGTGGATGTGCTGGGATCAAACACGTGTCCATCTCGGTCTGTGGCTCTCACCTGCACCGCCAGCTGCCGGTACGCCTTCTTCAGCTCCGCCTCCGTCGCGTGCACCTCCACCCCCAGCACCGAAAAGGGGTCCAGCTCCTCCTCCGGGACGTCGGCCAGGGCCAGCAGCCGCTCCAGCTCCTGCCCTGGTGCCCCTCTGCCCCCCTGCCCCGGGGACTCTGGGCTGGACGGGGCGCATTTCCTCCTAAAACTGTTCCTTACATTCTCTATCAACCCCACCAACTTCTGCCAAAACCTCGACTCTTGAATATACGTCCAGAGCCGCTTCCCCCGCTCTCCGCCGACGCGCCCCGCAACTCCTCGCATCCAGAGAAAAGCAAGAAACGCCAGGGCGCAGAAAAGTTTACAGCACGTTAAGGCAGAAGACATTGTGATTTTCCCGTACGTAACTAGTCTGTCTTTAATATTCCACGCGTTGCTTTTAGTCCAATTGAACATCCGGGACGCGTCTGCCCTCATCGCGTCTACATCCGAGACTTTACCCACCAGTTTCTGCCCAAAGTTGTACAATCTGACCCCGCCGGCTTCCACCGCCACGCCACAGTTATGAGTCAAAGTCACTATGATTTCTATCATCATATGGACGCAGGACATGCACCACAAGCCCACGGATTCGGACAGCGTCTCCTTTAACGAGGCTAACAGCTGGTTGCCGGTCTTTCGCCGGCCTCGGGTTGGTTGGTGGTGGTGGTGGTTGCGTCTCCGGGCTTGTTTGTGTCGAGGAACGCCGCTGCCTTTCGGGGCATAAGCCGGGTTCGCTTCGGAAAAGGACACGCTGTTTTTGACCCGGCCTTTCTTCCCGGCGTTCCTCCAGCCGTTCATCTCCCTCTGGTCCTCCTCGTCCGCCATGTTGTCCACGTCCGGGTCCAGTTCGTCGGATATATCCTCGGTGACGTCCTCCGGGTCGTCTTTGGACTCGTAGAACTCGCCGATGCCGGAGTCGTGGGGGCTGGACGGAGTTTGGTTTCCCTGCGACGCCTCTTCCTCTTCTTCGGTGTCTCCGTTATCGAGGCAGGGGCTCTCCTCGCGGTCCGCCAGCCCCTCCAGCTCCTCTCCTTCAGCGGCCATTGTCGAACAGCTTAAATAGATGCGTTCAAAACCAACTTCCTGAAGTCATTGTAGTGGGTCTCATCTGGGCTCAGGCCAGACTTTTACAATGGGACAGTTCTCGGGCCTCTCGCTGCCGGTTCAAGTTCAGCACCATCTCCGCAGCGTTCAGAGATTCAACTCTTACATGACGTTTTCAACCTGGAAAACAAAACAAAAACGTGTACTTTTTATGGATCTGAAATAAAAACCTTTCACTAATACAACAAAGATTTCTTTTTACGCACTGAAGCTGATGCTGCCTCTAGACACTTATCCCATGTGCATCTTCATTATAAATTAGCATTTTACTTTGGACCAGAGCAGAGAAAATGGTCCGAACCAAGCGGCCACTCCACCTGGTGACCCGCCCTGCTCCACCCAGAGGCTACTCCACCTCTGCTGCTGTGACCCGCCCTGCTCCACCCAGAGGCTACTCCACCTCTGCTGCTGTGACCCGCCCTGCTCCACCCAGAGGCTACTCCACCTCTGCTGCTGTGACCCGTCCTGCTCCACCCAGAGGCTACTCCACCTCTGCTGCTGTGACCCGTCCTGCTCCACCCAGAGGCTACTCCACCTCTGCTGCTGTGACCCGTCCTGCTCCACCCAGAGGCTACTCCACCTCTGCTGCTGTGACCCGTCCTGCTCCACCCAGAGGCTACTCCACCTCTGCTGCTGTGACCTGAAGGGCTATTGCTGATTTTATTTTTGCTGCCACTGGACACCTGACTTTCTCCTACGAGGATCAATAAAGTATCTATCTCTAAATAGACCTTATGGAAACTTTGTGTCTTCATCAGATATTTACAGAATAGAAACAATGGATTACTTTTGAATTATGCATTAGCCTTTTATTGTGCAGCACTTTGGAAATTGTGTTCATGAAATGTGCCAATCCACTATTGGAGAACACTTCACTGGGTCCCTAGATTTTATTAATAATAATGTGATTTTTTTCACTTGTTAATGCTGTTTTAATGTTCTTCTCACTCTCTCCTGCAGTGAGTGATTGAATGTGTATTAAGATAAGACTTTATTACAGGGGCCGATCAAAGGACACATTCCCTCAGGTGAGTCCAGTTTTAACCTGAAGGTTTGAGGAAATGGGTGGAGTCCGATGTGATCCTTCTCAGGTTGGAACTCAATCCTGCAGCTACACAGAGCCCTTCTGGAACCGGTTGGACATCTCTGGTGTATTATTAAAATCAACTCAACCAGTTCTGTTACCTGCGAGGTGTGGATCCATTGTTTCATTTCCGACTAAAATCTCATTTGACTGTATATTATCTTCTTAAAACTGTACGTAGGTAATAACACATGAAGAATCAATTCCAAAAGGTATAGACATAATATTATCTTAAAACTAAGTTCAACCACACAATTCTTTAGAAAGTCATCTCAAATATCCACTGCTGAGTTTACGTTGACAAAGTGTGTGTTTTACCAGGAGTGCGAGGTGAAAGAAGGAATGAAGTAAACATTAACTCTGTCTATTGACCTGACAGGTCATTAGACTCATCAGGTTGATAGGAAAGATCGTCAGTGTCTCCTCTTTCCGAGGAAATTGAGAATTTCCACAGACTCTAAGATTCTGTGTAACTTTTATTGCAGCACTATTGAGAGTTTTCTTGTTGGTTCCGTGACTGTGGTTTGGCAACATCACAGACAAAGAAAGGAGAGCAGAGACAGACCAGAGAGAGAGGCCAGAGAGAGAGAGAGAGGTCAGAGACAGACCAGAGAGAGACCAGACAGAGAGGCCAGAGAGAGAGACCAGAGAGAGAGGTCAGAGAGAGAGGTCAGAGACAGACCAGAGAGAGAGACCAGAGAGAGAGACCAGAGAGAGAGACCAGAGAGAGAGAGACCAGAGAAAGAGGCCAGAGTAAGAGAGACCAGAGCGAGAGACCAGAGAGAGAGGCCAGAGAGAGAGACCAGAGAGAGAGGTCAGAGAGAGGGGCCAGAGAGAGAGGTCAGAGACAGACCAGAGAGAGAGACCAGAGAGAGAGGCCAGAGAGAGAGGCCAGAGAGAGAGGTCAGAGAGAGAGAGAGGTCAGAGAGAGAGACCAGAGAGAGAGGTCAGAGAGAGAGACCAGAGAGAGAGGTCAGAGAGAGAGACCAGAGAGAGAGAGACCAGAGAAAGAGGCCAGAGAGAGAGAGACCAGAGAAAGAGAGACCAGAGAGAGAGAGACCAGAGAGAGAGACCAGAGAGAGAGACCAGAGAGAGAGGCCAGAGAGAGAGAGACCAGAGAAAGAGAGACCAGAGAGAGAGAGACCAGAGAGAGAGACCAGAGAGAGAGAGACCAGAGAGAGAGACCAGAGAGAGAGACCAGAGAAAGAGAGACCAGAGAGAGAGAGACCAGAGAGAGAGACCAGAGAGAGAGGTCAGATAGAGAGACCAGAGAGAGAGGTCAGAGAGAGAGAGAGGTCAGAGAGAGAGGCCAGAGAGAGAGACCAGAGAGAGAGGCCAGAGAGAGAGGTCAGAGAGAGAGACCAGAGAAAGAGAGACCAGAGAGAGAGACCAGAGAGAGACCAGGGAGAGATCAGTGGATCTTAAATATAAAGCATCAAATGGCATCACTATAATCTTATATTGGTGGTTAATAATAGATCATAAAGACTAAAAGTGATTGGTTAAAAACACGAGACTTGAATCTTTTAGGATAACACTAGAAACGCGACTCGTGAAACATCATAACAACATCTCACAACTATGTTACGCTGTTTTCCCTGGTCCTTCTGCTGATACGTGCTCTTCAAATATGACCACAGAGTTTTGTTAAAAAGTGGAGATGGAGGTTCTTTCCTAAAATCTAGGCATATCCTCCAATAAACCTGTAAGATTAGGGAATATAAGGAACAGAAAATGCCACATATAGACACCACCCATGCAGTTAAAATAATATTCACCAGACAGCTACATGTCTCCCACTAAACAAATCCAAAGAGACTATCTGAATGGCTAATGTTAGCTGACTCAGAAGCCTGGACCTGCAGCACTGCCAACAATGATTCCACAGTCTAATTTTAGCCTGCTTCTCCTGGGTTATCAACGAATATACCACGTCAAATAATACACATACAAGGTGGAAAAACATGTATTTTAGAGCTGGGAACTGGTGACAATCAATCCAGTCCAGTTAATGCTGTTTTATCCCATTTTCCAAACATGATGCTAACTGTGAAGCTAAGTTAGCATCGAGAAGGGTCGAGCTCAAAGAAGCGTCTCTCTGTGATTTCCGGTCTGTAAAACTGAATTATTTTAAGAACAGCTGATTAAAACAACGCGAATGTAAGTTATGGTTGACATGCAGGGGTGAGAATGCAGATAAGACTGTACCTGAGCTTGCATTTGTGCGCTAGTTTGAGAAGTATCCGTGTTGTTTATTTTAGCCACTTCCTTCCAGGCTCTTGCTCTACGCTGCGCTGCGCTGTGTGGACGCGGAGCAGCAGCGCCTCTAGCGGTGCCACAGGGGAACTGCAACAATACGATACACATACATGATGAGAGATTTGTTCGTTTTAGGTAAGGAATTATACTGAGTAAAATAATTTTTTTTGTCGTTCATAAAGCAGGGAATTACATAAGTCCAAGACAACAGTGATTATACTATAAAATATCTAAATGAAAACACACACAGAGGGCACATTGTAAGAAAGACAAACCCAGAGAGAGAGAGAGAGACCAAAGGGAGAGATCAGTGAGAGACCAGAGAAACCAGAGAGAGACCAGAGAGAGACCATAGAAACCAGAGAGAGACCAGAGAGAGACCAGAGAGAGACCAACGGAAGAGACCAGAGAGACCAATGAGAGATCAGTGAAAGACCATAGAGACCATGAGAGATCAGAGAGAGACCAAAGAGAGACAGACCAATGAGAGACCAAAGGGAGAGATCAGTGAGAGACCATAGAAACCAGAGAGACCGGAGAGAGAGAGACCAGAGAGAGAGAGAGAGACCAGAGAGACCACACAGAGAGAGACCATGATTTATAAGAGTACATAGAGGACTAACAGGGACCTGCTCAAGGATCTGAGGCTGCAGGTCCTGATCGACAGTTCAGAAGTGTAGCTTGAGGCCTAAACATGCTTTAAAAAAGTGATCAGTAAAATCTTAAAATCAATTCTAAAATGTACAGAAGATGCTATATCAGGAATGATCACCTTTCTGCTAAATCCTGTTATAACCAGTTAAAAACATTTGTGTGTGATGCATCAAGACGGATATTCATAGTTATACCCAACTCTAAAATCAAAACAAAAAGAATGTTGTACCCAATTTATAAGCTTTCTCATCGCTTCCTGGACAGTACATTTTTCACAAACATGAGAAAGATACGCACAACAAATTCACTGTGTCTAATACTGTATATGTATCAATGCCACAAGTGTTCGGCGTCTCGCTTCTGTCATTACCATAGTGTGAAGGAAATGGAAAATATTGGTGCTCTAAAATCATTGTGAAGCTCTTAGTGTTACCATAGATTTCTCACATTATTCCCCAGATGCAGGAGGGTCTAAGGACAGTGATGATCTGGGACATTTAGGGACACTTATTCAATATTGTTTATAGAAAAAAGCCACTACCCTTGGACCAATTCCTCCCATGTGTTTGTTATTATTGTATTGTGGCCTATACCTGCATCTGACAGCCTTGATCCTGTCAGACCTCTGAAGCTGCTCTTAGCTTGACAAAAGCTGTGTGTGAGAAAGATTGGTGGTGGTCAGAGGTACTGGCTATAGTAGTAGTTTATTTATAGAGGGAATGAATGAATGAATTACGTTTCTTTCGGTCACTTGAACATTTTACACATTGTCACAGGACAGTAAATTACAGCAGAAAGAAAGACCGAAAAGAAGTTTATAGGCTGAAGCTATAAGGGAAAGAAAAATGACGCCTGAATATATATATATAAACCAATGCATTATTATCATTATTTCCTGTTTTTTGAATTGTTTGATTCTCTCTTATGTTCTTGGCAAATCAGCAACTGTGTAAAGTCTTCTGAGAGAGACAACTGCTATTGTGATTTAGGCCAAAACACTGAAACTTAATGGGTGTAGTACAACTTTGTATGAGATGCATTTCTTTAGCTTTCTTCTGCAATTACAGGCAAGAACTCACGCTGTAAGAGGTCTAAAGGTCATGTTGTTATTGTCTATAACTGCACACTAATTGGAGTTGAATGTGAAGGCGGGGAGCGAACTCAGGCACCTCTGTCGCAGCAGCAGCAGCAGCAGCAGCAGCAGCAGCAGCAGCAGCAGCAGCAGCAGCAGCAGGAGCAGCAGGAGGAGGAGAGAAGGAGGATCGCATCTTGAAAGTCGCAGCAGAGGGTTAATTTCATCCCCCCCACGCCCACCGCCCACTGCTCCACTTTGAAAGCCGCCTCTGTAACCGGGAGAGGAAGGCTCTTTTTCGGTCAGATGGCGCGCTGCAGTCCGCCCCCACATTCTCCAGCCCACACACACACACAAAGCACAGCCACCAATCATCCGTGCTGCAGACAGAACCTCTCCGAGTCTGAGCGAGGACTAAAACACAAAACTGCATCTAAACTCCTTGTATTTCGCCTTTAAATTGTGTGTTTTTGCGTCGATCTGGGGTTTTTTGGATGGTGTGAAGTGAAACTATTTTGGTCCACCGCGTCAGAACATCGTAGGAGCGCGACTTGGGGAGACCCGTCTGCGTAATCACGTCGCTCCCCCTTCTGCGCGTCCCTGTACCTGAGCGAGAGAAGGTGAGATCTGTGCGCTGTGTTTGCATGTTCTGCCTGTGCTGGAGGTACAATGAGGGGAACGTGCTGCTGTCGTGCGTAATTGTATACGTACAGATATTATAACTACAATTCTCCACTTGCACATTGTGGGACCCCGTTCATAGAAGCTTTGCAGAGGTTTTCCGGGAGTCCTTTTTCACAAGAGTCCCAAAGATATGCATAATAATGTAATGTATGATATTCGTGGAGATGTAAAATAATTAGATAAATACATACATGAAATATACATGAGCGTGCGCTGCAAAATATAATAAAAACGAGTTGCTTAATTTTCCACATTGAATCTTGACTGCATTTTCTCCATATCTTATAATGCAAACAGTTCAAAATAATCATTGTCTTTATTTTGTATTTGTCTATAAAACGTCATCTCAAACCTGAAATTATTATCAATGGAAACAATTTCATTTATAGAGTAAAGATGTAGCTACAGACTTGTCACAGTGTGGGATAATTCGTCACTAAATGAGTACAGAAGGCTTCTTATGAATTCATGTATTAAACGTGTCATGCATCTTGTCAGACCTTTGAAGCTAACCACGACAAGGCCAGGTTAATACTGTGATGGGAGACCTCTGGGACCACCTTGGTGCCACAGTGGGGCAGCAGTAAAGTGCCTAACTATGGTTGTGTCCTTTGGCACTTCCCCCACATTAGAATGAGTCTGGTGTGTGTGTGAATGGTTGGTGATGGTGGGAGGGGCCGATGGCACAGACTGGCTGCCTCGCTTGTGTTAGTGTGCCCCAGGGCAGCTGCGGCTACAGTAGTAGTTTATCACCACCGTGTTTGGAGTGTATGAATAATAACATGTCTTTGATCAAAAAAGCGCTGTATTAAACAAATGTATTATTATTTTCCACGTTTCACTTATCGTTGCAATACAGACTCAACAATGTTACCTCGTCTGAGCTCAAACAATCTGTATACATTATTTGAGAGTGTCATCCCTCTTGAAAAGATTGGCTTAATGTATTCAAATTCCAATCCCCCCAGAACTGAATGTCTTTGTGAGAAGGTGTGAGGGCCTGGAACTCTCTATCTCTGTCTGTGAGGGCCTGGAACGGTCTACCTCTGTCTGTGAGGGCCTGGAACGGTCTACCTCTGTCTGTGAGGGCCTGGAACTCTCTACCTCTGTCTGTGAGGGCCTGGAACTCTCTACCTCTGTCTGTGAGGGCCTGGAACTGTCTATCTCTGTCTGTGAGGGCCTGGAACCGTCTATCTCTGTCTGTGAGGGCCTGGAACTCTCTATCTCTGTCTGTGAGGGCCTGGAACTCTCTACCTCTGTCTGTGAGGGCCTGGAACTCTCTACCTCTGTCTGTGAGGGCCTGGAACGGTCTACCTCTGTCTGTGAGGGCCTGGAACTGTCTATCTCTGTCTGTGAGGGCCTGGAACTCTCCATCTCTGTCTGTGAGGGCCTGGAACTGTCTATCTTTGTCTGTGAGGGCCTGGAACTCTCTACCTCTGTCTGTGAGGGCCTGGAACTCTCTACCTCTGTCTGTGAGGGCCTGGAACGGTCTACCTCTGTCTGTGAGGGCCTGGAACTGTCTATCTCTGTCTGTGAGGGCCTGGAACTCTCCATCTCTGTCTGTGAGGGCCTGGAACTGTCTATCTTTGTCTGTGAGGGCCTGGAACTGTCTATCTTTGTCTGTGAGGGCCTGGAACTGTCTTTCTCTGTCTGTGAGGGCCTGGAACTGTCTATCTCTGTCTGTGAGGGCCTGGAACTCTCTATCTTTGTCTGTGAGGGCCTGGAACTGTCTATCTCTGTCTGTGAGGGCCTGGAACTGGGCCTGGAACTCTCTATCTCTGTCTGTGAGGGCCTGGAACTGGGCCTGGAACTCTCTATCTCTGTCTGTGAGGGCCTGGAACTGGGCCTAGAACTCACCGGCTCAAAGATAATCAAGTTTTCAGTCGTTAAACAGATTGTAAATTATTGTGTGTTGTATATTGTGTCTCTCTGTGGTTGAGGATGTCACATGTTAGCTGTATTATTATTATTGCTAATTAGAACAGGGACATATGAAAATCAGAAAGTAGCTATATCTGTTATTACAATACATTTAATCCACAGTATCCCAGTCAACAGTAATAAATGATTACAAATTGAATAAATGTAGGTTTTAAGTGGCCCATATTAACTGTATACGCATCTATAGCACGCACACAGATCAATATTTTGCTCAAATATTTTGTTATTCTAATTTACTCGATGTCTCCCTGGGTAACATTTAAGCCAAAACATAAAAAGGTTTAAGTACAGAGAAATGGGCGGGTATAGGTGATGGGTGAAACGTACATTTTCTTTCCGAATACTGCTGCAAAACCTGCCATCTGCAGATTTAGTCGTGTATAATTACAAAAGTGTGGGTGGGGGCTCAGAGGTAGTTAGAGTTATTTGCGTGGGTCACTCAAGGTTGAACATTATAATTTCAGCATCTACAGAAGCACTGGAAAAAGTGATGAAAAATATGTCAAAATGATTCTTAATTTGAGCACATTCTGAGTGAGTGAAAACAAGCTTCTCTGATGGTACAAAGCGAAAGGATCTTGTTTTAAAAGATGCAAGAAATGTCTTACCCTGGTCTTATCCATCCGTACACTCGGGTCAATCAACATTTCCTGCATGTAACGTCTGGGTCTGGTCCCTGTGTTAGCGATTACATCGGTTGAATTCCATCCGACCAATCAGAGAGCGCGGGAGGCGGGTGTTGTAGTTAGTTGTGGGCGATGTCAGGAGTTTGCGGCGAACGGGCAGGACGTAGTTTGGCAAAGAATGCGAGAGTTAAGTATTCCAGTCTGGTTCTATCAAGAAATTGAAGCCGGCGCAAGAGGAATGTTTAGCAAATGTAATCGCTGGTACTGTATTTTGAGTTGCCTTTTGTATGAACTGTGCTTTTAAGATTAATATCAAGATAATGATGGGAGCGACAGTAGCTCAGTTGGTAGAGCATTGGCCTTTGGGCTTGAAGGTTGTGGGTTCGAGCCCCCCATAAGGCCTACTTCACAACTCCCACTGATGTCTGCTGTCGTTGTGTCCTTGGGCAAGACACTTAACTCCACTTTGCCTGAAGCCCCCTGAAAGATCTCAGCTCCTGTGGACTCAGCACCTGCAGGAGGATCAGTGAGGGGCTGGTGCTCTGTGAACTGGAAGCAGCTCTGACTGCCACCCCCCCGACCCAGAAATGGATTAAGGGGAAGAAAATGGATTGATGGATGGATTAAGATTGAGAGATCTACTGGAGGAGGTGGAGCGGCTGGTGTCCTGGTGCCTCCTACTGGAGGAGGTGGAGCAGCTGGTGTCCTGGTGTCTCCTACTGGAGGAGGTGGAGCGGCTGGTGTCCTGGTGTCTCCTACTGGAGGAGGTGGAGCGGCTGGTATCCTGGTGTCTCCTACAGGAGGAGGTGGAGCGGCTGGTGTCCTGGTGCCTCCTACAGGAGGAGGTGGAGCGGCTGGTGTCCTGGTGACTCCTACAGGAGGAGGTGGAGCGGCTGGTGTCCTGGTGTCTCCTACAGGAGGAGGTGGAGCGGCTGGTGTCCTGGTGTCTCCTACAGGAGGAGGTGGAGCGACTGGTGTCCTGGTGTCTCCTACAGGAGGAGGTGGAGCGGCTGGTGTCATGGTGTCTCCTACAGGAGGAGGTGGAGCGGCTGGTGTCCTGGTGTCTCCTACAGGAGGAGGTGGAGCGACTGGTGTCCTGGTGTCTCCTACTGGAGGAGGTGGAGCGGCTGGTGTCCTGGTGTCTCCTACTGGAGGAGGTGGAGCGGCTGGTGTCCTGGTGTCTCCTACTGGAGGAGGTGGAGCGGCTGGTGTCCTGGTGTCTCCTACTGGAGGAGGTGGAGCGGCTGGTGTCCTGGTGTCTCCTACTGGAGGAGGTGGAGCGGCTGGTGTCCTGGTGTCTCCTACTGGAGGAGGTGGAGCGGCTGGTGTCCTGGTGTCTCCTACTGGAGGAGGTGGAGCGGCTGGTGTCCTGGTGTCTCCTACTGGAGGAGGTGGAGCGGCTGGTGTCCTGGTGTCTCCTACTGGAGGAGGTGGAGCGGCTGGTGTCCTGGTGTCTCCTACTGGAGGAGGTGGAGCGGCTGGTGTCCTGGTGTCTCCTACTGGAGGAGGTGGAGCGGCTGGTGTCCTGGTGTCTCCTACAGGAGGAGGTGGAGCGGCTGGTGTCCTGGTGCAGTGGTATCAACCTGGAGCTGACAGTGGAGAGGATTTTTGATTTCAGGAAGGACCCTCTCAGTTGCACATGGACTATTCCAACCACTCCCTGCGACAGGAGGCTACAGTCCATCCAAACCAGAACCTCTTTGTGTAAATAATAATTCTGATAACTGCTGTTGTGATTTAGGGCTATACAATCATACAGTACATAGAGTTGAATTGAACTAAAATAATGACAGTGATTCTCCTGATCTCCGCAGAGCCATGTCGCTGCCTCGGACTCTGGGCGAGCTGCAGTTGTACCGCGTGCTGCAAAGGGCCAATCTTCTCTCCTACTACGACACGTTCATCCAGCAGGGCGGCGATGACGTGCAGCAGCTGTGTGAGGCGGCGGAGGAGGAGTTCCTGGAGATCATGGCTCTGGTGGGAATGGCCACGAAACCTCTGCACGTGCGGCGTCTGCAGAAGGCACTGAGGGACTGGGCCTCCAACCCCGCTCTGTTCAGTCAGCCTGTGGCCTCCCTGCCACTGGGGGCGCTGCCACTCTTCAAGGTGGACGGGACGAGAGCGGGGAAGAGCAACGGCCAGCCGGGATCTCCGTGTGACAGGTACAAAGAGTGAAAACCTAAAATTTGTGTTGGATTTTTTCAGAATTCCATTCTGTTTCTCCGGGAGTTCTAGTTAGTTTCAGTCTTTCTGTTAAACCTTAGTCTGATGACGTCATCCTCACGATTCTGCTGAAATATTATGTAGGTCGGGCTAAAGTTCGGATGCAGCCAGGATGGTTAAACCTGTCTCCACATGGACAAGAGGCCACCTGCGGTACTGCAGCTTCAGTCCACACGGGATTTAAGCAGATTTCTCCATTGATCTAAACATTCCCTAAAACAGTTAAAAAGTCAAGAGTTTTTAGTGATTTGATATCATTGACTCTTGTCGTCCGTTAACTTTTTATTCTATTTTCATCCATTGGTTTTCTACAAACTTATGTGCCACAAATTTGTTACTCTGAATTTAGAGTTATACAAAAATAAATGGAATTGAATGAAATGATCCTACGAACCTCTGCTCACCTACTGCACAAGAGGGAGACGTCCATGTGGAGAGGCTTTACACAAACATAAAGACACTTTAACATCTGAGAAAACATGAAGTTATACTCACAGTGCAACACTTCCCTTTACTCAGTTCACTCACATCACAAAGTCTATTCTCCCCTGGTATCTGTGAGAACCTCCCAGTTTTACCAATAACCATAAAGTAAAATGACTAAACCCTTGTATTCCAGAGAGGACAGGAACTGCCTGACGCCGATGCACAGCAGCAGCCCTCGCAGCCCGTGCTCGCAGCCCTCTCCTCAGCCTCCAGACTCTCACTACAGAGACAAACTCTCCCCCATGGACCAACACTGGCTCTGCCCCGACCAGGACCCCCCCGACGAGGACCCCCCCAGCCCCCCCGGCCCCTCCACCTCCCCCAGCTCCACCTCCGCTCTGCCGGCCTGGGCCGGGGGCCAGGTGGACCCGGACACCACCAGAGCCGTGGTGGAGAGTGTGGACAGACTGTTGAGGACTCTGCCCCGACCGGACCCCACGGAGGTGAAGACGCTGCTGAGGATGAACAAGAAGATGGCCAAGACGGTCGGACATATTTTCAAAATGGAGGCTCAGGACGTGAACAAGGAAGAGGAGATCCGGAAGTACAGTTTGATCTACGGCCGCTTCGATTCCAAGAGGAGAGAAGGCAAACAGCTCACGCATCATGAGGTAACAACTTTATCTACATTTCTACATTCTGAGATCAATTAAGTTCATCTTAATACATTTATACATTTAATTTGACAAACAGTTGTAGATTTTGGGCGACAGGGGCTCATTTGGTAGAGCATTGGCCTTTGGGCCTGAAGGTCATGGGTTCGAGCCCATCACTTGCGCCTCCTCCTGCGCTCCCATCTCTGTGTGGAGTGAGAGACAAATGCCGACAATTGTAAATCTTTTTGTGACACTGGTCTGTGAAAGGCGGTATATGAATAAAGAGGACTTAATTACTTGCCATAAGACCTACTTTACGACTCCCACTGATGACTGCTGTCGTTGTGTCCTTGGGCAAGACACTTAACCCCACTTTGCCTGAAGCTCCCGCTGAAAGATCTCAGCTCCTGTGGATTCAGCACCTGCAGGAGGATCAATGAGGGGCTGGTGCTCTGACTGCCACCCCCCTGACCCAGATATGGATTAAGGGGAAGAAAATGGATGGATAGAAGTAGATCAGCAAAAATACAAGAGGAATGAGTGCATACAGGGATCAAAACATGTTGGGTAAACGTGAGGAGTCAGGTGCTCCTCAAGGATCAGTGGAAAACAAAGAGAATGTCCCCACAATAAGAAAGTATTTTTATCTTAAAGGAATCTAGGAGGATTTTTCCTAGTTTTAGGAAAGAATTGCCTTCTAAAACGTGTCTTGCATTATCCCCAGAATGATTGACAATTAGGAGCAACCAATAGTTAAGATGATCCACCCGGAAGTAGACAATCCTCCCATATCCCAGAGAAGCTGTGTGGAAAATGGGGTTAAATAAGTTCTCTTCTTCCCACGCCTTTTCAAGCAAAAAGGTTTTCTGATTTTTGTTATAAGTATGTTATTTACGATATTTATTGTGTTTGCCTGAATTGAAAACAAAAATTAAATATGCTTTTAAGTCAGAGAGCCTTGGCCCTTTTCCTCTTTATTATCCAAATAGATTAACACTGCAAAAATTGGTCTTAAAAAAACCCAACTCAAACATTTCTCAAATTGGACTAAATGTATCTTATTTTGAGCAAATTTTGACTCCTAGAAATGGAGAAATTCCCCCTTGGAATGAGAAAATAAAGACAATATTTGGCAAATCTTGTTTAAACACAGTCACAATGTACTCAAATTATAAACAAATCCACTCCATTCAAGCGATTATTACCTCATTTTTATCATTTTTGGCAGTGTAGATATTTGGGAAAGTCCATTTTAAGTTCTTGTATACGTAGATAATCATAATATTGGTTCCAGTTCGGGAGAATATGGTGTAAGGGATTCGTTCCATGATGTTCCGTGTGGGTGGATGGTACGCTGAGTGGGTGGACCTTTCCTTTGATGACTATTGACCGCCTTTTGTCAACCCACAACACAGCGTTAGAGTTTAAACAGCAAAGTAGTTCTATACATAACAGAATTACACAGTTGTATGTTTTAGGGCAGGGGCTGAATAAAAAAAATAGCAACTGGTCGGGGTCGAGAAGAGATTTCCATTTTTTACAATTCTCTTTCACTTTAAAGGAGCTATACCCGTTTCTGCACGGTGTGAATGTTTAGCCCCGCCCCCAACTCGCTCAGTCTCATTTCCCCTACGCTCTCCTCCCACGGAGCCATCTAGTTTATTTGCGATCTGATACGTATGCTAACATTAGCATTAGCACAACTTCTTGTAAGCTGTACAAAAATCACTGATGAAATGGTACAAAAGCAACGCACTGCTAACACAATATATAACTGAAAGATTACAGCTAGTTTCACGTCCGAATGTAGTCCGAGCGTAGTTAGTCCGAGCGTAGATAGTCCGAGCGTAGATAGTCAGAGCACAGATAGTCCGAGCGTAGATAGTCCGAGCGTAGTTAGTCCGAGCGCAGATAATCCGAGCGTAGATAGTCCGAGCGTAGATAGTCCGAGCGTAGATAGTCCGAGCGTAGATAGTCCGAGCGTAGATAGTCCGAGCGTAGCTAGTCCGAGCGTAGATAGTCCGAGCGTAGATAGTCCGAGCGTAGATAGTCGGAGCGTAGATAGTCGGAGCGTAGATAGTCGGAGCGTAGATAGTCGGAGCGTAGATAGTCGGAGCACAGATAGTCCGAGCGTAGATAGTCCGAGCGCAGATAGTCCGAGCGCAGATAGTCCGAGCGTAGCTAGTCCGAGCGTAGATAGTCCGAGCGTAGATAGTCCGAGCGTAGATAGTCCGAGCGTAGATAGTCCGAGCGTAGATAGTCCGAGCGTAGATAGTCCGAGCGTAGATAGTCCGAGCGTAGATAGTCCGAGCGTAGATAGTCCGAGCGTAGATAGTCCGAGCGTAGCTAGTCCGAGCGTAGATAGTCCGAGCGTAGATAGTCCGAGCGTAGATAGTCCGAGCGTAGATAGTCCGAGCGTAGATAGTCCGAGCGTAGCTAGTCCGAGCGTAGATAGTCCGAGCGCAGATAGTCCGAGCGTAGATAGTCCGAGCGTAGATAGTCCGAGCGTAGCTAGTCCGAGCGTAGATAGTCCGAGCGTAGATAGTCGGAGCGTAGATAGTCGGAGCGTAGATAGTCGGAGCGTAGATAGTCGGAGCGCAGATAGTCCGAGCGCAGATAGTCCGAGCGCAGATAGTCCGAGCGCAGATAGTCCGAGCGCAGATAGTCCGAGCGTAGATAGTCCGAGCGTAGATAGTCCGAGCGTAGATAGTCCGAGCGTAGATAGTCCGAGCGTAGATAGTCCGAGCGTAGATAGTCCGAGCGTAGCTAGTCCGAGCGTAGATAGTCCGAGCGTAGATAGTCCGAGCGTAGATAGTCCGAGCGTAGATAGTCCGAGCGTAGCTAGTCCGAGCGTAGATAGTCCGAGCGCAGATAGTCCGAGCGTAGATAGTCCGAGCGTAGATAGTCCGAGCGTAGATAGTCCGAGCGTAGATAGTCCGAGCGTAGCTAGTCCGAGCGTAGATAGTCCGAGCGTAGATAGTCCGAGCGTAGATAGTCCGAGCGTAGATAGTCCGAGCGTAGATAGTCCGAGCGTAGATAGTCCGAGCGTAGATAGTCCGAGCGTAGCTAGTCCGAGCGTAGATAGTCCGAGCGTAGATAGTCCGAGCGCAGATAGTCCGAGCGCAGATAGTCCGAGCGCAGATAGTCCGAGCGTAGATAGTCCGAGCGTAGATAGTCCGAGCGTAGATAGTCCGAGCGTAGATAGTCCGAGCGTAGATAGTCCGAGCGTAGATAGTCCGAGCGTAGCTAGTCCGAGCGTAGCTAGTCCGAGCGTAGATAGTCCGAGCGTAGATAGTCCGAGCGTAGATAGTCCGAGCGTAGATAGTCCGAGCGTAGCTAGTCCGAGCGTAGATAGTCCGAGCGCAGATAGTCCGAGCGCAGATAGTCCGAGCGTAGATAGTCCGAGCGTAGATAGTCCGAGCGTAGATAGTCCGAGCGTAGATAGTCCGAGCGTAGCTAGTCCGAGCGTAGATAGTCCGAGCGCAGATAGTCCGAGCGCAGATAGTCCGAGCGCAGATAGTCCGAGCGTAGATAGTCCGAGCGTAGATAGTCCGAGCGTAGATAGTCCGAGCGTAGATAGTCCGAGCGCAGATAGTCCGAGCGCAGATAGTCCGAGCGCAGATAGTCCGAGCGTAGATAGTCCGAGCGTAGATAGTCCGAGCGTAGATAGTCCGAGCGTAGATAGTCCGAGCGTAGATAGTCCGAGCGTAGATAGTCCGAGCGTAGATAGTCCGAGCGTAGATAGTCCGAGCGTAGATAGCCGAGCGTAGATGGTCCGAGCGTAGATAGTCTGAGCGTAGATAGTCTGAGCGTAGATAGTCCGAGCGCAGATAGTCCGAGCGTAGATAGTCCGAGCATAGATAGTCCGAGGCGGTCCCGCAGGTCTCTCCCATAGACCAGTCTCTCCAGAGGATACGATGTAAGCTAGCTCTGTTCAGGGCTTGGTTTCTTCTTTGATCATGTTGTGGCTTTAGTTCCTCTTCTCTTCCTCACTGTTGTGTGGTTTGGGCTGTTTTGCTGTGTCTGCAGTTACAGCCAGAGGAGTTATAGCCACTTATGCTAACATGCTAACATGCTACTGTGTTTTCAATTAAATTACGGACTATAATACCACTTGTATGTAGTAATAAACATTTTTATGATCCTCCTAAACACATCTTTAACTAATGTCCTTTTGGAGAAACCAGCTCAAATTGCCCTCAGCTTCAGCACGTTGTATTTAGATGTTTTTCCATGTTTTTGCTTTTTGTGAATTCCTTGGCGTCTGTATTTAGCTCTTGTGTTGTTCACCCTGAAATGTGCGCATGCTAACACAAAACTACATGCTAACACAAAACTACATGCTAACACAAAGCTAGATGCTAACAGTCTGTTTTTTACGTCTTCTTCTTCTACTGTCAGCTGATCATAAACGAAGCCGCCGCTCAGTTCTGCATTCGGGACAACGCCCTGCTCCTCAGACGGGTGGAGCTCTTCTCTTTGGCCCGACAGGTCGCCCGAAAATGTGCTTATGCCTCCAGCCTCAAACACACAAGGTAAAGACGGCCCGAGTCCTGATGGTGAATCGACGGTTTTGTAAAGTCCTCCAAGATTTAGTGCAATACAAAAATAAAATAAGTTGAATTAAGCGTTTAGAAAAATAATACATATTTTGTCTTTTGAATGTCAAAGTTGGCAGTTTAGTTTATCACAAATACAAAATAAAAACATGTAATATTCATTTAATAATTAGTGACATGACATGTCCTGGTCTCTCTCTAGTCTCTCTCTCTCGTGTTCCTCTGGTCTCTCTCTCTGGTCTCTCTCTCTGGTCTCTCTCTCTGGTCTCTCTCTCTGGTCTCTCTCTCTCTGGTCTCTCTCTCTGGTCTCTCTCTCTGGTCTCTCTCTCTGGTCTCTCTCTCTCGTCTCTCTCTCTGGTCTCTCTCTCTCTGGTCTCTCTCTCTGGTCTCTCTCTCTGGTCTCTCTCTCTGGTCTCTCTCTCTCTGGTCTCTCTCTCTGGTCTCTCTCTCTCTGGTCTCTCTCTCTGGTCTCTCTCTCTCTCTCTCTCTGGTCTCTCTCTCTGGTCTCTCTCTCTGGTCTCTCTCTCTGGTCTCTCTCTCTCTCTGGTCTCTCTTGGTCTCTCTCTCTGGTCTCTCTCTCTCTGGTCTCTCTCTCTGGTCTCTCTCTGGTCTCTCTCTGGTCTCTCTCTCGGTCTCTCTCTCTGGTCTCTCTCTCTCTGGTCTCTCTCTCTCTGGTCTCTCTCTGGTCTCTCTCTCTCTCTCTCTCTCTGGTCTCTCTCTCTCTGGTCTCTCTCTCTGGTCTCTCTCTCTCTGGTCTCTCTCTGGTCTCTCTCTCTCTGGTCTCTCTCTCGGTCTCTCTCTCTCTGGTCTCTCTCTCTCTGGTCTCTCTCTCTGGTCTCTCTCTTTGGTCTCTCTCTCTGGTCTCTCTCTCTAGTCTCTCTCTCTCTCTCTGGTCTCTCTCTCTGGTCTCTCTCTCTCTTGGTCTCTCTCTCTGGTCTCTCTCTCTGTCTCTCTCTCTCTCTGGTCTCTCTCTCTGGTCTCTCTCTCTGTCTCTCTCTTTGGTCTCTCTCTCTGGTCTCTCTCTCTCTGGTCTCTCTCTCTGGTCTCTCTCTCTCTCTCTCTGGTCTCTCTCTCTCTCTGGCTCTCTCTGGTCTCTCTCTCTCTGTCTCTCTCTCTCTCTGGTCTCTCTCTCTGGTCTCTCTCTCTCTCTGGTCTCTCTCTCTCTCTCTGGTCTCTCTCTCTCTGGTCTCTCTCTCTGGTCTCTCTCTCTGGTCTCTCTCTCTCTGGTCTCTCTCTCTGGTCTCTCTCTCTCTGGTCTCTCTCTCTCTGGTCTCTCTCTCTCTGGTCTCTCTCTCTGGTCTCTCTCTCTCTGGTCTCTCTCTCTCTCTGGTCTCTCTCTCTGGTCTCTCTCTCTGGTCTCTCTCTCTGGTCTCTCTCTCTCTGGTCTCTCTCTCTCTGGTCTCTCTCTGGTCTCTGGTCTCTCTCTCTGGTCTCTCTCTCTCTGGTCTCTCTCTGGTCTCTCTCTGGTCTCTCTCCCCGCTGCGGCGCCTGCTCCCTCCCGGCCGCTACGCGGTCCTTCCCCCTCCTTCCCCTTCCCCCTACTCGGTTCCCCTCCCACACCCCCCCTCCCCCCTCCCACCCCCAAGGGCCCTCCACCACACCCCGGCGCCCGCCTCCCACCCCCACGGCCTCGCCTACCGCCTACTCCCACCCATCTCCCCCACGCCACCGAGCGTTCCCTGCGGTGCGCACGCCCCCCCCCCACGCCACCCGGCGCTTAGTGTCCAGTCTTGTCGTCCCATTGACCCTTCTCCCCCCCCACGCCCCACGCCCTTCCTGCGCCGCGGCTTCCCGTCCCCGGCTGCCACCACCGGCCTTATTTTGACCCCCCCATAGGCGCCTGCATCAGACTCACGCTGCCGCGGGTCACCTGCTCGGTCGTCCCCCGGGTGAGCCGCCGTCTCCTCCCCCGGTTGCTGGCGCCCCCCCTTCGGCCTTCTTGGTCGCTTCTCACTCCGGGTATCTATCTCTCTGGCCTCTCTCTGCCTCTACGCGCGTCGCTCTCTCTCGCGCGTCTGTCTCCTCTCCTCCGTCTCGCATTGGTCTCTCTCATCCTGGCTTCCGTCTCTTTCTTCTCGGTCTCCTCTGCTGGGTTAGCTCGCTCGTAGCTGGTCTCTGCTCCTCTCGGGTCGCTAGGCTCTAGTACCCAGGCCATCGCACCGGACCCGGGGGCGCACCTCGCCGTGCCGGCCGCCGGCCCACGCACCGAGCGGGGTCAGAGGCCCTGTAGCGTACAATCGCGAGCCGTAGGAGCAATAGCCCGCCGTGGGGAGGCGCGAGAGGGAGAGCGCATAGCCCACTCAGGGGGACGCGCGCGGCGGGGATCGAGACTCGAGGGGAGAGCAGCTACCGCACAGGTGAGCGAGACCGCGGGGAGGAAAGAGTCGGGCGCCGCGGCGCGAGCGCCCAGGGGCCGTGTGCTAGCGCTCGCGAGGGTCGCGAGCGAGGCGGGTCCGCCTAGCTTCTCCAGTCTCTTCTCTACAAGATGTGTCTCTCTCGTACCGGTCGCACCGCGCCCGTCCTCCACCTCCCCCCCCCCCTCATGTCTCTCTCACTCTACCTTTGGGCAGGGGTGGGTTTCTTGAGTGTAGTCCCGATTCGCGGCCCGCCCATTGGTCTCTCTCTCTATACATGAGTGTTAGGGTAGCCCTCGGCCACTCATGATGTAGCACACGACGACCAATGCTTTGGATATCTGTGACTTGAGGTGTGTCCGCCGTCCCCACCCCCTCACGCCTCCTAGCCACCCTGAGCATAGATTCAGGAGTTACGCTGATGGAGGATTGTAATTCAAGAGTCCATCAGGTGCCTTTCTACCCCTATATTAAATACTTAATAGGTGTAGTTTTGCAATCTTTTTATTTCCTTTGTAAGTGCACATGCGGCTTCGGGTCAGCTAGGGTAACTCCAGAAACTTAACAAGGCTAAAATAACAACATCCACCCACCAGGAGCCTCATACCCAGTAAGTAGAGGCATAAGGGTAGCAGGAAAGTAGTGTGTGACTCTAGGATTTAAAAGCACGAGGTGCTATTCCCGTAAGGAGGACAGCAAGAGGGGGGGAGGTCCTCCCACAGTAAGGTCTACAGCCCACAGGCCTGAGCCCATGGTCCACCTACAGATTCTTTCATAGTTTTATCCTTTTCGTTTTAGGGTATTTTGTAATATAGTCTTTCTTGAGTTAGGGCAGTTGAGGAGAGGAGGGGGTGCAGGTATTTAATCAGTCTCCATCTATTCAGTAAAAGTTGGTCGCTTTTGCTTTGTCTTGATCTATATTGATCTAGTTTACACTGTTTGCTTTTTGAGCTTTGATGCATAGTAGTCTCATATGATTCTATAGTATGGGGTTATTGCTAAGTGTATTTAGAAATAGTTTTCCCTTTTTTCATTATGTTTTTTTTTGGTTATTTCTATGTTTTCTTTTCCTAAGTGTTGGTCATACTTTAGGAAAACTATTTAATTGATAGCTATCTTAGACATTGTAAAGCTTCGGTATTTTTCCGTCCCACAATTCTTAATGTCTTTTATCGATTCCACGAAAGAGGGATATGAAAATGTGTATATGAAAAGACCAACAACCACATCATAATTTTGTTTTATATTGCATGATGCTAAACATTCTTCATCGCTACAAGAGTTGTTCGATAGTTGTATAGTTTCTTCTATTTATGAAATTTGAGGGTTTTTAGTAAGTATTTATGAGTGTCGAATATTATAGTTTTGACTCAGAATATAACTACTTATAGTATTGTATTCCGTTGTGATGGATCATTTCCTCCCAATTTTATAGGGCAATTACTTAGTAATTCTTACTCTATCGTTGATTTAGCTTAAGTCTCTCTCTGGAGGTGTTTCTATTCTTTGTAATTGTTTTGGTTCTTCTCTGGTCCTCTCTCATTACTATTTTTTGTGGTCTCATTCTAGGCCTTCATTTGTTTAATTCTCCATCGATGTCTCTTGGTCTTTATGCTTAGCTGTCATCTCTGGTCTCCTCTCTTTAGTTATTTATTTTTGATAGGCGCCTCCCTGCGCCGGGTCTCTCTCTAGGTGCGGTCTCTCTCTTTAGTAATCTACGCGGGGTTATCTCGCCACGGTCGGCCTCTGCTGCTCCCCGCCTAACTTGTCAGCTGTCCCCCTTGGGCCGGGTCTCTCTCCTTTTCTGCCCCGGGCTGGGCCTCTCTTCCCTGCGTCTCCCCTCCTACGGTCGCTACTCCGCTATTGGTTATTCCTCTTCCTGGTGTTTCCTCTCTCTCTCTCCGCTGGGTCTACTTTCTCTCTCGTGGTCTCTCTTCGGGTGGGTTGGGCTCTCGCTCTGGTGCTCTCTCTCTCTGGGAGCGCGTGGGTGCGCAGGCCCCGCGCCATGCCTAGCCCGCAGCGCCCTCCCACCCGGATCTAGGAGGGGTGCGGTTCTCCGGCGGCCGCATGCGTGTCTAGGCGCGCGCGGGGATGCGCTGGCCCGAGCCGGGGGGTGCATACAGCGCCCTGACGCAGGCGGGTCGAGCGCGCTCTGTTGGTGTTTCGGCCGCACTCCGCACGCGTCGCTATACTGCTCGTCGTACGTCGCATCTCGATTCCCCGCGCTTGGGCTCTTCTCCGGGTTCGCAACCCCGCGCTTGTACGAGTCGACTCCCGACTCTGGCGTGGTGGTCCGCACCCCCTTTGGGCGGGACGCGCCTCGAGGGGTCCCCGCGATCCCGCCGCAGGGGCGGATTGGCGGGGAAGTGGGGCTACTGAGCGCGCTATGAGTTCCTGTCTCTCTGCTCGCGTCTCCAAGTGGTTCCCCTCTCTCCTCCCCCCTGGTCCTACCTCTCTCCCTCTCTGGTAGAGTGGGGGTGTTCTCCTCTCTTGCTGGGGTTATCGCTCTCTCTGGTGCTCTCTCTCGTTCATCTGGGGGGCTCCTCTGCCCGCCTATTGGTGTCGATTCGCGCTCTCGGGTTGTCTCGCTCTGGCGAGTGCTCCCGGCCTCTCAGGGGTCTCGATGATCTCTCCCTCCGATCGCTGACCTCCTCCCCTCCGCGGACTCGGCCTCTGCGTAGCTCTCTCCGGCCCCCCCCGTGTGGTCTCGCCTCTCCTCCGTCTCGGCCTCTGTCCGCTCCCTCAGCGATCTCCTCTTAGCCCGGCCGGGTCTCTCTCTCTCTGGTTGCCCGACTCTAGATCCTCTGGTCCCGCCTTGGGCGTTTCCTCATTGGCTCCTAGTTCGGGCGTCTCTCTCGCCGCGGGTCTCCTCCTCTCACTGTCCCTTAGGCTCACGTCCCCGGTCTGCCCCTCCTGGCTAGTGCTCTCGCCTGGGCCTGCCGCCCTCCTCCCACTGGTCCCCCTTCCCCGCCCCGCCGCCCTCCATCTCCCGTCCTCCCCCCCGTCATACTGCGTGGGGCTACATGCTCTCTGGGCTCTGGGCGTCTCTTACTGGTGCGGGCTCTCTGCTGGCGTGCTTCTCTCTCTCTGTGCGTCCTTCTGTGCTGCTGGTCTGTCTACTCATGGTGCTCTCACCCCCGCCGTCTCTCCTTGTCTCGTGTCTGTCTCTGTGTGCTTTATATTTGGCCTCTTTTGATGTGGAGAACATGGTTTGTCTCCCCCCCCATGCTGGCTCCTGGCCCTCTGAGGGGCTGGTCTCGTCTCTCTCTCTCTCTCTCTGGTCTCTCTCTCTGGTCTCTCTCTGGTCTCTCTCTCTGGTCTCTCTCTCTGGTCTCTCTCTCTCTCTCTCTCTGGTCTCTCTCTCTCTGGTCTCTCTCTCTGGTCTCTCTCTCTGGTCTCTCTCTCTGGTCTCTCTCTCTCTCTGGTCTCTCTCTCTCTCTCTCTCTCTGGTCTCTCTCTCTCTGGTCTCTCTCTCTGGTCTCTCTCTCTGGTCTCTCTCTCTCTGGTCTCTCTCTGGTCTCTCTCTCTCTGGTCTCTCTCTGGTCTCTCTCTCTCTGGTCTCTCTCTCTGGTCTCTCTCTCTAGTCTCTCTCTTTGGTCTCTCTCTCTGGTCTCTCTCTCTAGTCTCTCTCTTTGGTCTCTCTCTCTGGTCTCTCTCTCTGGTCTCTCTCTCTCTCTGGTCTCTCTCTCTGGTCTCTCTCTCTAGCCTCTCTCTTTGGTCTCTCTCTGGTCTCTCTCTCTGGTCTCTCTCTCTCTGGTCTCTCTCTCTGGTCTCTCTCTCTAGTCTCTCTCTTTGGTCTCTCTCTCTGGTCTCTCTCTCTAGTCTCTCTCTTTGGTCTCTCTCTCTGGTCTCTCTCTCTGGTCTCTCTCTCTCTCTGGTCTCTCTCTCTGGTCTCTCTCTCTAGCCTCTCTCTTTGGTCTCTCTCTGGTCTCTCTCTCTGGTCTCTCTCTCTCTGGTCTCTCTCTCTGGTCTCTCTCTCTCTGGTCTCTCTCTCTCTGGTCTCTCTCTCTGGTCTCTCTCTCTCTGGTCTCTCTCTCTCTGGTCTCTCTCTGGTCTCTCTCTCTCTGGTCTCTCTCTCTGGTCTCTCTCTCTCTGGTCTCCCTCTCTGGTCTCTCTCTCTCTAGTCTCTCTCTCTGGTCTCTCTCTCTGGTCTCTCTCTCTCTGGTCTCTCTCTCTGGTCTCTCTCTCTGGTCTCTCTCTCTCTGGTCTCTCCCTCTGGTCTCTCTCTCTGGTCTCTCTCTCTCTGGTCTCTCTCTCTGGTCTCTCGCTCTAGTCTCTCTCTCTAGTCTCTCTCTGGTCTCTCTCTAGTCTCTCTCTGGTCTCTCTCTGGTCTCTCTCTCTAGTCTCTCTCTGGTCTCTCTCTGGTCTCTCTCTGGTCTCTCTCTCTGGTCTCTCTCTGGTCTCTCTCTGGTCTCTCTCTGGTCTCTCTCTGGTCTCTCTCTCTAGTCTCTCTCTGGTCTCTCTCTGGTCTCTCTCTGGTATCTCTCTCCGGTCTCTCTCTCTGGTCTCTCTCTGGTCTCTCTCTGGTCTCTCTCTGGTCTCTCTCCGGTCTCTCTCTCTGGTCTCTCTCTGGTCTCTCTCTCTGGTCTCTCCCTCTGGTCTCTCTCTGGTCTCTCTCTGGTCTCTCTCTCTGGTCTCTCTCTGGTCTCTCTCTGGTCTCTCTCTGGCCTCTCTCTGGTCTCTCTCTGGTCTCTCTCTCTGGTCTCTCCCTCTGGTCTCTCTCTGGTCTCTCTCTGGTCTCTCTCTCTGGTCTCTCTCTCTGGTCTCTCTCTCTGGTCTCTCTCTCTGGTCTCTCTCTCTGGTCTCTCTCTCTGGTCTCTCTCTCTGGTCTCTCTCTCTGGTCTCTCTCTCTGGTCTCTCTCTGGTCTCTCTCTCTGGTCTCTCTCTCTGGTCTCTCTCTCTGGTCTCTCTCTCTGGTCTCTCTCTCTCTGGTCTCTCTCTCTGGTCTCTCTCTCTAGTCTCTCTCTGGTCTCTCTCTGGTCTCTCTCTGGTATCTCTCTCCGGTCTCTCTCTCTGGTCTCTCTCTGGTCTCTCTCTGGTCTCTCTCTCTGGTCTCTCTCCGGTCTCTCTCTCTGGTCTCTCTCTGGTCTCTCTCTCTGGTCTCTCTCTCTGGTCTCTCTCTGGTCTCTCTCTGGTCTCTCTCTCTGGTCTCTCTCTCTGGTCTCTCTCTCTGGTCTCTCTCTCTGGTCTCTCTCTGGTCTCTCTCTCTGGTCTCTCTCTCTGGTCTCTCTCTCTGGTCTCTCTCTCTGGTCTCTCTCTCTGGTCTCTCTCTGGTCTCTCTCTGGTCTCTCTCTCTGGTCTCTCTCTGGTTTCTCTCCGGTCTCTCTCCATAACCGTCTAACTTCTCTGTGTCTAAATCTCAATGAACATTTTGAAAGTTATTTTAGATTATGTTTTGTTGAAACAAACCTGAAACAAAGTGTTGCATGTTCCAGAACCAGTGCAGAAGAGAACCACATGGTGCCTCACATGGTGCCTCTGAAGAGACCGAGACACGAAGTGAGTTTCCACACGTCTCCTCAGTCGCAAACGTTAATGTTTATCTGTGAAAATAATGCTCCAAATCTCTGAACGTGTTTCAGGTTTTGGTGCCGGAGAATCTGTCTCTGTTGGGGGTCGAGGCTCCGGAGAATCTGAGCCAACGGAACGACGAAGACAGTTCAGCCGAGAGTCTGGACAGCGTGTCACATGGTACATTTCTATCATACACTGGTCCCTCGTTATAACGCCGTCTCATGGTCCCGTTTCTTTGTGTACGATTGTGTTTTTATTTACAATATGTCCAACGCCAACGATAAAAAAAACAAGATGGCCGTTTGATGCATTGGTTTTATATAGCGCTTTTTTGGACTCTCAAAGACACTTCGCATGTTATTAATTCACTCCATAAACGGTAAAATGTGTTTTTAATGCCTTTCTATCTTGTTTTATTTTCCTTGTGTATGAACTGTGCTATACATATAAACTTGCCTTTTCTCAGCTTGTTCTCCTGAAATCCCATTAAAGTACCTCTCCTCCTCAGACGTAGGATCGCAGTGCAACAAGTCGCCGTCTCCCCGCCCACACAACGACTCCTCGTCCAATCAGGCGAGCTGGAGCCGTCACCTGATGCAGCAGACGTTGATGGACGAAGGGCTGCGATTGGCCAGGATGGTGTCACATGAGCGCGCCGCCAAACTCAGCCTGGGACCAGACGCCAACCACACGACAGGTGAACTTTGTACGACCTCATCACTTTATCTGACCCAGGGTTTTAGGGACGAAAGATCAGATATTTGTCCCACAGTGAGGAGAGTTCAGTGTTGCATCGCACGGTACAGAACAGGAGGAAGGAGGAGCACACAACACACAGCTATACTTCAAAAACCATCTCTGTCTTTAGTTTAATAAAGAAACAAGTATACAAAAAGTACACACAAACAACCCTGTGTACTCTAGTACAAAGAAAAATATATCTGTGGATAAATCTGTAGTACACTCTGGAGCAAGAATATTGGAGTAAGCTAGTTAGCTCTGAGGGCAGAGCATGTGATGCTACTGTACATGTTAGCATGTGATGCTACTGTACATGTTAGCATGTGATGCTACTGTACATGTTAGCATGTGATGCTACTGTACATGTTAGCATGTGATGCTACTGTACATGTTAGCATGTGATGCTACTGTACATGTTAGCATCATGTGATGCTACTGTACATGTTAGCATGTGATGCTACTGTACATGTTAGCATGTGATGCTACTGTACATGTTAGCATGTGATGCTACTGTACATGTTAGCATCATGTGATGCTACTGTACATGTTAGCATATGATGCTACTGTACATGTTAGCATGTGATGCTACTGAACATGTTAGCATATGATGCTACTGTACATGTTAGCATGTGATGCTACTGTACATGTTAGCATGTGATGCTACTGTACATGTTAGCATATGATGCTACTGTACATGTTAGCATATGATGCTACTGTACATGTTAGCATATGATGCTACTGTACATGTTAGTGGCACGAGGCTCTTGGCTAAAAGTGAAGGCATAATTGCAGATTATTGCACAGATGTCTGATGTGAGCTCAGCTGAAGGAGACTTCTGTAACATTACAGATGTGACCATATTCAGTTTGTGGATGTGTCTGACTCCTGCCTCGCGGTGACTCATGTCATGTTTGTGTAAATCCTCGTTACCAGTGACCGACCAGAACCTTTACTCTCATGAAGCACATTTCATGGTCCACATTCGGAGTGAGTCAGGACGGTTCAGTCCGCCTCCGTCAGAGCTGCAGAGGGAAATTACACGTCTTACAATCTCAAGAAGAGTAATCACCAAGAAGTTTACAAACCACATGGGAGAGGCGTTTCTGCGTTTACAAGAACAGAAAGAGAAACAGACACAGTGTGGACTATTCCATTCTGGATTAAGATCAAGATTAAGATTAAGAGATCCTTTATTCGTCCCGCAGCGGATGATATATGATTAGAAACTCATGTCGAGGTGTCGCAACCCGCAACTTCCGTCTTTTTTTCTACACACATATTAATAATGATAATAATGATCATGGAGTGATTCTTGGACGCTCAAATGACACGGTGTGGATTTGTCTTCTTTTGGTCTCTTTTGTTTGAGTCTATCTTCGCGCCCAGTTCCCCTGTGCCCTCACTTGTGTCTCAGTCTATATGTTCCCCTGTGCCCTCACGTGTGTCTCAGTCTATATGTTCCCCTGTGCCCTCACGTGTGTCTCAGTCTATATGTTCCCCTGTGCCCTCACTTGTGTCTCAGTCTATATGTTACCTGTGCCCTCACTTCCTGTGTTCTATTTGTATTTTTAGTTTGTGACTATTTTTCTTATTCCTCCATTAAATCATATTTTTTTGGGTCCTTGTTTTTCACTCAAAGATGCTTCACATGGCATTCCTCTTTTACTCAGACTACTTCTGTAGCCTCAGCTGCCCTGGGGTATTGGCTTGTCTTTAGGACAGGGGTGCTCACACTTTTTCAGCATGCGAGCTACTTATAAAAGGATCAAGTCAAAATGATCTACCTACTACAAAAATGCAAATCATATATTTCAAAAAATATTCTTTATATCTACAATGTATGTTTATGTACATGAAAAACCGCATGAGCCAATATAGCACAACACAACACAATTACCGATGTACATTTTTTGTCATTACCCGAGTTTACTCTTATGACTTGCAGTGAATTGAATCGGCCAGGGATGCATAGTCCGGAAAATTGCTGGTAACTCGCTGACAAGTTTGTCGTGGTTTAGCTTTCCTGCACTGAGCGCGGTTGTTTGCGCATGTGCAGTCACCTAAGTGTCAGTAAAACATTACTGAGTAAAACACAGATGTCATTTGACTGTGGTGCCATGTCCATGTGCCATGCCTGTTTTTTTTTTAAATCCAAATATTTCCCCTCCTCAGTTTATAAAATAATTTGCATCCACACATCTGCGTTATCAATCACATTCGTAACATTCCAAACATGTGCGTCTCTTACGTCCTGTCCTGCGTTGGGGAAAAACACAGAAGTGGGCGGAGCTTTGATGCAGACGCCGGTAACGGCACTTTTACAGTCATAGAAGACACTCGGAGTAAAGACGTATGTTTACAAGCACTGACCCCGTCCTCAGCCCTGGTTTAGTCCTGGTTTAGTCCTGGTTTAGTCCTGGTTTAGTCCTGGTTTGGTTGTTTTCGAGCGTGAGTCCCCGCGATCACTTTGCTGCTCTCTGATGTGGAGCGAGGATGTTCGCTGCTGCGAGCATCTCACAGCGGACAGTTTTTAAGGTAGTATGATCCATGCTTCAGTGATCAGAGGAATTTAGGGGGGTACTGTGGCGTGCGAGAACGCAAAACTCTGGTTATCTCTGTCTACACACAAATGCATTAACGGAGTTTTCAAAAATCTCCACTTTGCCCGGAGTTTTTTGTATATATTCGTTTAGAATGTGTAATTTTTTATTTATTTAATGCGATCTACCAATACTACCTTTGCGATCGACTGGTAGATCGCGATCGACGTATTGAGCACCCCTGCTTTAGGATAATGACAATTTGTTTTTATTTGGGTTTTTTTAACAACAATTATACATATGTAATAGATAAATCATGATCAAATACGGTGGTGCAATGGTCAGCACTGCCTGCAGGCCTTTCTGTGTGGACTTTGCATGTTCTCCCCATGTCTGCATAGGTTTCCTCTGGGTGCTACGGTTGCCCCTACCACTTAAAACATGTGGCTTGATGTACCAGCGTGTACTTGTGTGGAGAGAATGTAAAAAACATCCTCCCTCCAAATTGTAAAGTGCTTTGTGTGACTCTTGATACTGTATATTTCAACCCTTTTCCTCATTTATCTACATTTTTTGTTCTTTTAGCATAAAATCCATGAGTGTATTTTTTGACACAGATGGAGTTTTAGAACTTGTTCAATCAGGCTCAGTTTGGGAAATGTTTTCTCATCGCGTCCTGGCTTCTGAGACTCCACACGATCACAGAGAGTGGAGAGGACAGTATCTGCGCAGTTGGAACAGTAGACGGAGGAAGCCGAGGTGTGGGCGAGGGAGGGAGGGGGAGGAGAGGAAGTGCCCCCCTCCCTCCTGCTGTGACGGAGGCTTTGACGTCACCAGCGTGGGCACAGAGCACAGAGGAGAGAAATCCCATGTAGCACCAAAGTCCTGTCCAGGGCCAGTTTATTTGTATTGCACAATTCATACACATGAATCGTAACGTTTCAGAAATTTAAAAAACAGCTTTTATCCACAAGACGTAAACACAATTACAGCTCATGGATTACACACACACACACACACACACACACACACACACACACACACACACACACACACACACACACACACACACACACACACACACACACACACACACACACACACACACACACACACACACACACACACACACACACACACACACACACACGTAATGTGTTCATATGTTAACTACTTTATTTACAAATCATCAGCTCAAAATGGAGTGGGAAGAAGAAAAACACCCAACATTGAAGAATAAACTAATGATTGATGATGTAATTGGTAAAAGAGCTGAAAATGTTTTATTTTGTACCCCAGATAGTTACAAACACACAGTCAAGTCCACCCACAATGCAATACCAGTGGTTTTCAAAGTTTAGTTTAGTTGGTTACAGCTTTAACCCTCTCCAGGCAGGCGTTGCATATTTGCAACAACTTAATTTATTATTTCCTAACTACTCCACATCCATATTTTTGACTCTTTTTTTCCTCAAAGGTACCACTGCTAGACTTAGTTGAGCTTTAGCAACACTGTTTTACATCTGCTCACCAGGGGGCGCTGCTGTCTCACTTCCAAAATGTCAGACTCCTCAAGTCAGTATCACAACAACCTCTAATAGTTTGAAACTCTATTCCCCACAGCGGGCCAATGTTGCAAATATGCAACATCACAGAATGCATTCCCTGTGAAGGCCTCTCTAAAAAAATAAAAAATAAAAAGGAACAATAAACTGTTACTTTTTTGTTGTTGTAGCAGATATGTATCTAGATTTTTAAATAAGTGTGTCAAAAATATGTTTTCCTTTTTATGTATTGTATGTATTTATATTGTGTATAGTGTTATTTGTAGTGCGCCTTTCCACAAAGCAACACAAAGTGCGTCGCTAAAGACCTGTGTGTGACATCACCTACATGAGAGGGTGACTTCAGATCCTTTTTGGTTTATCAAACAATCAACCAGGGGGTGAGGGGATGAGGGGTTGAGGGAATGAGGGAGTGAGGGAGTGAGGGAATGAGGGGGTGAGGGAGTGAGGGGATGAGGGAATGAGGGAATGAGGGGGGGAGGGGGTGAGGGAATGAGGGGGTGAGGGAATAAGGGAATGAGGGAATGAGGGGGTGAGGGAGTGAGGGGATGAGGGGATGAGGGAATGAGGGAATGAGGGGGTGAGGGAGTGAGGGGATGAGGGAATGAGGGAGTGAGGGAGTGAGGGAGTGAGGGGATGAGGGAATGAGGGGGTGAGGGGATGAGGGAATGAGGGGGTGAGGGGATGAGGGGGTGAGGGAATGAGGGGGTGAGGGAGTGAGGGGATGAGGGAGTGAGGGGATGAGGGGGTGAGGGGATGAGGGAATGAGGGGGTGAGGGGGTGAGGGAATGAGGGGTGAGGGGATGAAGGGGTGAGGGGATGAAGGGGTGAGGGGGTGAGGGAGTGAGGGGATGAGGGGGTGAGGGAATGAGGGGGTGAGGGAGTGAGGGGATGAGGGAATGAGGGAGTGAGGGGATGAGGGGGTGAGGGGATGAGGGGATGAGGGAATGAGGGGTGAGGGGATGAAGGGGTGAGGGGATGAAGGGGTGAGGGGATGAAGGGGTGAGGGGGTGAGGGAGTGAATGAGAATCACTGCTGTTCTTTGTGTGACCTTAGATTTCTGACTTTTATAAAGTTATGGAAGAATCTCGGAGCTTCCCGCGGATATTTCCTTCTGCAGTGTTTCATCTGTAAAACATATGTTGTGTGTGTCTGGTGTGTGTTTGGTGTGTGTTTAGTGTGTGTTTAGTGTGTGTTTAGTGTGTGTTTAGTGTGTGTTTAGTGTGTGTTTAGTGTGTGTTTAGTGTGTGTCTGGTGTGTGTCTGGTGTGTGTTTGGTGTGTGTTTAGTGTGTGTTTAGTGTGTGTCTGGTGTGTGTCTGGTGTGTGTTTAGTGTGTGTTTAGTGTGTGTTTAGTGTGTGTCTGGTGTGTGTCTGGTGTGTGTTTGGTGTGTGTTTGGTGTGTGTTTAGTGTGTGTTTAGTGTGTGTTTAGTGTGTGTTTAGTGTGTGTTTAGTGTGTGTTTAGTGTGTGTCTGGTGTGTGTCTGGTGTGTGTTTGGTGTGTGTTTGGTGTGTGTTTAGTGTGTGTTTAGTGTGTGTCTGGTGTGTGTCTGGTGTGTGTTTAGTGTGTGTTTAGTGTGTGTTTGGTGTGTGTTTGGTGTGTGTTTGGTGTGTGTTTGGTGTGTGTTTGGTGTGTGTTTAGTGTGTGTTTAGTGTGTGTTTAGTGTGTGTTTAGTGTGTGTTTAGTGTGTGTTTGGTGTGTGTTTGGTGTGTGTTTGGTGTGTGTTTGGTGTGTGTTTAGTGTGTGTTTGGTGTGTGTTTGGTGTGTGTTTGGTGTGTGTTTGGTGTGTGTTTGGTGTGTGTTTAGTGTGTGTCTGGTGTGTGTTTAGTGTGTGTTTAGTGTGTGTTTGGTGTGTGTTTGGTGTGTGTTTAGTGTGTGTTTAGTGTGTGTTTAGTGTGTGTTTGGTGTGTGTTTGGTGTGTGTTTAGTGTGTGTCTCCGCTGGCTGCTGAGAGTTTGAAGAACCTGGTGCCATTTCTCTGCCCACTTCTGTCTTAATCTGGAGTTGTGTGTCGCTGTGACTCACACAACGCCCTGAAAATTAACTCCCACACAACACATCGCCTTTTCCACCCACTCTCTGTGTGCGTGTGTGTGTGTGTGTGTGTGTGTGCGTCTGTGTGTGTGTGATTGTCTATGTGTGTCAGAGAGAGTTCATATGTGTGTGTGTGTGTGCGTTGATGCGCGAGTGTGTGCCTGTGATTGTATGTGGGTATGATAGTGAGAGAGAGAGAGTGCATGTGTGTGTGTGTCAGAGAGAGCGCATGTGTGTCAGAGACTGCATTTGTGTTTGTGTGTGTGTCAGAGAGTGTGTGTGTGTGTGTGTGTGTCTGTGTGCACTTGTTTTCAACTCCTGGTGGGTTCCATAACCTGAGATTCCACTCACGTCATGGGGACTGGTTTTACGTGGTGGGGCCCGAACACCGGACCCCACTGGTCCAAGCTTAATAATCAATGGGTAATGCTTTTCTAACGGTCCTTATGCAGTCTCTGTAAAAATATGGAAAGGACCCCTGGAGGTTTACTTTCCTGAAAAAAGTGTGTTATGTGTCGGAACCCTGGTGGTGGGTTGCGGGATATCAAGGAGGGGCACACTGGGGCAATTTCAGTCCAGCAGGCTGGAGCCAATCATGGAGCAGCACAACAGAGGAAATCAGGTGTCAGGCTAGAAAAAGGTGCAAGTGTGTGGTTCATTAGGCTGCAAGAAATCATGGAGGAGCACACTGAAGCGCACGCTTACAAACCACTGGTAAGTGCTGACTACAAGTCATGACTTCAAATTGTTATATAGAATGATTACAAATTATTTGTTGTTTGTGCAGCTTAGTCAAGAGTCCCTAATTGATGAAGTCGACTCAGATTCTGACGATTTAACTGTCAAGAAGAAACCTGTAAAAAAGTATGGAAAAAGAAAAATCAAAAACACTTTTCTTCAAGACTCGGAAAGTGACGAACCAAAGGCAAATAAGATTGTTATCATGCAGCTGCAAAAGAAGAAAAATGGGGGGCGAGTATACAGCAAGAGACACTTCTGCCTCTACTGTTCAATGTCCTGCCACAAAATGTCCCGTCATTTGACTAGAAAACATGGAAATGAAAGTGACGTAGCCAGAGCATTGGCTCTACCTGTGAAATCTAAAGCACGTAAACTTCAGTTTGATTTGATCAGGAATAGTGGAAACCGTGAGCACAATTTTGAGGTTTTAAAGGCCGGCATTGGAACTTTAGTCCCAGCTAAACAGCCAAATTCCCCAGTTAAATCCAGTGAGTTTTTGCACTGTATAGACTGTGGGGCATTGCTTAAGCGAAAGTCGCTGTGGAGGCATGTGGCCAGGTGCCGGCTTTCACAGAAAGATGCCCAGGCTAAACCAGGTAGAAGTAGGGTCCAGTCCCTCTGCTCCCTAGCCCAGCCTGTACCGGAGGGCATCAGCAAAAAGCTGTGGTCTTTAATTTCGGCAATGCATCAGGATGAGGTCACGGGTGTTGTCAAAGCAGAAAAGGGGATTCTGAGACTCGGAGAGCACCTGTACTTAAAACACGGGCATGATAAGACAAAGCATGATTACATTAGGCAGAAAATGAGAGAAGTCGGTAGGTTAATTAACGAAGCAAAAACCGCAGGGAAACTGAAAACAATTAAGGATTTCTTTATTCCTTCCAACTTTAACCATGTGATTGATGCAGTCAGGTCTGTGGCTGGATATGATGAGGAAACAAATCAATACAAGACTCCATCCTTGGCCCTCAAACTCGGCCATAGCCTCAGAAAGCTAGCAGATATTCTTGAATGTGACTCAAAAATGGAGCATTGTGTTGATGAACTATTTATTAAAAACCTCCAACGAAGCCGGCTGCTTTTTGAGAAGAGGTGGGACGTCTGTGTTTCTTCTGCTGCCCTACAGACCCTCCGGCAAGCCAAGTGGAACACTCCGGACCTGCTCCCTCTGACTGAGGACGTTAGAGCCATGCATGCACATATTGAGGTATGTCGACCTGAATATGTGCAAACCCTAATAAGTGAGCCAACGTCTAAGCATTGGTCTAAACTGGCAGTTTTGACTCTTTGTGAGGTCATCATTTTCAATCGAAGAAGGGAAGGTGAGGTTTCAAAGATGCCACTGACAGCCTTTACCTTAAGAAGTAAGACTGGGATCCATTCTGACATTGCTCTGGGACTGTCCCAACTTGAGAAAAAGCTGTGTCAGCATTTTCAACGCATTGAAATTAAAGGGAAAAGAAGTCGGAAAGTGCCGGTTCTTTTGACTCCTGAAATGATTGCTTCGATGGAGGTGCTGGTGGAGAACAGAAGGGCCTGTTCCATCTCTGACCATAACCCATACTTCTTTTCCCGCCCGGGCGCAGACACCCACATCAGGGGATCAGACTCCCTACGCCAGGTAGCCAAAGAATGTGGTGCGGTGCATCCAGAGATGCTATCCTCAACCAAACTTAGAAAGCACATAGCTACTATGTCTACAGTTCTCAATATGAAAGAGAATGAGATGGACATACTTGCCAACTTCCTCGGCCATGACATTCGCATCCACAGGCAATATTACAGACTACCAGAGGGGACACTGGAGCTGGCCAAAATCAGCAAAGTGTTGATGGCCATGGAGCAGGGAAGAGTGACGGAATTCGAAGGAAAGAGCCTCGACCAGATACAAATTGAGCCTGAAGGTAATTCTTGATATTATTAAAATATGTATGATTTTTTTCCCCTAAAGGCCACTTGTATTTTTATTTTCTGTGCGACAGGGAGAGCAGTAGAGATCCTCTCACAAACGGACGGGCTAAAAGAAACTTCAAGCGGAGAACCTTCAACCATTCATCCAGATGCACCCCATGGTAGTGGCAGTGCCCCTTCTGGTAAGTGTACCAGGTGGGGGATTACAGCCAGGCTGCTTGGTCCTCACCCTGGGAGTGTATATTGCTAATATATTTTTATTTCTCTCCCTAGAACGTGTAAGAAAGCCATGGTCTGCATCTGAGGTGAAGGCTGTGGAGAAGACCATGACACCTTTCATACAGACTGGAAAGGTCCCTGGGAAGTCTCACTGCCTGGCCTGCATTAATGCCTCACCAGATGACCTTAGACATCGGACATGGAGTGGCATTAAATTCTATGTCAAAAATAGAATCACTGCAATTCGAAAACAAAATCTAAAATAAAATTCCTTTAAAATAGTTGTTTGGTTTCTATTGACTGTTTTGTATTACTTAAAGTCTTGGTAAAAAAAGATTATGTCTATGGGTCCCATTCTGAACGGCCCTGTCAAAGGGACCCACCAGGTAACAAAAACGTGTATGTGTGCGTGTGTGTGTGTGTCAGAGAGAGCGCATGTGTGTCAGAGACTGCATTTGTGTTTGTGTGTGTGTCAGAGAGAATGTGTGTGTGTCAGAGAGAGAGAGTGTGTGTCAGAGAGAGAGAGTGTGTGCGTCAGAGAGAGTGTGTGTGTGTCAGAGAGAGTGCATGTGTGTGTCAGAGAGAGTGTGTGTGTGTCAGAGAGAGAGAGTGTGTGTCAGAGAGAGAGAGTGTGTGCGTCAGAGAGAGTGCATGTGTGTGTCAGAGAGTGCATGTGTGTGTCAGAGAGAGTGCATGTGTGTGTCAGAGACAGTGCATGTGTGTGTCAGAGAGAGTGCATGTGTGTGTCAGAGAGAGAGTGTGTGTCAGAGAGAGAGTGTGTGCGTCAGAGAGAGTGCATGTGTGTGTCAGAGAGAGTGCATGTGTGTGTCAGAGACAGTGCATGTGTGTGTCAGAGAGAGAGTGTGTGTCAGAGAGAGAGTGTGTGCGTCAGAGAGAGTGCATGTGTGTGTCAGAGAGAGTGCATGTGTGTGTCAGAGAGAGAGTGTGTGTCAGAGAGAGAGAGTGTGTGCGTTAGAGAGAGTGCATGTGTGTGTCAGAGACAGTGCATGTGTGTGTCAGAGAGAGTGCATGTGTGTGTCAGAGACAGTGCATGTGTGTGTCAGAGAGAGTGTGTGTGTATCAGAGAGAGAGAGTGTGTGTGTCAGAGAGAGTGCATGTGTGTGTCAGAGAGTGTGTGTGTGTGTGTTTTCTCAGAGAGAGTGCATGTGTGTGTCAGAGAGAGTGTGTGTGTGTTTCTCAGAGAGAGTGCATGTGTGTGTCAGAGAGAGTGTGTGTGTGTTTCTCAGAGAGAGTGCATGTGTTTGTCAGAGAGAGTGTGTGTGTGTGTCAGAGAGAGTGCATGTGTGTTTCTCAGAGAGAGTGTGTGTGTTTCTCAGAGAGAGTGCATGTGTGCGTCAGAGAGAGTGCATGTGTTTGTCAGAGAGAGTGCACGTGTGTGTCAGAGAGAGTGAGTGCATGTGTGTGTCAGAGTGTGTGTGTGTGTCAGAGAGAGTGTGTGTGTGTCAGAGAGAGTGTGTGTGTGTCAGAGAGAGTGTGTTTGTCAGAGAGAGTGCATGTGTGTGTCAGAGAGAGTGTGTGTGTGTCAGAGAGAGTGTGTGTGTGTCAGAGAGAGTGTGTTTGTCAGAGAGAGTGCATGTGTGTGTCAGAGAGAGTGTGTGTGTGTCAGAGAGAGTGTGTTTGTCAGAGAGAGTGCATGTGTGTGTCAGAGAGAGTGTGTGTGTGTGTCAGAGAGAGTGTGTGTCAGAGAGTGTGTATGTGTGTCAGAGAGAGTGAATGTGCGTGCTTCTGTGTGTAAGAGTGTGTGCGTGTGTGTGTGTTTGTGTGAATGGTGGTGGGAGGGGCCGATGGCACAGACTGGTTGCCTCGCTTCTGTCAGTGTGCCCCAGGGCAGCTGTGGCTACAGTAGAAGTTTATCACCACTTGAGGAAGATATCTTGTTTTAAAAAGTTACAGAAATGTCACCATAGAATGAGATAACAAAGCAACTAAATGTCTCTGGTTTAAACACAGTCAGAATGTGTCAGATTAAGATAAAAACACTCGATTCATGCAGTTATTACCTCATATTTTATCATTTTGTGTAAAATCTTGTATATTCAAGTGCAAGAAATATATAGTTGTGTACAGGGTAAAGTATCGGGAACACATGTGGAACAAAGGCGTGTGAAATGTTTTTGAGTGTATGATTCTAATGCATCACTATTATAAATGTTTTAAATATACATAATTCTCTTGAGTTTATAATAATTTCTTTTCTCCTCAGAGCACGACAACAACAGACGAGGCGTGGCCGTGTGCAGAAGCAGCAGCCCCTGTGTCCCCAAAGAAGAGTCCAACCATTGAACATGTTTTTAGTCTGTGTCATTTCAAACTCTGCTGCAGCGGACACAGGACCCACGGGACCCACGGGACCCACGGGACCCGCACGACACACATGTATGGATTTAAAAGCAGTGAAATGTCCTGTTCTCTCCATCATCATGTACAGAGGGAGGAGGAAGCAAAAAGGCCAGTCATAGAAATACATTACTCTCTCTGGTCTCTCTCTTCCTGGTCTGTCTCTGGTCTCTGTCTGGTCTCTGGTCTCTGTCTGGTCTCTGGTCTCTGTCTGGTCTCTGGTCTCTCTCTGGTCTCTGACTCTCTCTGGTCTCTGACTCTCTCTGGTCTCTGACTCTCTCTGGTCTCTGACTCTCTCTGGTCTCTGACTCTCTCTGGTCTCTGACTCTCTCTGGTCTCTGACTCTCTCTGGTCTCTGACTCTCTCTGGTCTCTGACTCTCTCTGGTCTCTGACTCTCTCTGGTCTCTGACTCTCTCTGGTCTCTGACTCTCTCTGGTCTCTGACTCTCTCTGGTCTCTGACTCTCTCTGGTCTCTGACTCTCTCTGGTCTCTGTCTGTCTCTGTCTGTCTCTCTCTCCCTGGTCTCTCTCTGGTCTCTGTCTCACTCTGGTCTCTGTCTGTCTCTCTCTCCCTGGTCTCTCTCTGGTCTCTCTCTTTCTGGTCTCTCTCTGGTCTCTGTCTCACTCTGGTCTCTGTCTGTCTCTCTCTCCCTGGTCTCTCTCTGGTCTCTCTCTTTCTGGTCTCTCTCCCTGGTCTCTCTCTCTCTCGCTCACAGACACTCATTAACGAATCACTCATTAGTGAAATAATTGTCTTGAGAGTAGGGTTGGGCATCGTTTGCAATTTTCCGATTCCGATTCCGGTTCCGATTCTCACTATCGATTCCTGTTCTAAACGATTCTCGATTCCGATTCTTTGAGGTGCAGGAGATAAAAAAAAAAAAGATAATTTTTTTTATTTTTTCCTGCCATAAGGCAACAGAAAGTGCTTTACATAAAAACAAGGAACACGAACACACACACACACACACACACACACACACACACACACAAGCGGTGTTTATGTGGCACCGCCCACCATCATCTCAGAGCGGCTGAAATGTAAACACGTCTCTGTAAACCGCTGAAAAACGGCTAAAGTGAGAATACTGGAGGATTATCGTTGGACGGACTGACAGATTTGACCAAAGCACAAGGACTCGTGCATCGTGTTTTCAGAGTTTTTTACGGATTATTACATGGAGGAGGAGCAGGACTTTTTGCGGTCCTCGGCAGGTGGACAGCGTGTTTCCCTTCTTCATCATTACAAAGGGCCTGACCAGTAACTTTAAGGTAAGGAACATCAGTTTCGGATGTGTTTGTAAAGCGAGTGATGAAACTGATGTAGCGTGAGTTTGGGGAAACTGCACCGGGCTAGCACGAGTGTTCAACCGGTCAATACGCCCGTTAAACCTCGCTGTCTGGACTCTAACTTAACCAAATAATATCTGAATAAGTCATTTGACGGATAAATGTTTGCATCCTTTACCCCTTGACTCAGTTTTATCTGCGTTTGTGGAAAATGTGAAGATACAAGCGTTGAGAGGTTTCTTTGCGATGGCAGGAGTGTGTGGCTGAAGCTAAATGTGGATGCAAACACGAGCGCGCCGTCTCATAAGAGCTTAATTCACTGAGTTTTTCACAAAGCTGGGTGGACAGCTGCTAAGCATTTTTGAAACGTGTCCCCCCCCCACCTTCCAAACGCCTCCGACGCCGCTGTGCGGGCCGCATCCGGCATTTAGGAATTGAAAAAAGAATCAAAATACAAACGTCTTCTTAACGGTTCCGGAACCGCACTTTAGGAACCGGTTCCAAATAGGAACCGGTTCTAGGTGCCCAACCCTACTTGAGAGTTGTCTTCACATTGTCTTTGAAATGCTTGAATAATTCCCGTTAATGTCTCATGATTGCCTTCCTCTGCTAAAACAACGATTTAAAATAATCCACTAGAGCTATGTTGTTATATTGTAATGTGTCAGAAGTATATTTTCAATATTGTTTGTTTTTCTCTAAAGAAATGTGTCGTTTTGTTGCATTTTTAATGAAAACAGGCCCAAGATCCATGAACCATGAAGCTGTTATTCATGTTGGACCCAGCAGGGGGCAGTATTACTCTGCAAACAGTTCACAATCTGACGTTCTGTGCAGGATCCAAACTTTTTTATGTGTTAAAGCTGGGATACGTAACTTTCAAAACAAAAATAGATTGAATTCAATAACTCGACTGCATAATCGCTAATTACAGCTACTAATAGCACTCGTCTAAGTGGACTTAACAACTTTGTTGATTCCCAAACAACAGATCAAAGACTCAAACAATTAAATGTCAATGTTAATGTTAATGTTAATGACTGTACAATTCAAAAATGCTAATCAAAATAACTTGAATTAAATAAATATTTTACTTTTATGAACAAAAAGCTGCAGAATTTGAAAACATAGACTACATGTGATGCAATCATTGATAAAAATGCTAAATAACCGTTAATAGGTGTTAGCATTTATGGATATTACAATGTACATTGTGGTAAATAAATCTAAGGCAACCAAAGTGAGACTGGCATAATGTAAAAACTAATATTAGCCTTGTTAGCATGTTTTATGATATCAAGTAGAGTTAGCTAACTTGCCCAACACTAATTAGCTTGAATCTCACAAATAAGGCTAAAAGGTTAAAAGAGTTGCACACTATTATGTACAAACTGATGAAAATATGTTTATACCTTGTTCAGATGACAGTGAAACCTCCTACAGATTCAGCCCAGACTGCTGCTGCTGCTGTGAGAGGTCCTTCTCCTACGTCATCGCCGCCATTTTGGCGCCCCCTAGCGTTTCTATGCGGAAGTGAAAAGGTGCCACTTCAAAGCCGTTTTTTTTAACATAATCCATCTGAACATATCAAAATGAACACCCGAAATATTATAAACACATATTGTAGTTATATATTCTGGGTAGCAGCATATTAAATTCTAGTACTACTTTAACTACGTCATCGTTGGAATCTGATTGGTCGATCCTTTATCTGGATTTATAAAGACTGTCGAAAGAGAGCAGCATGATTTTTAAGGCCAAAAATTGCCTCAAACAGTTACTGAGCGAGAGGAGATCACTTGGAGCAGAGACAGTGAGTTGGAGCAAAACTTTGCCCATGAGCACTTCCCAAACGGACTTCATTGAGCTAGCAGGTTAGCATTGTCCGTCTGTATACAGTCTGTGGTGTGTACATTAGAAAGAATAGACAGTGGCACTATTGTACATTTTGAAAAATATAGGTTTTTTTAAATAAAGACGTTTATTTGGAGTAAAAGCTACAAATACATTTTAATTCAGTTTTAATCAATGTTTAGTGTCAGAAATGTGCAACTTAATTCTGTCCACTTTTTAAAGCTTTTTACCATGTTACAAAATTCACAGACCTGGAGATGTTTTTAGATCCATCCATGCCAGTATCAGGAAGTTCTGGTACAAACATGTAGCTCCGCCCCTTTCTGTCTAAATGCTCCCGTCTCATTCCCACTTTTGCGATCTCGGAAGTTCCCACTGCCCACTCGGAAAAACGGGAGACTCAGACTGAGACTAGGGCTGAGACTAGGGCTGAGACTGGGGCTGAGACTGGGGCTGAGACTGGGGCTGAGACTGGGGCTGAGACTGGGGCTGAGACTGGGGCTGAGATTGTGGGTGAGACTAGGGCTGAGACTAGGGCTGAGACTAGGGATGAGACTAGGGCTGAGACTGGGGCTGAGACTAGGGCTGAGACTGGGGCTGAGACTGGGGCTGAGACTGTGGGTGAGACTAGGGCTGAGACTAGGGCTGAGACTAGGGCTGAGACTAGTGCTGAGACTAGGGCTGAGACTAGGGCTGAGACTGGTGCTGAGACTGGTGCTGAGACTAGGGCTGAGACTAGGGCTGAGACTAGGGCTGAGACTAGGGCTGAGACTGGGGCTGAGACCGGGGCTGAGACTGTGGGTGAGACTAGGGCTGAGACTGTGGGTGAGACTCAGACTGAGACTAGGACTGAGACTAGGACTGAGACTGGGGCTGAGACTAGGACTGAGACTGGGGCTGAGACTAGGGCTGAGACTGGGGCTGAGACTAGGGCTGAGACTAGGGCTGAGACTAGGGCTGAGACTGGGGCTGAGACTGGGGCTGAGACTGGGGCTGAGACTGTGGGTGAGACTAGGGCTGAGACTAGGGCTGAGACTAGGGCTGAGACTAGTGCTGAGACTAGGGCTGAGACTGGTGCTGAGACTGGTGCTGAGACTAGGGCTGAGACTAGGGCTGAGACTAGGGCTGAGACTGGGGCTGAGACCGGGGCTGAGACTGTGGGTGAGACTAGGGCTGAGACTGTGGGTGAGACTCAGACTGAGACTAGGACTGAGACTGGGGCTGAGACTAGGACTGAGACTGGGGCTGAGACTAGGGCTGAGACTAGGGCTGAGACTAGGGCTGAGACTAGGGCTGAGACTAGGGCTGAGACTAGGGCTGAGACTAGGGCTGAGACTAGGGCTGAGACTCGGACTGAGACTCGGACTGAGACTCGGACTGAGACTCGGACTGAGACTCGGACTGAGACTCGGACTGAGACTCGGACTGAGACTCGGACTGAGACTCGGACTGAGACTCGGACTGAGACTCGGACTGAGACTCGGACTGAGACTCGGACTGAGACTCGGACTCCCAGGCACAGGGAGAACATAAAAACTGAACTCAAAAAGGGCTCGTTCCGACCGCGATTCGAACCGAGAAGTGCTATCCACTCAGCCACTGTGTATGTAGATGAACTATGCTAACCCATTGAGCTAGCAGGTTAGCATTGACCATCTATACAATCTGTGCTCCCACATGTCTCCTTTTTATAAGCAAAGGAAGGTTTCTCACCCATCATCTGTACTTCTAAAGCCTAGCGTACATCGGACTGGCAACTGATTATATCCGTCGCATATGAGTTGCTGCCCCGCACACATCGACAATCTGAAGAAAACGGGCAACTCCCAGTAGCAGACCAGTCTCGGGAATAACAGCGCGTACATCGACAGCAACTGGCCTCAACTACAGTGTGTTTTCTGACATAAACTGTTGCGGGCGCGCAATACACGTAATACACACGTTGTCGGAGCGGCGCATGGAGCGCGCACATCGGGTCATATCTCCGAAACTGAGGACAACTAGTTGCCGAAAAGTAGAACACGGGCAACTGACTGAATCCGGAGACCGACTGATCATCTCCAGTTGTAAGAGCGCGCACATCGACCGATTTCAACTGATCATCTCCCACCATCTCCTCTCAGTTGCCAAAAGCCGCCTTGAAACTAGTTGTCTCCAGTTTCTCTGTCGATGTACGCCAGGCTTTAGCAAGTTTTCCCGACGTTTCATCCTCAAACCTAGCGGACTTCTTCAGGGAATGAATTCTCAGACCGTGTGTTGGAGATTTATAACCTATGGGTGTGGTCAGCCACACCCTAATCCTGATACTACCTCATAAACAATCTAAGGTCTGATGTAGAAGGGAGCAGGTCTAACGACCCTGCTGAGGCTAACGACCCTAACTCATTAGCATGTCACTGACCTTGTCCCAAGTTAGGGCGTTGTTTTTAGGATGTCGTCATAGATGCGAGGCAAAACAAATCTTAACCCTCCTCCTCTGTTAAGAGAAGGTTTTTGTTTCCTCACAAAAATGGCTTCCTCACAAAAAAGATTTTTTTCCTCCTAAAGCCCAGTCCCGGTGCTGGTTCTGTTGGTGCTGGTTGTGTCGGTGCAGAGACGACAGGAGGCGTCCGGCACCATCATCTGTCACCGCCGCTAATTGGAGAGTTACATCTTCTATTGTCGGAGTCTGTGATTTCCTCGGAGCAGCTGATCCCACAGACTCACAACAACTCCACTCTTTATTAACTCAACAGATGGAATAAATAACTGCACGTGTTGATAATTAAAGGGGACGTAGTATATGCTTTAAACCATGTTACAACATTGTCCAGGCTAATATCAACAACATGTCCCTCTGGCTCTTTTAAGGACAGTGATGATCCAGGACACACGACATTTACCGACATTTTGGCCAGATCTGGTCTCTCTCTCTCTCTCTCTCTGGTCTCGCTCTCTCTCTGGTCTCTCTCTCTCTCTCTGGTCTCTCTCTCTCTCTGGTCTCTCTCTCTGGTCTCTCTCTCTGGTCTCTCTCTCTGGTCTCTCTCTCTCTGGTCTCTCTCTCTCTGGTCTCTCTCTCTCTGGTCTCTCTCTCTCTGGTCTCTCTCTCTCTGGTCTCTCTCTCTGGTCTCTCTCTCTGGTCTCTCTCTCTGGTCTCTCTCTCTCTGGTCTCTCTCTCTGGTCTCTCTCTCTGGTCTCTCTCTCTCTGGTCTCTCTCTCTCTGGTCTCTCTCTCTCTGGTCTCTCTCTCTGGTCTCTCTCTCTGGTCTCTCTCTCTCTGGTCTCTCTCTCTCTGGTCTCTCTCTCTCTGGTCTCTCTCTCTCTGGTCTCTCTCTCTCTGGTCTCTCTCTCTGGTCTCTCCAGCTCTGGTTCTCCTGGTCTTGTGCAGTAGGAGCAGAGGTTCTCCTTTTGCCGGACCAGAGTAACAGCAACAGAGAAAAATTCAGGACGACAAAAGGGAAACTCAAATCCCCACAAAGTTAAAGTAGTACTAGAATTTAATATGCTGCTATCCAGAATATATAACTACAATATGTGTTTATAATATTTCGGGTGTTCATTTTGACATGTTCAGATGAATTATGTTAAAAAACTGCTCTGAAGTGGCACCTTTTCACTTCCGCATAGAAACGCTAGGGGGCGCCAAAATGGCGGCGATGACGTAGGAGAAGGACCTCTCACAGCAGCAGCAGCAGTCTGGGCTGAATCTGTAGGAGGTTTCACTGTCATCTGAACAAGGTATAAACATATTTTCATCAGTTTGTACATAATAGTGTGCAACTCTTTTAACCTTTTAGCCTTATTTGTGTTGGGCAAGTTAGCTAACTCTACTTGATATCATAAAACATGCTAACAAGGCTAATATTCGTTTTTACATTATGCCAGTCTCACTTTGGTTTCCTTAGATTTATTTACCACAATGTACATTGTAATATCCAAAAATGCTAATCAAAATAACTTGAATTAAATAAATTTTACTTTTATGAACAAAAAGCTGCTGAAGTTGAAAACATAGACTACATGTGATGCAATCATTGATAAAAATGCTAATTAAACCATTAATAGGTGTTAGCAAAAACGAATATTAGCCTTGTTAGCATGTTTTATGATATCAAGTAGAGTTAGCTAACTTGCCCAACACTAATTAGCTTGAATCTCACAAATAAGGCTAAAAGGTTAAAAGAGTTGCACACTATTATGTACAAACTGATGAAAATATGTTTATACCTTGTTCAGATGACAGTGAAACCTCCTACAGATTCAGCCCAGACTGCTGCTGCTGCTGTGAGAGGTCCTTCTCCTACGTCATCGCCGCCATTTTGGCGCCCCCTAGCGTTTCTATGCGGAAGTGAAAAGGTGCCACTTCAGAGCAGTCTTTTTAACATAATCCATCTGAACATATCAAAATGAACACCCGAAATATTATAAACACATATTGTAGTTATATATTCTGGATAGCAGCATATTAAATTCTAGTACTACTTTAAACATTGAACCGGTCTATGGAGAAGTCTCTAGTCCAGACCATGTGGACTGAAGCTGCAGTACTATGGGTGTCCATGTGGAGGCAGGTTTAAGCAGCTCTATGTGATGTGAGTGCAGAGATGCTGTAGATACTGCGTCCTGGTGGTGGTATTGGAGGGGAACACGGCGTGGCAGAACTCGCAGACCTGGGACAGAAGAGCCACGTCAGACCAGAGGGTCTCGCTCTGGACCCTGGACATGCTGTTCCCGGAGGGAGGGGCCACGCAGCTGCTGACAGGGATCTGCGGCAAACAACCAGAGAAGAAGAAGAAGCTCAAATCTTCATCGGCAAGAAATATGTCGACGCATTTTTTTCCTCTCACTTATATTAAAAACATTAAAGGACCCTAATCTGTCATCATTAAAGGACCCTAATCTGTCATCATTCATGGTTTTACACTGGTCCAGACCAGAGCAGAGAGGATTCATGGTTTTACACTGGTCCAGACCAGAGCAGAGAGAATTCATGGTCCGAACCAAGTGGATCAGGTGAAAATCCACTGGAGGAATGCTAACTTTTTATTAGGGCTGTCAAAATTATCGCGTTAATTCACGTTAATTACGTTTTCATTAACGCGTAAAAAAATAATTAACGCATTAACTGCCATTGACGTCAATTGCGTTTCCCGCTATTTTCACGTTCCCAGATGTCTGTTGTATCAAATATGTAAGGCTTGAGGCAATATTCTATCGAGCCAGCAGATGGCAGCATTGCTCTATGAATGGTTTGAAAACAGCTAGATGCACTTTCTGGTGATTTCAATAAAACTTACCTCTACTCGACTGGGGATTACAGGGGAACAAAACAAGCTAGAAACAAAATCATTTTTGTTGATGAAAGTAGACAGTCCATTCTTTCAGAATCTGGTTTTGGATTTCAGATAGTCATAGTACACAATATTCTGTGGGTTTTGAAAATTCAGTAAAAATCATCAGAAACGGCTGGCAATATGGGAGTACCTGTTCTGAAATAGGCTGGCAGTCAATCGCATGTCCGAATGACCCGCCCATTTATAATAATATCACTCCGAATGACCCGCCCATTTATAATAATATCACTCAGAATGACCCGCCCATTTATAATAATATCACTCAGAATGACCCGCCCAGTTATAATAATATCACTCAGAATGACCCGCCCAGTTATAATAATATCACTCAGAATGACCCGCCCATTTATAATAATATCACTGTGTGATGGTGACAGCGGTAACGTGGTCATATAATACACGCATATATATATACACGCACAGGGGCCATTCTATGATGTTGTGTGACACACGGAGGAGAGGAGGAGACACGCTGAAATGCAACCAAACTCGCAAAATTAAAGCTGGGGTACCTACATTTTCCCTTTCATTAACAGCTCTTGTTGGTTGTACCCAAAAGTAGAAGGTTGTGAGCAAGTCAAACAGATTTAAGTACATTTGGTATGAATAATAATGTGTCATTACATTTGAAAAACTCATTTAACTTCAATTGGAGTGGATTTGAAATAGAAGGCTTAAAGTGCGATTAATCGTGAGTTAACTCACCATTACTATGCGATTAATCAACAAAAAAAAATTAATCGTTTGACAGCCCTAGTTTTTAATAATGCTAATGAAGCATATAGTATTTTACTTTGGACCAGAGCAGAGAAAATGGTCTGAACCAAGAGGCTACTCCACCTGGTGACCAGTCCTGCTCCACTCAGAGGCTACTCCACCTGGTGACCAGTCCTGCTCCACTCAGAGGCTACTCCACCTGGTGACCAGTCCTGCTCCACTCAGAGGCTACTCCACCTGGTGACCCGTCCTGCTCCACTCAGAGGCTACTCCACCTGGTGACCCGTCCTGCTCCACCCAGAGGCTACTCCACCTGGTGACCCGTCCTGCTCCACCCAGAGGCTACTCCACCTGGTGACCCGTCCTGCTCCACCCAGAGGCTACTCCACCTGGTGACCAGTCCTGCTCCACTCAGAGGCTACTCCACCTGGTGACCAGTCCTGCTCCACTCAGAGGCTACTCCACCTGGTGACCCGTCCTGCTCCACTCAGAGGCTACTCCACCTGGTGACCCGTCCTGCTCCACCCAGAGGCTACTCCACCTGGTGACCCGTCCTGCTCCACCCAGAGGCTACTCCACCTGGTGACCTGTCCTGCTCCACCCAGAGGCTACTCCACCTGGTGACCCGTCCTGCTCCACCCAGAGGCTACTCCACCTCTGCTGCTGTGACCTGAAGGACTGTTTATTATTACTATTAGAATGATCAAAATATATATATTTTTTGCTGCCACTGGACACCCGAATTTCTCCTATAGGGATCAATAATGTATCTATCTATCTATCCCAAAGAGAAACCATAGGAGAAACCATCAAACGTCCCCATACTTACATTAGTGACATTAGTGTGTGTGAAGTGGCTGTTGTGGTGCGAGGGTCCGGGCGACAGCGTCATGACCGAGGACAGAGACAGAGGAACGCTGAGCTCGGGCTCTTTCCTCTGGACCTCCACAGACAGTTTGGTCATGTCCTCAGTCAGGAGGTCCCAGGAGTGTCCCAAGGGTTCAGGAGGTCCCTGAACGCCACACGCTGCAGTTGCACTGAGGAGAGGGGGAGGAGTTCTGTTCAGGTAAACCAAGACCTCTGAGTCCAGCTGAGGGGATGTGTCTCCACCTGCTCCACCTGCATGAGAGAAATAAAATAATAATAATACTTCCACTGGATTGCCATTAGCGTCCTGGATCTACAGCCTCAGTCCTGGATCTACAGCCTCAGTCCTGGGTCTACAGCCTCAGTCCTGGGTCTACAGCCTCAGTCCTGGGTCTACAGCCTCAGTCCTGGATCTACAGCCTCAGTCCTGGATCTACAGCCTCAGTCCTGGATCTACAGCCTCAGTCCTGGATCTACAGCCTCAGTCCTTGATCTACAGCCTCAGTCCTGGGTCTACAGCCTCAGTCCTGGATCTACAGCCTCAGTCCTGGGTCTACAGCCTCAGTCCTGGACCTACAGCCTCAGTCCTGGATCTACAGCCTCAGTCCTGGATCTACAGCCTCAGTCCTGGGTCTACAGCCTCAGTCCTGGGTCTACAGCCTCAGTCCTGGACCTACAGCCTCAGTCCTGGACCTACAGCCTCAGTCCTCGATCTACAGCCTCAGTCCTGGACCTACAGCCTCAGTCCTGGATCTACAGCCTCAGTCCTGGATCTACAGCCTCAGTCCTGGACCTACAGCCTCGGTCCTGGATCTACAGCCTCAGTCCTGGATCTACAGCCTCAGTCCTGGACCTACAGCCTCAGTCCTGGACCTACAGCCTCAGTCCTGGATCTACAGCCTCAGTCCTGGATCTACAGCCTCAGTCCTGGATCTACAGCCTCAGTCCTGGGTCTACAGCCTCAGTCCTGGGTCTACAGCCTCAGTCCTGGATCTACAGCCTCAGTCCTGGATCTACAGCCTCAGTCCTGGATCTACAGCCTCAGTCCTGGATCTACAGCTTCAGTCCTGGATCTACAGCTTCAGTCCTGGGTCTACAGCCTCAGTCCTGGGTCTACAGCCTCAGTCCTGGACCTACAGCCTCGGTCCTGGATCTACAGCCTCAGTCCTGGATCTACAGCCTCAGTCCTGGACCTACAGCCTCAGTCCTGGACCTACAGCCTCAGTCCTGGATCTACAGCCTCAGTCCTGGATCTACAGCCTCAGTCCTGGGTCTACAGCCTCAGTCCTGGGTCTACAGCCTCAGTCCTGGGTCTACAGCCTCAGTCCTGGACCTACAGCCTCAGTCCTGGATCTACAGCCTCAGTCCTGGACCTACAGCCTCAGTCCTGGATCTACAGCCTCAGTCCTGGACCTACAGCCGCAGTCCTGGATCTACAGCCTCAGTCCTGGATCTACAGCCTCAGTCCTGGGTCTACAGCCTCAGTCCTGGGTCTACAGTCTCAGTCCTGGATCTACAGCCTCAGTCCTGGACCTACAGGTTTATGGTCCGACAAAGAGGCCTCATTCACGAATAACTTCTTAAGAAACGTCTTAAATTTCTTCTCAAGTCGTTCTCAAGTAGATTTTTAAGAAGAGCCTACGTGGGATTCATCAACGCGCTCGTAAGGCGCTGAATTGTTCGCAGCTGTTCTCTCAGATTGATGAATGCCAACTCCTCGTAAGTAGAGCGCGCGTGCCCGGTGATTCATTAGCATAGGTACTTAGCATAAGTAACCGCCCACTAATGCCCATATAAGGGGACTGCAGGGCCGTGTGCAGACGGCAGAGGAAACAGCAACAGGTCACGCTTTTTTCTTCTTTTGCCAGACTGAGAATAATGTCAAAACGTGTTGACTTTAAAGTCAAATTATTATGAGAATAAAGTCAAACTAGCAAAATTATGTGATTAATCTAAAAATGTTATGAGATTAATTTTAAAATATATTATGTATTAATTTTAAAATTTTAAAAATGAATCTCAAAATGTTGTGAGATTAATCTCAAAATATTTTGGACCCTGGAAGGAGATCCAGCATGTGAGACCAATGTAGACCCGAGGAGAGACCATAGACTGGAGAGACCAAAGACTGGGAAGACTGGCCCGCAGAGACCAGCGTGGACCGAGGAGAGACCGCATATAGACTGGAGAGACCAGCGCGGACCCATATAGATCCATGGGAGAGACCAGAGACTCAGCGCGGACCCCGCAGCCTCCTGCAGCAGCAGTAAATATGCCATTGTTCTGTGGCCCGTGGATAAAGAAATGACCCCTACAAATAGGAAGGGATCACTAATACACGGCATGATTTCCAATGTATTTGATAAAGCGTTGGCACATTTCATTTCAAAATGAATGAACAAATAGGCTAAATTACCATAAACAATTAAATAAATAAATAAATAAATACATACATCAATATGACAAACATATCACTGTAATGTTGTGTTTTATTGAACTTCACAAAAGAAGACAACACCAGCGTGTGAACATGTCGGCACTGAATGTCCTTAAGAGTGCTCCGGAGCACTCGGAGGATTTGTACGTACCCAAGAGAAATTCTGGTTACGAGACAATTTCGTGAATGCCACAAACTTTGTAAAATCTTCGTAAGTAGGATTTATGCACAAATTTGTTCTTAAGAACCGTTCGTGAATGAGGCCCATTGTCTGTACCTTGTTGCTGCTGGTCTCTCTCTCTCTGGTCTCTCATGGTCTACCTCTCTGGTCTACCTCTCTGGTCTACCTCTCTGGTCTACCTCTCTGGTCTACCTCTCTGGTCTACCTCTCTGGTCTACCTCTCTGGTCTACCTCTCTGGTCTACCTCTCTCTCTCTCTGGTCTCTCTCTCTCTGGTCTACTCTCTCTGGTCTACTCTCTGGTCTCTCTCTCTGGTCTCTCTCTCTCTCTGGTCTCTCTCTCTCTGGTCTCTCTCTCTCCTGGTCTCTCTCTCTGGTCTCTCTCTCTCTGGTCTCTCTCTCTCTGGTCTCTCTCTCTCTGGTCTCTCTCTCTGGTCTCTCTCTCTGGTCTCTCTCTCTGGTCTCTCTCTGGTCTCTCTCTCTGGTCTCTCTCTCTGGTCTCTCTCTCTGGTTCTCTCTCTCTGGTCTCTCTCTGGTCTCTGGTCTCTGGTCTCTCTCTGGTCTCTCTCTCTGGTCTCTCTCTCTCTCTGGTCTCTCTCTCGCTGTTGCTGCTCTCAGTGCCGCGGTGAGCTGCTCCAGGAGAGAGGCCTGTTTCAAACACAGAGACCTCAGACGCACAAACTCCTGATAGAGCTGAGGCGTACGCCTCCTCCATCGCCCCCTACTGGACACAAACAGGATTTATCTCTGGTCTCCCGCTCTGGTCTCTCTCTTTCTGCTACCTCTCTCTGCCCTCTCTCTCTGCCCTCTCTCTCTGCCTCTGCTACCTCTCTCTGCTCCCTCTCTCTGCTCTCTCTCTCTCTGCTCTCTCTCTGGTCTACCTCTCTCTGGTCTAATTCTCTCTGCTCTCTCTCTCTGCTCTCTCTCTCTGCTCCCTCTCTCTGCTCCCTCTCTCTGCTCCCTCTCTCTGCTCCCTCTCTCTGATCTCTGATCTCTCTCTCTGCTCTCTCTCTCTGCACCCTCTCTCTGCACCCTCTCTCTGCTCTCTCTCTCTGCTCTCTCTCTCTCTGATCCCTCTCTCTGCACCCTCTCTCTGCTCTCTCTCTCTGCTCTCTCTCTCTGATCCCTCTCTCTGATCCCTCTCTCTGCTCTCTCTCTCTCTCTCTGCTCTTTCTCTCTGCTCTCTCTCTCTGCTCCCTCTCTCTGCACCCTCTCTGCTCTCTCTCTCTGCTCTCTCTCTCTGCTCCCTCTCTCTGCTCTCTCTCTGCTCTCTCTCTCTGCTCTCTCTCTCTGCTCCCTCTCTCTGCTCTCTCTCTCTGCTCTCTCTCTCTGCTCTCTCTCTGCTCTCTCTCTCTCTGCTCTCTCTCTCTGCTCTCTCTCTGCTCTCTCTCTGCTCCCTCTCTCTGCTCTCTCTCTGCTCCCTCTCTGCTCTCTCTCTCTGCTCTCTCTCTGCTCTCTCTCTCTGCTCTCTCTCTCTGCTCTCTCTCTGCTCTCTCTCTGCTCCCTCTCTCTGCTCCTCTCTCTCTGCTCTCTCTCTCTGCTCTCTCTCTGCTCTCTCTCTCTCTGCTCTCTCTCTCTGCTCTCTCTCTCTGCTCTCTCTCTCTGCTCTCTCTCTGCTCTCTCTCTGCTCTCTCTCTCTGCTCTCTCTCTGCTCTCTCTGCTCCCTCTCTCTGCTCTCTCTCTCTGCTCTCTCTCTCTGCTCTCTCTCTCTCTGCTCTCTCTCTCTCTGCTCCTCTCTCTGCTCCCTCTCTCTGCTCCCCTCTCTCTGCTCCCTCTCTCTGCTCTCTCTCTCTGCTCCCTCTCTCTGCTCCCTCTCTCTGCTCTCTCTCTCTGCTCTCTCTCTCTCTGCTCTCTCTCTCTGCTCTCTCTCTCTCTCTGCTCTCTCTCTCTGCTCTCTCTCTCTCTCTGCTCTCTCTCTGCTCCCTCTCTCTGCTCCCTCTCTCTGCTCCCTCTGCTCTGCACTGCCGAGTCTCTCTGCTCCCTCTCTCTGCTCCTCTCAGGGGGGGGCGGGGGGGGGGGATCTGCTCTCTCTCTCTGCTCGGGGCAAGGTACAGGTGCTGAAACTGCGGGGGTCAATTGGGAGGCTTATGTAGTGCCGGTACACCGGTCTGGGGGGGGAGGGGGCAGCCCGGGGGTGGGGGAGGGGGGTGGGGGGGGGGGGGGGGGGGGGGGGTACGGGGGGGGGGAAGGGAGGGGGGATCGCGTGGGGGGTGAAGGGGGGTCGGGGGGGACTGAGGGGGGGGGGGGGGGGGGGGGAGGGTGGGGGGGGGTGGGGGTCCGCGGCCCTTTTGGGGGTCTTCCAGCCGGCCCGGATGGCACGGGGGGTGGGGTGCCTCGCCTATCGTTTGCCCAGTGGTGTGGTGGGGTGTGTGGGTGTGTGGTGGGGGGGCCGGGGGTACCTGGGGGGGGGGTACGCCACACCCCCAACCCTGTCGGATATGGGGGGGGGGGGGGGGTAGGGGGGGGGGGGGGGGGGCGTGGGAGGGGGGGGGGGGGGGGGTTGATCTCGAGGGGGGGTCTGGGCGGGTAGAAATCATGGGGGTGGGGTAATCCCCCTCGGTGGGGGGGGGGGGGTATCTGGGTACCAGGTGGGGGGGGGGGGGAGCAGGGGTCCCCACCTCCAGGAGTGGGGTAGGACTACACGGGGGGGTGGTTGGGGTGGTGGGGGTCTCCCCTTCCGGGTGGGGGGGGGTCCCGAGGGGCTCCTCAGCGAGGGTACGGGGGGGGGGGGCCCTTACCGGGGGGGGGGGGGCGATCTCGGTGGGGGACCTCCCCTTGGGGGGGTCACTGGGGTGGGGATGGGTGTTATCGGTTGGTTAAACTCAGGTCCACAGGGTACGCCGGGGGTATCCACCGGCTCTCACTGTGGGGTCTTGTTCGCGGGGGGGGGGGGGGGGGGGGGTGGGGGGGGGTCTACCGGGGGGTCCACGGGGGTCAGGGGGTGGTCTTTGCGAGTGTCGGGGGTCGGGGGGGGGGGGGGTGTTTGGTTGGCTCCCAGTTGTGGGGGGGGGGGGGGGGGGGGGGGGGGGTTGGGGGGGATCGGACTCACTGAAGCGGGGGAACTCGTAATGAAGGTGCTATGGTGTGGTGTGCGTGTTTTTTTGTCCCCCCCCCTCACACCCCCCCCCCCCCCCCCTTTGTGTGTGGGTTGGGCTATGGGGTGGGGGTGGGTGTGTGGTGTGTGTTGTGTTTATTTTATATTATATATATATTAATAAATATATATATATAGGGTGGGGGGTGTCTATTCAAGTCAGATTCAGGGGGGGAGTGGTACTGCCGGGTTCAGTACTCAGGGGGTCGCCCACAGTCCGTCACCTAAGGGGGGCACTCCAACCTGGGGGGGAGTATATTCGGGGGGTTATAACATGGAAAATTCAGGGGGTGTCGGGGGTGGTGGGGGGGCCCTGCTGGGGGGTCGCACTCCTGGGGTTCGACCCTTCTAGGGGGGGGGGGGGGGGGGGGGGGTGTGGGTGGTGGGGGGGCCTTCGGGGGGGGGTCGCCCTAGTCCCGCGTGTGGGTGGTGGTGGTGTGTGGTGTGTGGGTGGGGGGGGCGGGGGGTTGGGGGGGTTGGGGGGGTCGGGGGTCCCTACGTCCACACCGCAGGGATAGGGGGGGGGGTCTATGTCCCAATTTGCTGGTGGGGTGGGGGTGGGGGGGGGAATCAGGGGGGGTTGGGGGTGTGTCGTATCGGGTCCTGGTCCTGGGGTAGTTCGGGGATAAGGGGGGGAACCACATCCCATCGGGACTTCCGTGCCTCATCGGGGGTGGGTGGGGGGGGCGGTGTTTCCCCTGACACCTCTAATGGGGGGTCTCACATTCGGGGGGGTCGGGGGGGACCAGCCGGGGGGGGGGAGGGGGGGGAGGGCGGGTGGGGTGGGGGGGGTGGGGGTCTAGTGGGGTGGGTGGGGGTGATTGGGGGAACCCGTGGTGGGGGGGGTTCCGGGGCCTACTTGGGGGGCGGGGGGGGGGGGGTGGGGGTTGGTCCGGACACCAACCCCAACACAACCCAACCCCCCCCCCAACCCACCCCCACTGTTTGTTGTGGGGGGTGGGGGGAAGGGGGGGGGGTGGGGGGCGACATTACAGGAGATGGGGCCCTCGGGGGGGGGGTTCCCAGGGGTGGATCTCGGTGTCCTACTTCAAGTATGGGGGGGGTGGGGGGGGGGTCCGCCTTGGGGGGGGTTGGGACGGTTGGGGGTGGGGTGGGGGTGGTGGGTGGGTATAGCCGTCCAGGGGGGGGGTAGGGAACCCTGGGTGGGGGGGGGGGGTGGGGGGGGGGGGGAATAGGGGGGTTGGGGGGGGGGGGGTTGGCGGGGGGGGGAACGGGACTGGGGGTCGGGCGGGGGGGGGGGTGGTTCTACGGGTGTACGGGGGATAGTGGTCTGGGGGTTGGGACCGAGGGGGTGAGGGTTATGGGGGGGGGGCCCCCTGATACCCCCCATCGGGTGGGTTTAGGGTGGGGGGGGAGTGGGTGTGTGTATTTGTGTTGGGGGGGGGGGGGGGCGGCAAGCGGACCCTAGGGCGTTTCCCGGGTCCGGGAGCGACCCCCCGGAAGGGGGGGGGGCGGTCCCCCCCCCCACACAACCTGGTTCACTTCAGCTTGGGGGGGGGGGGGGGGGTGGGGTGTGGGGCGTCCAGTAGGCGGGCGACCCAAGCCGGGATCTCCTCGTGTGGTGTGGTGTGTGGGGTGTGGGGGGGGGGGGGCTGGGGGGGGACCTCCCCCCGCGGGGGTGGGTCGGGGGAGGGGGGGGGTGGATATCTTGTGTGTTGTGTGGTGGGCACTCATTAGCCTGTGGTTGAGTGTCACAGTTCGCGCGGGGGGAGGTGCTGGGAGGGGGTCTGTGGGGGGGTGGTGGGGGGACCTCAAGATGGCCCACACTTCATTCCCCAAACCACACACCCCCCCCTCACACCACCCCCCACCCCTACCTCAACACACTACACTTGTGTTACCCTCCCCGGGAGGGGGCGAGGGGGTGGCCGGGGGTCGGGGGGGGGGGGGGGGGGGGGGGGGTTCGGGCCGGGGGGTTGGGGGTGTACATGTCCGGTGGGGGGGGGGGGGGGGGACGGGGGGGGGGGGTCGGGGGGTAAACCCCGTGGGGGGTACCACCGTGGGGGGGGGGGGTATTACATGGGGGATCTGCGTAAGACGCCCGGGGGGTGGGGGGTTGGCGCCGGTTTTGGTGTTTGGGGGGGTGGGGGGGGGGGCCTACCTATGGGGGGGGGGGGTTTCTTATCATCGGTTCAGAGTATTGGGGTTGTGGTGTGTGTGTGGGGGTTCCCTGCTAGCAAGTGGGGGGGTTAGCTGGGGGGGCGGGTATGCGCACGGGGGGGGGGTGGGTTGAAGTTTTTTTTATTTTTTATTTTTTTTTTTTTTTTTTGTTTTGTTTTGTGTTTGTTTTTGCGTGTTTATACACCTACACAACAAACATCACTCCCCCCCCCCCCTCCCCCCCCCACCCAAACCCCCCCTCCCCCCCCCCCCCCCCAAACCCTTGTGTTTGTGTCGCCTGCCTCCTTTGGGCCCAAGGGGTGGGGGGGGGGGGGGGGGGTATAAATACAGGGGGTGGTACACGTGGGTGTGGTGGTGTGGGGGCTGGGGAGTCCCTTGGGTCCTCCGCGCCGGGGGGGGGGTCAGCCCGGGGTCGGGGGGGGGTCTTGGGGGGGAGGCTCCGGGGCGGGGGGGAGGGTCCGGGGGGGGAATTCGGGGATCATAACTCAAGCTCTAAGACGTCTGGGGGGGTTGTCCACCGGTGTCGGGGGTCGGGGGGGGGTTCCAGCCTGGACCCAGGGGGTCTCCACCCCGAAATCCAAAGGGCAAGGGGGGGGGGGGGGGGGGGGGGGGGAAGGTGGGTTGGGGGAAGCCTCGGGGGGGGGGGGACTACCGACCAGTGGGGGGTCGTGGGGTGGGGTCATGGTCAGGGGGGGGGGTCCCTGTAGGGGGTAGGGGGGGGGGGGGGGGGGACCTCAACGGATTCTTGGTCGGGGGGTGGGGTGGTCTGAGGGGGGGGGGGGGGGCCTAGGTCGCTGGGGGGGCGGGTCTCCGGGATATGTGATACGGGAAACGCTCGCCCGGGGGGGGTTGGGTAGGTGTGGTGTGTGTGTGGGTGTGGTGGTGGCTACGGTTGGTGTTGTTTTTTTGTTTCTCAAAAACAACACAAAAAACAAACACACAACAAACAAAACACACAATCAAACACACAAAATGTTTTGTTTATTGTGTGTGGGGCGTGGATTGTTGTGTGTGTTGTAGGGTGTGTTCGCATGTAGGCCTGCAGGGGAGCCTAACAAGGGGTTTGGTGGAGGTGTGGTGTTGTGTGGTGTGTGTGTGGTTTGTTCTATTATTATTATATATATTATAGTATATATATATATTATTTTATGTTATATGCGGGCTGCGATCGAGGGGGGGGACCAGCACCGGAGGGGGGGATCCCGAGTCCCCGGGGGGGTCTCGTTGTCCCCGGGGTGATGGGGGGGTGAGGGAGTGGGGGGTGGGGGTACCCTGATTGACCCCTCTCGTGGGGTAGGTTGGGTGGTGGGGGGATTTCCAGGGTACCGGACTGGTGTCCGTTGGTGTCCCGGGGGGGGGGCGGGAGGTACCCGCCATCGTCTTCGGGTCATGGAAGGTCACTGGCCCCCTGGTGGGAACCTGTGGGTTATCCACAGAAGGAGGGGGGGGTGCTGGGGGGGGTGGGGGGCGGGAATTGGGGTGAGAACCCTCCGGGGGGCCGCGGGAGGGTCGTCGGGGTCCCGGGGGCCCGGGGGGGGGCGGGGGTTTGGTCCCTGGTGGGGGTGGGTGGTGGGGGGGGGGGGGGCGGGGGGGGGGGGGGGGGGTCGCGGTTCCGCGTTCCCCGCACCGGTTGGGTGGGGGACCCAGGGGGGGGGGGGGGGGGGGTCGCGCTGGTGGGGGGGGTACCTGTCTGGGGGGGTCCCCACTTGGGGGGGGGGGGGGGGGTGGGGGTCACTGGGGGGTGTCTTTCCGGGGTCCCCGCTTCCCGGGGAAGGGGGGGGGGGTGGTGGCGGGGGGGGGGGGGGGGGGGGTGGGGTGACCGCGTGGTGTGTGTGTGGTGTTTTGTGTGTGGGGGGGGGGGGGGTGGGGGCACAACTACAAACAACATAAACACTTCTAACACATAAAACACACACAACAACCACACTACAAACAACTGGGTAGGTCGGGGGGGACCGGGGGGTTCCGGTCGAGGGGTTGTATCGGCTCCCTGTCTCAATCCCTCAACCGTTGCCCGCCGGGGGGTGGGGGGGTGTGGGTGGGGCTCTACTCCTCACCGGGGCGGCTCCCATTGGGGGGGGCATCCATCTAGGGGGGCTCGGGCGGGGGGGGGGGTGGTGGTGGCGGGGGGGGGGGGTCCAAACCGTGGTTAGTGTGGGCGGGGGGGGGGACCGAACCGCCGTACCCCTATACCTGGGGGGGGGTGAGCGGGGGGGGGGGTGCAGGATGCGGGGGGTGGGGGTCACAAGAGGGGTGGCCCCGCCCCCCGCATACACAGTGGGCGTGTGGGGGGGTTGAGGGGGGGCTACAGGGGGGGGGGGGGGTGTGGGGTCCCCAAGTGTACGGGGGGTGGGGTGACGGGTCTGAACGCGGTACGTCCACGATGGGGGGGGGGGGGTTCGGGATATCTGGGGTGTTGTGTACCGGGGGGGTGGGGGGGGCGCTGGGGGGTCTCATGTGGGGGGGGCCCACCGGGGGGGGGGTCCTCGGGTCGCTAGGCGGGGGGGGTCGCCGGGGGGCGGGACGTGGTCACCACACCCCCCGCCGGGGGGGACTCTTCCCCCCTGGGGTGAGGGGGGGGTCCCCGGGGGGTGTTCAGCCGGTCTCGGGGTGGGGTAGGGGTGTGGGGGGGAGTATCTCGTCGACGGTGTGGTGGGGAAGGGTGAGTTGTCCATGGACATAGATGACTCACACCGGGTATGTTTGTTTTGTTGTTTGTTTTGTGTTTGTGTTGGTGTTTTGTGTTGAGCTCAACGTGGTGTGTGTGGGGTGGGGGGGTGTGTGTGGGTTGGACGTGGAATCGTGTTTGTGTGTTTGTGGTGCTAGTGTGTGTATGTGGAAATGGTTTGTTTGTTTTGGGTTGACTGCCCATTTACTTTAGGTTTTATTATTATTTTTTTAGTATTATTATTTGTTTTTATTTTGACTTTTTATTTTTTTGCAAGTTTTTTTATTTTCCATAATTATTTTATACTTTATAATTGTTGAGAGAGATCTTGGCATTTGAGCAGCTAGCACACAGGCTTGAACTCTGCTGTGCTTTGAGGATTGCTGATCGGACATATGGCAAAAAAACACCCGGCGCCCAAAAACACAAGGTCACAAATCCAGACATTGAACCGTTTCCTCTTAAGGCATGAAATGGTGTGTTTAATGGTTTTTTGATAAACCCTGCTACGGCAGTGGATGAGAGCAGCGATAGTGCAAAAGCAGGTGTCCCCACTGTGCACCTGCTCTTGGTCGACGACGATGATTGAAATCCCATTGTTTGGTCCCCGAGCTCATCACCGGCGGCGATGGGTTTGCCGCTGGCTGCTCCAGACACTCCCATAGATCCTCTGACAAAACACTTGCAAATTAGACAGAGAAAAGGAGACAGAGGGATACTGAGGAAAAAGCCTTAGCACAACGACAGCTTTAACACATGGCATATTATAATGACCACTTAGAATTAAGATTTTTTCTCCTCGTTATCTATTGTGTATGCTATATCAGGCACTCTAAAAAAAGGGTTTTTCTTTGGATCAACTCATAGACAATTCCACGTAGCCCAGTGTGCACCAAACAACGCAGGTAGAATTGCACCAGAGACACTATTTGTTTAGATGTATACCAACTCTAAAAAGGTGTGACTCAAACTAGTAACATGTCAAACAGTTGCAATCTATTCAAGTCAATGAGAAAACATAGCGCAAGTTTGTCTTTTACGGTCTTTAGATGTATTTTTTTACTTGTTATGTAAGGTGACCAGTGAGGTGTTTAGAGGGGCGGCAAAGAAATAAGATTTATTACAACAAAACAATTTGACGTATTCAGAGCATAGTCATTATTTATTCATCTGTATTAAGGACACAAGTGATGGGGTCCATAGGTAAACGATAACTAAATGAGCTAGTAAAGTATATCAAAATATCTCCTCACCTGTTGCCTGCGTGTTTTTGTTTTGAAAATTGACCAGATATGGTTCATTCCTTCCTAAAATCCTAGAGGAGTGAGTGAATGGGTGAGGGTTTGACCAGTGCTCAGATTCGGCCACCGGGCAGGCAGCGCTCCAACCTCGTCTCCGATGTATTTGTGCAACATGCGGATCACGGACGCTCCTTTGCTGTACGAGGGATGGCGTCAAAACTCTCGTCCACTTCCGAGGGTGCGCCCACGTTTACCTGCGGGCACAGGGGGCCAGCGAGGCAGATCAGTACTGTACAGTGGTTCATTTGCCGATTTTACAGGTAAACATAGTTACTTTATAGATCCAACGTATTAATGGAGGGAGCCACTGGTATTTAACTTTGTCTGTTAAATTATAATAATAATACTAGAACCACGAACCAAGTTTATCTGTTATGGCCCACTTCATACACAAAGCACATCGTAGTGCTTTCATAGTGCTTCAGTAAATACAAGAGCAATGCAAATGATCCAAAATTAAAGGATTCCGGGATGAATCAGGGCAGTTTGAATTGGTTATGGTTTTCCAAAGTAAATTAATATCTGTATTTTTTCAAGAGTCAAGATTTGGCTTTTTCTTTCTATAACTGTCGGCTGTTTTTTGCTCGTTAAATTTATGTCTTACTCCTGTACAGCACTTGGAAACTTTGTTATGCAATGTGCTGAGTGGATTTGAATCCGAAACTCACAAATACTTTTTGAAGGCATTATTACATGTATTCCGTCTGCGATTTTCAGTGAAATTGCTCAGCTGAAGAGTCAAACCCACAGAGTGTCATTTACAGTCTATTAGAACTCAAACCCCAGGCGACCCATTATAATTGAGAAATGTAGTCACCAGAGGACCAAACTAAAGGGCCATCGCATCATAAAGTCGCCAGCCATTTGTTTGTACTCAAAAGGTCAACAAGATTTTATGAGAAATATATGGTTAATGTTGAAAATGTAGTACATTTTAAAAACTATGCACTACCCTTAACACACTTTACAATAATTTAAATACTGTTTATCGTTATTCTGGACAAAAAGGCTTTTCAATACATTTCGTTCAGCTCAATATGGACAAAATATATGACAGCGGTAACCATAGGAAACGTTTTGTGTATTGTGGTATGGGACTCTTGTTTTAGTGTAATTATTTACAGTGCGATCTCTGTAAAGTGATGAATTTTATTTCGGAAGATGCGGGCAAAGCACGGACTTGATTGTGTTTGTTTTTGATTTAAAACTGGACTGACTGAATGACCAAACGACACTAATGAAATTAAAGTAAATGAAATGAAGTAAATGAAATGAAGGGTCACAGCAATATTTTGCCATCTCAAAACGAACCAGGCTTACAACAAATTGGTACAAAATACGATAATTTAATAGTACAAGTAGCTCCAGGTTTGGCCAACGTGAAAGTTAAGACCTATTAGGAATTTTCAATGCTGTTTAGGTCCAACTTAATGCCATCAAGGTCCATATGAAAAAGAAAAGCAAAAACCGGAACAAGGTGTGATTTATGATTGTATGACGGAGAGCCTAAAGAAAGAGCTTGTCTACAAAAACTACTCCTAACTCCACACAGTATTCTCTGATAAAACGTGATGGGAAAAAATAAATGTTTTTAATGAGAATAACCTTTTAATGAAATCTGTCCAGACCTTGAGTTCATTTTTAATGCATTATCTGGCAGGAGTACGCACAAGCCTTTCAAACAACGCTTAGCTTTCTTGTATTGTATCGGCTAATCGCATCAAAAGGGCAAACATGATTAATGGAAAACATTAGTGCAAATATGTTTATGAATTAATCCCCCGGTGAAATGTCCATGGGAGATGCACAATTGTCTCTGCAACCAAATGTTTTAAATGCGTTATCAATTAGATTATATGCATCAGTCTATAGTCAAAATAATACTATACAACATTTACTTTGTTGTTGTCTATCTAGGAATAGTGAAATATCTAAGAACATGTACAATAAAAATAATATCTATAGTAAACAAGTATGAAGAGTAAAAAATATATATATATATCTTTGTACCTGTAACGCCCAATGCTGCCACCAGAGGGAGGAGTTTTAATCTATTTTGTTTATTTCCAAATATGAAAGTTACCAGCTGCAAACACAGCCTTGTAATAGAACATCATTTAACTTGAGGAATTACCAAGACTAATTTAGGGGCAATACTTTTGTTAGCAATTACGTTTGTAAGGCAGGAAACTGATGTCATTAGTGGGACAAATGAGTGAGTAAGTAATGAGAGCCAAAGCAATTTCCCAGTTTGTGACTTCCTGTTACTCACACGGCAATAAAAAGGATTCTCTGATTCTGATATATTGTAACATAGAAAAAAAATCTCCAAAAAGTCTTGAATAACGGGTCTCTTTTATCAAACATATTTTTCTACTTTTGCCTCCATTTTGTCTGTGATATGTGCTGACCTCGATGGGATGGCTGCTGTCCAAAGCGTCCAGGTCCAGCGCCCGGGTGTAGTCCGCGGACACAAACTGGGTCCAGATGTCGTACTCCGGGAAGCAGTGGTCCACGCAGAGATACTCTATCCACGACGCAAAGCCCTCGTTCAGCCACAGATGGGTCCACCACTCCTGCACAAAACATCAAAATTCAGAAATTATGACAAAAGAATAAGGGTCATAGAGTAGTCTACAATCTGCATATGTAAGATTCACATCTCCTGTCCTGTTTGAGTTTATTTTGTTTTTGTAAATACTGTCTTTAAAACTATAAAAACTTGGCGTGGAGCAAAGCAGGTAAAACACACATTGTTCAAGAGGGAGACTAATATAAAATTGCTTAAATTTGGCTGAATGAGGCCCAAAATTGCTTAAATTTGGCACATAATGACGTTGTGAGTCGTTACCATTCGTGACGAGGTTTCCAAACCACTGATGAGCGAGTTCGTGTCCCACACTAGCGCCACCCACTGGCGCGTACGAGGAACAGGAGTTTTTAGGGGTCGATTAACAAGGCTGTTTTCTCTGTAAAACAAAGACAAAGAAAGATCAACATATGCACGGCTTTTCATTCATAGAACAACAAGCAAACACCAATTACCATATTAATCAAAGACCGTGTAGTGCTGTGTAAATCCGGGGGACTGGACTCAAATACATGTCTGCTTCACCCGCTTCAAACTGTACATATTTTTCTGTATCCTGGTCATTGTTTTTTGTTCATATATTTGAAATATACTTGTGATAGTAATAATAATTCCGTTTTTATACAGCGCTTTTTTGGACACTCAAGACGCTTCACATGTCATTTTTCATTCACTCCATTCATGGTGATGATAAACTACTACTGTAGCCACAACTGCCCTGGGGCACACTGACAGAAGCGAGGCAACCACTATGTGCCATCGACCCCTCCTACCACCCACCAACCATTCACACACACACACAGACTCATTCTAATGTGGTTTAAGTGTCTTGCCTACGGACACAACGACAGTCTGGCCCTTAACAGCCGCCCCACTGTGGCACCTGGCGTTCCCAGAGGTCTCCCATCACTAAACTAACCAAGCCCTGCCCTGCTTGGTTTCAGAAATGATTAAAAAAGAGAAAGTAATGAGTGTAGATTTTTCTTTTTCAGTGAGAAAAACGACTTGTGAAACAATTCCAAATTATTAGCAAAGAACGTGGCAGATGGGTCCCCGGCCACTGACTCCTGACAGGTGACTACCCTCGTGGCCTTGAGCGGATGGGCCAAATCAAAAGCAGAGGACGAAGTGTTCCATAACCTTATAGAGCGGTGGTCTGGGGAGACGGGGTAAAAGGAAGTGTGTAAATGTCAAAGGGAAGCAACTATATAATGGCCAAAGCTGTGAAAGTATCCACTGTAATTGTGTTAGTCAAGATTTAGAAGCTATAGTTCCTCCAAATGGCAGTTTCTTCTTAACATTTTTCTTAAAGCTGGATTACCCTAGCCTGGCTCTGCCAGACCCTTGTAGTTCCGCCATGCTCCACCAGAGGCGTTTGGCTGAACCACATGGGTCTGGTATCGAGCCCATCGCGAACGCCTTCCCCAGATTATTTTTTAATCGACCAATCAGGATTGCCGGTGCTACGTGGGGTTCGCACTGCCTTCTCAAGCTTCTCTCAAGCAGCAGCGAGAGGAATCCAAGATGGCGGACGTAAAGTCGCGAATCTTTTTAAAAGAGTAAATACGATCGAATTAAGACACAGAGGTCACTGTTAATGCATTTTGAGGCGTTGATGGTTCTATGTTGATATATGTGTGTTGAGTCAATGTTCCTGTAAAGTTTGGTTGAAGCACTGGTTCAGTGTTCCTGTTTACACACTATTGCAGCAGGGTTGCCAGGTTTGGTGGTTCCCGCATATTTTTTTCCAAGAGACTTGTAGGTAATAAAATAAACAGAAACACAATAAACACAATCATGATAGCCCAAGTTGATTATATTACGTTTTTAGCCAAAAAATCATTGAGTGTTTTTTTGTGTGTGGGTTTTCTCGTGGATTTTGGGTTGGAAAATCTTGCTGGGATTTGGCAAACCTATGGGAGCCGTGTGCTTCAATGTGAGTGGTTGAAAGCTGACTTCATTCAAGATAACGGACAAGTGGTCTATCCAATCACATACAAGGATTTTTTTTTACAAGGCCCTGCCTTCTGAAATCCAACCACTATGGCTCAGTACCAGACTCATGTGTGAAGTGCAGCGAACTACATGGGTCTGGCGAGAGTCAGGCTAGGATTACCCATCTCTAAACCCACAAAAAACAACAATGCAAAATAATGACATGATCTTTGCTCTCAGAACAGTTTGGTTCTGTAACTATGAGAGGAGAGGTGCAGCAGGTCTTTCCTTCCTACTGCTGTCAGACTGTACAATGAGAGCTGCAAAGTCTGTACATGTCGTCTCCAGTGATGGGAATAACGCCGTTACTAGTAACGGCGTTTACTAGCGCCGTTACTTTTTTCAGTAACGAGTAATCTAACTAATTTCTTTGACAGTAACTATAACGCCGTTATCATTTCCGACATCCCGTTACTGCGCGTTACTCAAGACGCACAATGAACGTGTTGTCATGAGAGAAGGGAGGATGAGAAAACCCTCTCAGGCAATTATTGGCTGATGTAATCATATTTCCTTTACAATCTACATGTCTACAGTTGAGAGGATGGCTCATAATTGTGTTTTTGAAACATAATTATGGGTCTTAATCGCGCTCAACCACGGCTTGTATCACCGTGAGGTCAGCCACAGAGTAGCGCATGTGAGCGCAGAAGTCGGCTGCATACAATTCCATCGATAAGCTCCTTGCTCTTCCTGGTTTATCTGCTAAGGACAGCAACCGGTTTGGCTAACATACATATAACACATTTTTACATAATCTAAAATGCACATGGGGTAATTTTTCAATTACTATAGGAATGATAAGAAAGAGAGGTGAAGTGTAAGACGGTTGATTTTAGAAATTGGATGCAGCCGGCTGCAGCAAAACAGAGGAGTTTACGGAGGACACACGCGTTTTGTTTTACTTTTTAAAACTCATTGGACTCATTTCCAAATGGAGGATTACATATCTACGCTCAAACCATTCACTGGATTTAAACAAGGAACTGGTCTGAACCGAAGTGGATTAGTCATTTATAAGGTATAGCTATAAGGTAAGACCCATAACTCATAGTTTTGCGTTTTGTATGAACAAACAATGCGGGCATAAAACATATTTTGCTGTTCTGTAGCCAAACAAATTGTCCACTTGATTTATATGATGTATATGTTCATCTGATTGGACTGAAGTCAGTGCTTCACCAGCCTCACCGCTCGTCACCGGTGTTTCCACATTCACAGTGGCGGGTGTTGGTGTTTAGTGCTTACAGCACAGAGAGAGATGAAGAGTGAACAGGACTTCAGCAGCAAAACAGCCTTCTCTAGATGGAAATATTGGCACTGTTAAAGGTAAAAATGCGCACGTCGGGTGCACATTATGTTCCAGAACAAAACGAAAAAGTAACGCAATAGTTACTTTTACTGGTAACTAGTTACTTTTATAGTGGAGTAACTCACGTTAGTAACTCAGTTACTTTTTGGGAGAAGTAACTAGTAACTATAACTAATTACTTTTTCAAAGTAACGTGCCCAACACTGGTCGTCTCGTCTGTAAATGGTAAGTCCTGCAATTTATGAGTGTCCACTGAATGTCACTTTATCTACTTTATCCAGCCCAGTAATGGATGTAATTTACACTGATATATAGGTAGATATATATTGATATTTACAGCCACTTGTTTTAGATCACATTTTCACTTTTCCACTTTAGGAAACTCAGATTTTTTATGTTTATGCAAAATCCTATTGCATTGCTTATGGAAAAACCTTTTGTACACCTTCACTTATACTACTTGTAGAAAGGGGTAGGCAAAAAAGAACTAGCTTATTTTAGTATTTAATTGTAACTAGAAATACATGTTATTTCGGTCAAACTCTTTGACGTCTTGGTCTTTGTTTCTGGTCAAATTTTAATCATGCTACAAAAGCATCCACTTGAATTCATATTTTTTTTCCTTTGTATCTATATGTTTGTGTGTCTGTTTTATATTTTTTTATTTTTCCTTATTTTTGAATTGTTTTATTTTATGGCCCCGGTGGTGAGTCAGGTGGTAGTTTATTAACCCCCGAAGGGCATTTCAATCCTCTGCATTTGACCCATCCTGATGCCACATAGGCTTACATCAGGAGCAGTGGTCGCCGTAGTAACAGCACCCGGGAACCCATCTCCAGATTTTGATGCTTGTCTTGGTCAGGACTACCAGAGCTGGAGGATCGAACCTATTGTGTATGTTTTTAGTGGTAGGGGAAACCGAAGCACGCAGAGGAAAACCTACGCAGGTACGGGGAGAACATGCAAACTCCACTCAGAAAGACCCTGCTGCGACCATTCAGCTGTATTGTCCTTATTCCTTTCACCCTTTTTATACATAACTCAATGCTGTATGTGTTATTAATGTTAAAATGTTCACTAAATAAAGTAGTTTGATGTCCTGAGAAAAGCATAACGTGTTTTCTTCTTATGTTTCAGATCACGATTTCGTCTGACGCGTGAACAGCTGCTTACAAAAACAGGGCCATTAAAACCCCATCACTTGTCGACAACATCTGCCCCGTATCGGCCGAGACACGTTCTCCTGGAGACGGGTTTTATCTCTTTTCTGTGCTATATAATGCTGTTTATGTGAGATGATAATTGAAGGTGATTTGCCACTGAATGATAAGGAGTTGTTTTTGCTACTTTCGATAGACCGTCCCCTCAGCGACGTGTGCTGCAGAGATTTACGTTGTACAACTACACACATCAACGCTCCAGAAATAGACGTCAATAAAGGCAAAGTTGAACTATTTGAAGATATTTTTTCTATACAAGATCGGACGGAAAAAGACACATTTTTTGGCTGTAAATCTGCAAATTTTCCAAAGTACAAATATATACTGTATTTAATGTATAAAATAAAAGGGATGTCAGTCTGCACCCAATCTCTGTTTTCTGAGTGGATTAATAAATTACAAGGATTTCTAAGGGGAAAGAGCAGAAAATGTGAAGCCATGGAGGAAATTAGCGTAAGATTCTGGTATTTACTATAAACTATTCAAGCCCAAACTCTCAAAACAAAGGTTAATAAATATACTAACAATAGTGATTTCTGTGTGGGATTTTGTGACCAATGTTATTTAAAAAGGCCCATGAAAAAAACCATATTATTAAAAGATGAAAGCATGATTTTGTGATGTCTACAGCAACTGGCCTCCTACATAGGGTCAAGAGCTCGTCAGTCAATAAGATTTCAACATGTGTCCAAATATAGGGCCAAGAACGCAAGAAGAGCGAGACCTTCAGACCATTG